GAGAGGACAAAACTAGCTATAACAGAATCATTGGGCCAACTTCAGAAACTATTAACAGTAGCGGTGACTTTTGAAACCTTCTACGAACATATCATAAAGGCAGGTCAATTGTTCCACAGTTACGTGCTAGTGGATGCCAACAGACGGAGGACAGTCAGTTTAAAGTCGGAGTCCAATCATTTACGCAGTCTTCAATCACTGCACGGTATTCTAATCCTCAGTACCGTAATTTCACAAACCAGAATTTGGCAAGTTAGACATGTTTCAGTTAGTCTCATCCTCCTGAAACTGATAATATTTTAGTTTTTCATTGCCAAGATATGATGTATGAATACAGACTGGTTAAAAAGTTTATTTTCAGTATAAGTTACTCACTGCCAGTAGAACATTATTTTGGTATGGATACAGTTAAGAGGAGTTGGATGTGTTCATTGGTGTTTGAAACTACAGGCGTCGGGTTCGATCCTCATTGGGAACGCCATCACTCAGTAGGATACAGGTATATCTGGTTGACAAGTCTTAAAATACACCATACGAAAATTAACTCACTATTTCAAGTTGTTATTTATCATAGACTGACTGACATCAGTTGAGGAATTAAAGAACCCTGGGAACACTGGACAGCTGTTTCGTCCTAGTATGCGACTCCTCAGCAATGCGTACCCACGACCCCGCACCACCACGGATCGAACTCACGACCTTCAGGTTCCATGGCCAGCACGTCACCACTGAGCTAGCCACTGGGTCAGAATCCAATCGCTCATATTTCTAACTTCTGTTAGCTCACGGTTGGGAAAATGGAAGACTAATGATTATAAATTTGTTCCTTTTGACATTTGTTCAAGTCAGTAGTATAACATTATGATATTGTGTATGAATCTTATGGTGTACAGGAAATCAATTTTGTATAAGTTTATCCAATAGGCTTATTACACTACTTAGTTGCTTAGGTCGAAGTAAGTAGAGAGTGGGGTCTAAACACCTGAGAAGCATTCCTTAAGGGTTGAATGAACTACATCTTCACAAACTGCATAATGGAAGCATGGATAAAAGTTGTAGAATTCTTTTCCATTGACTCGATATTGTGCACATTATGAAAATTGAATTACACAGTAAAAGTATATAAAGTATATATACTTACCGACTTCTAGGCTATTGGTTTTGATGTAGAGAGTTACATAAGAAAGAAATAGTCTCTGTAAGTGGACCTAGAATATCCAGTTGACATGTCGTGTTAATTGAAGACACTGACAAGATGCAGAGTCTTCTCAACACTGAGTGATAATTTGAGAATTTCTGAGATGCACTTCTCACCACACAAATGCAAATTGTTGCTTCAGGAATGGTATTCAACGGTGCCCCACCGCCGTTAACAATAGACAGTGTAGAGGTTAAGTGTATCGACCACTTCACTTACCTGGGAAGTAGGATCAGCCCTGTCCTGGTGGCTAAGTATCCGATGAAATCTCTGCATGGATACAAAAGGCTCGGCTGACCTTTGCCAACTTACTCCACCAATGGCACCGCCATGATGTCGGTTTGTTTATCAACGGTCGCGTATACTGCACAGCATTCCACTCTCTTCTACTCTATGGCTGTGAAACATGGCCATTGAGTGTGGAAGACATGAGAAGGCTGGCTTCAGGTGTTTGATCACTGTTGCTTTCGTAGTATAAGCCGTATTCCATCGTGTCACCATGTGAGTAACTCAGAAGTGAGGTGTAGAGGTAAATCAGTTGACGAGGTTATGAACCTTCATCGAGTGAGATGGATGGTCGAGACATGTTTACCTATGTTTACTGACTGATTGCCTCGTCACACAATGTTGGTCGAAGTAGGTCCAATCTGGAAAAATGTCCGAGGTGACTGGACTAAAACGTGTCACCAATGTATGAAGTCTCTGACTGTTGGTTTGAGCCATATGGGGTGATGCAGACATGAGGTGGTTGGGGTTGGCGGGACAAGAGGAACCAGTGGTTGGAGACTGACTCTAGGCGACCACATGGCTGAGAACAGATGTGAGTTGTGCAGATGTATCCCCACACATATGGTCGTCATCTTAATGACGCTATACTGAATCTCACCACTTTCTCATTTTTCGTTTCTCTCTTTTCGTACTTTATATTTCTTCTGAATGCATTCTCTTACCTTCATCTTGCACCTCACTACCTTTCTACTTGATGTTGTGATATGAGGTGTATGAAGTTGGACCGTTACGCAGTACTGCCTGGTGCTATGTTAATATTGATATTTCACGGTAATGACTACCAGTGAAATCCGCAACGTGGTCTTCTTTTTTGCAATGTGTATCACTTGTCGTTTGACACATGTATCACAGTTTTGAATTGCTCGACTTGTGTGAGCGGGTGCCTCTATACTACCCGCAAAGAACATAAGTGATTGGTTGCATAATAGCGGGCCTTCTTCTTTTCGAAACTAGGGAATAGTTTACTTGAACATTCTGTTCAATTTATCGATGATACATTCATCCTGTAGAAAAACATCATGGATAGTTCAAAGATACTTAGCAAACTCAGTGTAGTACACACAACTAAGAAGTTGAGTCAAAAAGCATAATGCCTTGTCTAGACGAATAGATAAGTTGTTGCAGAGAAATGTGTTGTAAAAATTCATCTTTTGTTTATTTTTCATGGCCTTATGGGACTATTTCGATGAATGATGAGTGTATAAATTGCATCTTCAAGTTATCTGCATATACTCATGTGCCCATAAGATCTCTTATCATAGGTGTGCTGGTTAATTATGTCAGTATGAGCTGTGGAATGGGGTCTGTTGAAAACCAGGTCAGGCCTAGTTCTCTTTCATCATTCGTATTTGCATAGTTTTGTTATTGAATATTGAGGGAGTTTTGGGGATTTGGAAATATTTCAAGTTGTTATTCACCGTAGACTGACTGACATCAGTTGGAGGAACAAAGGAAACCTGGGAGCACTAGACAGCTGTTTCGCCTAACTAGTATGGGACTCCTCAGCGGTGCGTACCCACTACCCCGCCAGGGATCGAACCCTCGACCTTCAGGTTCCATGGCCAGCACACTACCACTGAGCTAGCCACTGGGTCACTTCAATGAAACGTTCCTTATAATTTCTAGACCCTTTTTTATTGACTTATAGATACTGCATCGAAGCCTGAGTATTTATTTAATAGGATGCAGTTTAATTGTAAATTCTGTGGAATTTTTTTTCCTTCACATGAACTAATGTTGCTGCTCCAATGTGTTTGGTGTTGTGTAGAACACTCTGAGGTTGATTTTGTTGAACACCTTCATAGTCTCTTTCGAGGTGTGCGTCTATATCCGGTCTTGTAGTCAAATACTTAAAATTCAACAATTTTTGCCATGTACCGACAAAGTTCATTTTACATTTGAAGGTGAATACTTTCAACGAATTGACAGTGGAGTTGTGGTAAGTCTTTTGGGACCATTACTAGGTGATATGTGAGAAAGAGAATAATAATCATCTTTCATTCTTAAACATACACCTGAGTCAATGAAAAGATAGTTCAATAAGACGATCAGTTTACAGAAACCTTATATAGACAGGACAATATCTGAGTTCTGGCAGTTTTTGTCCGACCTTAAAGACGAAAGATTTAGTCATTATTATTATTTCTCCCTTGGGTTCCTAGTGGAACATAGGGCTTCAGTAGCAGGTCGCTATTTCGCTCTCTTCTCTGCAGTCTTCTTAACTTGGCTCTACGACTGCTCAGACGCTTTCATTTCTTTCTCATAGCATCTCCTCCATGTCACCATTTGACGCTCAACTTGTCGTTTCCCATTTGGATTCCACTCGACGGCCTGACCTGATACATGATGTCCCCAAATAGTATTGAGGTCTAGTCAAGTGGTTGTTCAATAGGATGGATGAAGATATCAAATTACTGACCAAAACACTTCTAGAAAATGGATATCCTTTGAAGTTTATAAATCGTTGTAGTAGTCAGTTATCACCGAAGTTAACTTTATGCATTGTTCCTAAGGAAAGCGTGACTCAACCATTAAGAAAACATATTATGCAAATTAGGTCATTACTGTTGAAAAAACGAAGCACATGCTTAACCATAAATCTAATCACTGTATGAATTATCACTTCACATCTCATTGTGTGAGTGTGTGTGTGGTGATGTATACATAGAGAGGGGTAATTGACCTATGGATTTGAGGGTAGGGGAACATGTACCTAAACAGCTTCAAAAACAAATGGAGCTTAAAACAACTTTCAAAGCTCTAGTTAGGGATTGTCAGGGTCGCATACTGAGATTTTTCGGACCATCTTTGTATGCACAAACTCAACTTGTTACACAACACTTAGAATCAATGACATCACTCTTCCTTGATGGTTCCATTTGTCCTCCCATTCGGTTTGATCATAAGCTGACTAGTATGGGACTCTTCAGCAGTGCGCACGCACGACCCCGCACCACCAGGGATCGAACATGTGACCTTCAGGTTCCGTGGCCACCACGTTACCATTGAGCTAGCCACTGGGTCAGAATCGTGAGCTAACAGAAGTTGGAAATATGGAGCATTGGATTCTGACCCAGTGGCTCAATGGTGATGCGCTGGCCGCGGGACCTGAAGGTCGTGGGTTCGATCCCTGGTGGTGCGGGTTCGTGGGTGCGCATTGCTGAGGAGTCCCATACTAGTCGAACGAGACAGCTAGCTGTCCAGTACTCCCAGGTTTCCTTTGTTCCTCCAACTGATGTCAGTCAGTCTATGATGAATAACAACTTGAAACAATGAATAACTTGTTTGTGCAAACACTCAGTTTCTGTGATTTGGCCGTTGATATCTCGATTGGCTAGTGCTTCGATCTCCTCTAACCGGACGTCATCATCATTGTTGTTGTTGTTATTATTGGCGTTTCAAAAGGTATCCTTCAGCATATCTATTGGTTTTCTTTCTTTCATACACAGATTACTCAGAATATTTTCGTTATGTAATCATGATATATTATTCCTTTGCTTTCTTATTCCTTTAGGTGTTGTTACAATGTGACTAATTTGAATTCCGGTGCTCATTATCACTATAAGGTAGTAGCAACCAATGCTGCTGGTTCAGCAAGTGTACAAGGTCAATTTTGGACAAGAACTGTATCAGGACGTGAGTGCTCTTCCTTCTTTCATTTCCACTCGTCACTTGTCTTTGATTGATGAAACCAACTGTAAAAAAGTATGAGTATCTTTCCAAATTGTTTTATGTGGACGTTTCAGTGCTAACCAACAGTCTTTGATATGATAAATTACTTGTTTGTGGCTAGCAGAAGAATCCAGGACGCATGATTCGTCCCATTTCGGGCTAGTTAGTTGGATGTACCTGCACCCCAGTGGTGTTGTTCCCACTGAGACTTGAACTTCGTACCCGTCGCTTCAAACATCAAGGTGCTATCAACTATGCCATGGAGGGACGATAGCCACTTCTTGTACAACGGGTATTAGGTATTACTATTTATTGATATACTTGTTATCCTCCGTTGTTTTGTTTTTTATTAGATCGAATTTTTCGGCCTCTGTTGGCATAACCCCAACCAATTTATCATAATTAACATTCAGGCAATATCGGGGCTTCCGGATAGGAAACCATGTGCCTATAGAGGTCGAACAATTCGATCCAATAAAAAAACTGGAGGATAGCAAGTATATCAATAAATAGTCTTCGATATACTTAAATTCTTGGATAAATTTCGATTTTAAGTTGGGATGGCTCAATGGTAATATGTTGGCCACAGAACCTGTAGGTCCTGTGTTCGACCCCTGGCGAGGTCATGGGTGCACACTGTTGAGGAATAGTTCTTTACTAGGATGAAACAGTGGTTGTTCAGTGCCTCCAGGTTTCCAATGTTCCTTTCAACTGATATCAGTCTATAATGAATGTCAACCTAAAATCAATTTTATAAATCTCCTTTTTAACAATCTCTAGATAAAATTTAGTTTTCATGAATCGTGTCGGAGACACTTCTCAATAAAGCTTAGTTCTTCTTCTAACTTGGTCACAGAAAAGAATTTCTTAGCTCTGCTGTAAATGTCTTTTATCTAGCACAGTTTTACAGTTGACACTACAGGACGGAAACTGTTATAATCAAGGGATTGTCCAATTTATGTATCTTTACTATGGATGATTTTTTTCCAACTTACCATCTAAAACACTGAACTTGTTTTCAGGCTCATATTCCAGTGTAAATTTAATGTTAGGATAACTGATTAACTGACTGACTGACTGACTGACTGACTGACTGACTGACTGACTGACTGACTGACTGACTGACTGACTGACTGACTGACTGACTAACTGACTGACTGACAAAATGAACGTAGAACTCTTCATACAAGTGGATCACCTCTAGTTGTCACACTTCACTGTAGGTATACAAACAAGGGGTGGGTAGAAAAACTAGGATACTACCAAAGTAGACAAAGTTGTGCAAGAGAATAAGCAATTTAAAGAGAAAGGTGAGTGTAAATATTCAAGCTTTAGAAGATGTGTAAGAGTGAATGCATCTGCGCCATTATGACGAATTTGTAGCCAAGGGTCTTCAACCACCTATTCCTTTCGCTTACGGGACTCGAGCTAGGTAGTCTACATCTCCCTACATGGGTCAGACAAATGGTCACGGACTTCATGCACTGGTGCTGTATTTTGGTCTTACCAAGCTAATCTAGCTTCTTCTGTCATGGCACGTCGAGGTAAGTGGTGATGGCTTGACATACACAGCACACATCCAAGCCATCCCAGTTAATGAAAGTTCACAACCTCATCAATCTACTTGCCTTCATTGCCTAGTACCTTTCACCTGACCTTAACATTGCTCATACTATGATCCCACCAAACGGGATCAACGCTACCAAGACATCTGTGATAATGACCTTGTAATCACTCCATGTTATCTACTTGTAACGACTATCTCATAGCTGTACAACAGGAGAGAACGAATTTCTGTGCAGATCAGTATACTCATCCTTTGATAATCAAGTGTCTTACCGGCCTCATAGATAGTGATACAAGGATCTCGTAAATCAAATGTTAGGATGAGCCTCGTTAAGCTTGGCAAATAACTAACTCACTTACTTGTGTATTTCATATCATTACAAACAACAAAAATGTGTCGTCAATGTTTCTGTGATAATAGGTTGTTCCCCTGATGACTGAACTCAGACGTACCTGTTCAATTTAACTCATGAAGATATCTCCTAGAACATGTTCTAGAAGTGAATTCATTACCCATCCATCAATTTGTTTATAAAAATGATTATTGAATTAAATTATTATTTGTTTTTTGGGTTCCTAGTGGAACATATGGCTTCATTAGCACGTCGATATTTCACTGTCTTCTCTATAGTCTTTTGAACATGTCTCCACCACTGCCGATAACCTTTGATTTCTTCCTAACACCATGTCCTCCATGTCACCCTCAGCTGAGACGCCCAACTCGTCGTTTCCCATTTGGGTTCCACTTGACGGCCTGGCCTGACGCCTGATGTCCCCAGTTGGTATTTCAGTGTATGTCCAATCTAATCTACCTCCACTTTCTTCCCCTGCATATTTGTTAGACGATGGGTTCTTGGTTAGTCCGTTAGCAGCCTAGAGTTCCTTGTTGCTTTCTCTTTCTAACCATCTGATCTGATCTTCAGTATGGAGTGAGTGTAGGTGGCAGCTGCTCATGTATTTTTGTAGTTTATTTAAAATGTTTTTCGTAACGCTCCAAGTCTGTCAACCACCACATAGAAGCACTGACTTACTTGACTGAATTAGTGTTGAAAATCCGGATCTTGTTGTTTATATTCAGTTGGGTTCAGTAGATCTCCACACAGATTATTCCAGATTAATGCAGGAATGTCTGTGTTGCTGTTTTCCCGATGCAGGCTTTGACGTCCTCATCTATGCCTGTGCCGCCTGTAGTTGAAACGATGGTTCCTAGGTAGATGGGTAGGTGGGTAGGTGGGTAGGTAGGTAGAGGTAGGTGAGAGAGACAACTTGGTTTATATTTCTCGCGTTGATGGTGCTTGTTGTTGTTGTTGGGTATCTTCATGACCTCTGTCTTCTCTAGGTTCACCTGAAGTGAGTGCCGTCTTGACTGCCTCGTGTCGCCTCTTCTGTCAACTTGTTGGTTTTTTCCTGTAGATCTTTGAGTTTGTGCAACATAAGACACTAGAAACAAATCATCATTTGTGAAATGCAAATGTTGTGGGGTCTTTTCATAGGTCGGACAGCCAGCGTATGCCGATCTTCTCACTGCTTACAGTTTCTTGCATAATCCATTCGAGTTGAGTGTAGTCGACCGCAATGAGGATGATCATGGATGATAGTAGGTGGTGGAACCTTGTCTTACCTGTCACCCTGTCTTCACTTCGAAGACATCACATGATTTATTCTTCCTGAATCCAGCCTGTTCGCATCATAATTTTGAATGTAGAGCACGTTTCAGTCTCTTCAGGATGATACTTTGCTTGGAGTGGACAGGCGTGGAGCATGATTCCTCGCTAGTTCTTTCAAAGACTTAGGTCGCTCTAACCCTCAAATATACATTGGATTTATGTAGTTAAGTAAAGCATACACGAATGGAAAACATAAGAACCTTTTGGTCTGAGTCCTAAATAGGCTGGATTGTCAAACAACTTTTTTTTGGAAGATCTCTAAATTGTTTATTTACTTTGTTCTCAAATGTTAATATAACACCCCTTTTTAATACTATCCAACTAGAATCTTACTGGATCATATTGAATTAATAACATTTCGTTCATATAATCATTTTCTTTCATTATGAAAACACTGGATCCTTTATCAGGTTTAAGTGTAACCAAGGTTCTGAGTTCCATTCATGACAGATTCATGAGTACGCACTGTTGAAGAGTCTCTTATTGGGGCGAAACAGCTTTCTTGTGTTGCTTAGTTTTCAATAGTCTATGATGAATATCAACTGATGCCTTTTTTGTAAGCCTCATGATAAAATGCCTATGATCAAAAAAGTATGAAATCACAGTTAATCCCTCTGAATCTAATATGGAAATTAACTTTGTATTGTTTGAGGTTAAAACTAAAAGGTCAAGTTTGCGACATGCCTTAAACCGGGTACTCTCTCTCCAATGAATTGTGAGATACAAATGTCTCAATTCCAATCAGGACACATATTACATAATCAAGGGTCTGTCAAACCACAAGCAATCATGGCCTGAATATCTCAGTGATAACGTCTCTGATTACAAGACTGGTTGACACTGACTGAAGAGTGCCAAGAAGCATGAGGCGTAGGTCGAGTAGGACTCCCTGTTGATTGTTCCCATCTAACGAAGATTATGACTGTTTCATACAAGGGGTCATTTACCTTCCTCCTTCGATTTATTATCACATCGCATAGTTCGCTCATGCATCTTAGTGCAAGAACCAGTGGTGTCCGTTACAGATATCTACTGTCACCGTTCGTATTCAACTTCGTCACATGCCCAATAATATACATACTCCCAGGTACTTCTGACTATAGAGAGATCGACCTACTTCCTGGAGGTCAACTCATTACCTTGGAGAAGGCTGATGATATTTTCCTGCTAGATAAAGACGCTGACAAAAAGCAGTGTCTTCTGAACGCGTTAGACAAAAATCTGACTGTATTCGACATTTGTTTCGCACCTGTGAAATGTAAGATCATGCTCCAGGGCTGGTCTGCTGAAAGTACTCGCAGTTAAATTATATGGAATAAAGTGATCGAATGTATCAACTGCTTCACTTACTTGGGAAATCCTATCACCTCGAACAGGCTGATTACTGACAAAATCTCAACTTGAATACAGAACACCTGTTCGGCATTTTACAATCAACGTCATCTGTAGGGTCAACTAGCAAGATATCTCACTATCTATCAAAGTATGAGTATAGTACGCTACACTGAAGTCCGTTATCTGCCTTTATATGGCTGTGAGACATGGTCGGTAAAACTAAAAAAACTATGAAGCGGTTATAGGGTTTTGATCATAGGTATCTTCATAGCATTCTTGGTGTATTGTGCAATCACTGTGTCAGTATTACTCAGGTTAGTAAGGCGAAGAGCATCAAGCAGCAATGAAGGATAGTCAATTGACAATGTTGTGAAGCTTAGTTGAATGAGGTAGTTTGGATATGTACTTCAGATGTGGACCACTACCGGCCACTTCGACGTGCTATGTATGCTAGGAGAAGTTGAAATAATTCACGACGGGGTTCAGATTAACCACATGAAGATGTGGGATCACTCGATGAAGTCTATGACTGTTGATCTGATCTCAGTCATGTGGGAAATCATGGAGTCCGTCAGATAGGAGGAAGGAGTCTTGCTGACATAACTGCTAATCGGTCATAATGGTGCAGATGTATATTCACTCCTACACATCCTCTAAACCTTGAATATTTACACTAACCTTCATCTCCGAATTCCTCATTCTCTCACACAACTTTGTCTACTTTGGTTGTATCATTCTTTTCCCACCCAACTCTTATTTGTATACACTACTACTACTGTGAAATGTGACAACTTGAGGTGATACACACTTGTTGATGAGGTTCCCTTCTCTTCTCTTCTAATCATTGATTTGTATTTATTCACTTATTTTGTATGCAGGTGAGCCAGTGCTTAGACAGACTCATCTACTTGGAAAGGCGAGTTTCTTTCAACAACCAACTGTTATTGTACCGATCACTGCTTTATTCGCTATATTACTTGTTGTCACTGTAGCTCTGTTATTCTTCTGCCGACATCGTCGTCTAGAAGAAGATCTTAGCCCGAATAAGGTTGTCACAGTCACACATAATGATTTACGACCCAATCAAGTTGACTCACAACAACAACAACAACAACAACAACAACAACAACAGACTGTATCACATTCTTATCATCCTTATCATGTTGGCAGATCATCTGGTCATAGACGTGATAATCTTCCACCTATTCCTTCAGGTCAACAAGTAGATTCTCAGGCAAGTACAGTAGTTGCTGCAGGACGTCATGGCAGTGGAATAAAAAGGTCAGTTTCTCTAATAAATATTTACCACTTTGTTAATCAGTTTTATGTAAAGTGTTTATTCCTTGGTGGAGAATGTGGATATATCCTGATCACTAAGAAATCTGTTGCATAGAATTAAAATATCAACACTGTGAATATATAAACTGAGAGGGAGAGGGAGGGAAAGAGAGAAGATTCCTGGGAAGATTTGAAGATGACAAGCAGTCACAAGAAAAAGTCATGAAACTATTACTATTTGTTATATAGAGTTTAGTGCTGCGTTGTTTTGTTGGATCGAATTGTTCGATGTGTATTGGCATATGAGCTGCTATGCGGATGCCATGATATTGCCTGAATATTAATTATGCTAATCTCTACTTGATTGTGGTTAGCAAAAGAATCCAGGACGCGCGTTTCGTCCTGTTTGGGACTCGTTAGTTGGATTTACCTGCACCTCAGTATGTGATGTTATTCTCACTGAGACTCGTGCCTCTGTGGCATAGTAGATTGACTTCTCAACATATACTACTTATTTCCATTATTATCAGTAGCATCCACTACACTAGTCTCCTGCTTTCTATACTTTCTTTGCTTCTCTGGTCTTCATTGCTTTTCTAGTCACTCATATTGTCACCAAAAAATGATCTCCATATGTTCTATGACCGGTAGTACAAGTTAACAGTCTACGAGAAGTACGAGTCCAGCAGATTACGAACGATACAAACCTAACGCACGAACGAATGGACTCTAATGCAAATCAGGACGTCAATTACCACCACAACAATACCACCGACGCGTGAATACAAGACACGAAGACAGACCTTTGACAGTGAGCTTTTTACTGTTTAAGCAACAGTCAATACAGTTGACAGCGATGGTGAATATTTACATTTCTAAATGACCTTGACAACACTAAATCCATATATAGTTAACAACCAATGACAGTTGGGCCTTGAGAGCGCCCCAAGAGGGGGGGAGAAACTAGTAACAGTATGAAAACATCCATATGGGTCATTTCAAGGTCATGCGTAAAACAGCAGGTAATGCTGTGCAAAATTAAGGTTATGTACTAATATGGACGCCTGAGAGGAGAGTGCTATTTTATGTAAAACATGTCCAAGTAGTCGATGTATGCTTGAAGGTGATTTTTCAATATAAACGGCCATACAATTTGGAGGTTTTCGGGAATTTTATTGATTTCAGGTTAGTATTCATCATGGACTGAGATCAGCTGAGGAACCATTGGAAACCTGAGAGCACTGGACAGCCACTGTTTCGTCCGACTAGTATGGGACTCTTCAGCAGTACACACTCGTGAAACAGTTCTCCAGAGGTTCATCCCAAGACCCTCTTATGTTCGTCTGCTAGTCACTTAGTCAGAATCCAATCGTTCAAACTATCCCATCACTTTTACTTCTCAATTTAGTGCAACCTTTATTCATCGCCTCGTAAAAGACAAGGAAGACATCACTACTGAGTAGTATTACTCTCTTGTAGTTCAGCTGTTCGTTTTACCAACTCAATGAAAGTATTCTCTTGCCTATGATGTTCTTCTCACTCATTCACACCATTATGAGTATTTGTGAATTACTTATAGTTGTATCCATCAGCTTATACCTCTTAGTAATTTTAGGGGGGGAATTGGCTTCATTCGTAATTAGAAGTACTTTTGCTCAATAAAGTTGAAGAAAAAAATCGAAGCGGAAGAGAAATGGAGAAGCTACTTTTATGTTAATGTGACGTCCTTACTTCATAGATAAGCGTAATTTGTTGTTGAAAAATATTTTTTTCAGATTGAATTTATCTGTCAAACATAATATTTACTGTTTTATGATGTTTCTTTCCCCCCTCCCCCGTTTACATCCTCCTGGATCTCTGCATATCCTTTAACTCACTTGTGTATAGTTGGTTTAATGGGGCAAGAATGCGCCTTTATGATCGTGGACATTCTGTCAATCCTGTTGAACAATCTGTTCATTCTGGAGGTAATCAAATTGGTGGTCGTGGTGTTACTGATGAAGACGATGAAAGATTGTCCACGAATTCTATTGACAGTGAAGGTAATATTTATGCACATTTTTTCTAAAATTAATGTCTACTCACCAATCACTGTGTATATATTGACCATTAATGCCTTTCTATTAATCCTGTTTGTCCATATCACTGTGAGATGTTACAGTCAATGGTTGAGAAACTCTACTGTTCCTTATTAACATTCTTCATAACCGTGTCTCAGAAATATTGATGAAAATGGTTATATTGTATTCTCTGAGGTGGACTATTTAATCATGGAGCTTTTATCTTCTTTCAAGACGACATCATCAGCTGTTACAATATCTCTCCGTGAGTGATTTAGTAGCTTGCCCTGACTAAATGGTTTATGATTGGTTGTTTCCTGTGACTGTTGTGTCATTGACTAACTGCATAGATTTTCCTATTGGCTTTTCCTCTGCTTGACTCCTCACTTTTCTGTTGTTTATCACCTTTCCTATTGGTTGATAGATTGGGTCTATGTCTATACGTCTGTTGATTGTTGACTGATCGACTGATCTGATTGTCATTCTTCTAGGAATTCTCTGATGATATTCTTTGTGTTTCCTCTCTCCATTGAAGATTTTTACATTGTCGAAATCGATTTCATGTTCATAGTTGAATGATGAAATGTCGAATGTGACGTTTAATAGCCAATTGGTGTTCTCATGTAAACGAAGGCGAAGGTGGGCGACCATTTTGCCCAATGAATGTAGTGTTGACTACAGTTATTCCAGTTGGTTGATGTCGTAAATGATATTCAGTTTGTCTTCCTGGGTTGTTGTATTGTTTGGTGCGCATAATGGGGTTTGCAGAGAATTTGGTGGTTTATGAGCCACACCAATTCCAAGTGGTCTCAGTAATCTTGTGGTAATTTCTGATATATTCTTTATTCATCGTAAGATGATGCGTTTATTTATTTCTGTCGATGACTTTATAGTTGATGAAGCAGGGGATAGGCTTCTTGTAATAAAGTTTAGTGGGTAGCCGTTCTTCTTTAGGATGAACATCAAGTAATTTTCTTTCGTTTCTCCGTGAAGTTGTTGTACTACAGTGAAGTTTTTTCTCTCTTTTTTTGAATGGGGTCTGCATGCAACTAATTTTGTGTGTTATTGGGTTGGTGCTACTGCGGTTGAAGATTTAATCAGTCAACGTGTGTTGGCTTCTTATAGATTTGCGTTTTCGTGCTATCTGAGATTAGTCGTACTGACAGAAACATTCAGGAATGGTAGTTGGTAGTTGTTCGATTCCTTCTTCACTGTAAATTTGATGTCATTAGTGAAAACGTTGTTGATCAAAGTGTGAGTGTTTTCTATATCATCTTTTTAAAGTATCGTCCACATAGAAAATCCAAATTTTTAGTGAAATCACAGATAGAATGATATTGGTGATCCCATTGGAGTTCTTTTTTTCATGTGTTTGTATATCTTGCCATTGAATTGGAAGTCTGTTGTCAGATAGAGGTCAATGAGTTCCATCAGACTTGAACATTGATGTTTTGTTCGTTCTGAAAGGCTTGTGTTTTCAGTGATCAGCAGCATAGACATTGTTTCGTTGGCCAATTGGGGTTCAATGGATGTGTATAGTGCTGTGATATCGAAGAATACCATTTATTCGTCATTTTCTATGTTAATACTTTTAATCTTTTCTAAGAATTCGGTTGGTGACTTGATGGAATATCCGCATAGTCGAACAAGGTGTTCCAGTTATCTTGATATGTTGTAGGTTAGAGTTCTGGGAAGTGTGACTATTGGTCGTAGATGGATGTCTGGTTTGTGTAGTTTTGATCTGCCGTAGAACCGAGGAAGGACAGGTTCTTTCGATTTCATTCACCATATGTCTTGCCTTGTTATTTCTTCTTCTTCTTCTTCTTTGAAGAGTTTGTTCAAGTTTAATTGATGTGGTTGTTGAACGTTTTTGGATAGGGTTTGTTTCTGGTGTGATTGATATACATTTTCGTCTTTAAGTAATTCTCCATTATCCCCTGTGGAGAATCGAAGCTTTATCAATCATCACACCTAGGCTATTTACTTGTGCACTGATTGTGTATTGATTGTCGTTTCTAAAATTCTTGGTTACCGAAACTGTTCGACTACTACCTGTCAACATTAACAGCCTCTAACAGGGAGGGTATTTCAGAAAGGCGATGCTTTAGGATACCCAATAATGATTCATCTGATGTTTCGATGTACGTGGGAGTTTTTGGCTTCTAATTTACTTCACATATTCTACAATGTTACATTAATATGTTGAAATACAGTCAAATTATAATTTAACATATATTTTTTTGTAAAAATATCAATCTAGGCAACATTAATCCATATGCAACATATGCAGCTACAGGGTTCAATGATCGATCTGGAGATACAGTTGGTACAAGTGCTACATTATTAACTGGTCCATCGATTGTTAAATCATCTGTAGTATCATCATCAATGGTAGATGGTAGTATAGTTGGTACAAGAGGTGGTATACGACCAATTAGAGATGTAAGCACTGGTCGTGGGAATCACAGTTCAAATATTTCAAAACCTGTGTGGAATACAGTATTTAGACGAGGTGAGTTCACTTACCCATAAATGTATCATTTGACTATCTGAGACAGCCGTAGTTTGAAAGACTAGTATTTATACTGGGTGATGATTGAAGTTGAAGTGAATATTCGAACTGCAGCCGTTACTACGTAACGGTCCGAGTTGCCACACCTCATATACGTACATCAAGTAGAAAGCCAATGAAATGGAAGATGAAGAAAAGAAAATTCAGTCAAAAGAAGAGAGAAAGGAAGAATGAGAAAATGGTGAGATTCAGTATAGCGTCGTTAAGATGAAGATAATGTGTGTGGGGATGCATCTAGGCCACTGACATCGGTTGTGAACCATGTGATCACCTAGAGTCTCCAACCACTGATTCCTTTTGCCTCGCCGACCCGAACCAGCTAGTCTGTATCGCCTCATATGGCTTCATCCAGCGGTCAAACACTTCATACATTATTAACATGTTTTAGTCTGGCTGCCTCGACCCTTTTTCCAGCCTCAACCGACTTCAGCCAACATTGTGTGACGAGGCAAACGCCGACTGGGTATATGTAACACCTGTCCCGACCATCTCAGTCGATGAAGTTTCACAGCCTCGTTGACTGACTTACTTCTTCTCCCTAAAATTCTGTGCCTGACGTCTGCGTTACTCACCTGGTGACACCACAGAATACGGCCTATACTACTAAGGGAATGGTGGTCAAATACTTGGAGCCTTTTGTTTGTCTTCCACCTTCAGTGACCATGTTTCACAGGCATAGAGTAGAAGAGAGCGAACTGCTGTTCAGTACATGTGACCCTTAATAGACAAACGGATATCACGACGCCGCCACATGTGGGGTAAGCTGGCAAAAGCCAGCCAAGCCTTTTATATTCGTACAGAGATTTCATCAGCTACTGAGCCACCAGAGCTGATCCGAACACGTTGACAGAAAAAAAGTGATATCAAAGGTAGAAAAAGTTATGTGAAAGAATAAACAATCTGAAGATGAAGGTTAGTGTAAATATTCTCATCTTGATCTGGCCATCCTGAACTCGTTTCCAAACTAATCCAACTTTCGCTGGTTATTGTACGTTGAGGTAAATTGTGACTTGGGATATGCAGGACGTGTCCTATTCCATAGATGCCTCCTAGATGCCTTTTTGAATGGCTCAGCTTCTCTACTTGAGCGATAAAGTTACCTACCATTATGAACTTTTCGCATCATCCTAATAGATTGGTAGGTGACTGGGCAGAGATTATGAATAGACGTTGGCTACTCTCCTTCCTAATTCTTACAGATCCATTCGGTTGAACAGTACATGGACAGCTGTTGACTGTTATCTAGTCGTAAAGCTTACTTTTTACCCTGGGGCTCAATGCTATCGCTTTACTAGCAACTCCATGAAAATTAGCCACTGGGTCTCCGGATAACTGGTAAAGTGAATTTTTGATGATTAATTACTATGGTCAGGTGAGGTCAGTTTAATAACCATACACGGGTCGTGTATATGTGTCTCAGAGAGACAGTATACCTTTATAACTAATATTAGGAGATGATGGTGAGGAAGTTGGCAAAGTTGAGGAGGATAGATTGGGTTTGATTGAGTTTTATATACTGCTGGAAGCGTGTGGGCGGTTAACACTTCCTGACTACCCACACTGTGGGAACCTATTTCTTCGTAAGCATCCATAGGGCATCGACTTGAGATCTGTCACAAATAGTTTTACATGAGTTGTTGTTTTAACGACAGGTAGAGAGAACCCATACCGCTGGCACTGGAAGACCATACTGCAGACAAGATTGTGCTGTTTTTAGGACCTATCTCTTCTAACTACCTTCATCCAGTTGAGAGGGTAGTATCAGCATCACACTGCTGGTCATCTGAAGGGAACACGTTACTACTGTCACTCTATTGTCTAGTCAGCAGAACGCCTACATCCTTCATAGCTTAGTACTTAAGTCGGAGACTATACTGTTCAGACAATAATTGTCCATTTCTAGGCTTGGATTGCGTATACAGATTGATGAATTGAGCATTATACATTCATCTTTTGTTTTTTAGAAGAAAAAAAATGTATCACTTTTCGATATCTTATTTTGACGTTCATTTAGCCTTATTAATCGTTTCATCCACTTGTGTTACGGGTTACAAAACCTGTTCACATCTGTTTCTTTGTTCTATTATTCACTTTGGAAGTGAATAGACAACTTATTGTATTGATGGAACAGATTTATATCTTCGAGCAAGGAATGACAGTGGTCAAAATGTTCTCTGATCTTTGGTCTTCTGTTATGGCTTAGTAGCGTCATTGATACTCACTTCATATGGAAAATGATGGATACTGTCAAAAGTTACATGATTGTTTAAGGAGTTAGTGTAGTGGATGCTACTGATAATAATGGAAATAAGTAGTATATGTTGAGAAGTCAGTAGAAGTCATAGACAATTACCACCGATAGGTAAATATTCTACTCAGAGAAGCGCAAAACATCAACAGCAAGATGAGATCGAAGAAGAAGCAAAGGAACTGAAACAGATTCTGCAAATGACTATTTCAATGGAAAGTGCTGTTTTCTATCAGTAGTATCGTGTTATTCAAGAATAAGGCATCACGACGTTCTGAAAAAAAAGCATTCGAACCAAGCGGATTAAGGCATCTGAGCACATTTACCAATTTGTCTAAGGATCAAAAAGAATGATTATCTCAATGTATTTTCCCGCTGTACTCCTTCAGGAATGACGAAACAGAAGAAGGAGAAAACACTTCATGAGTGGTAATTCGCTTTGTTGTGGCTAGCAGAAGAATCCAGGATGCGCGTTTCGTCCTATTTGCGACTCGTCAGCTGTATATCCCTACGCCTTAGTGAGTGGTGTTGTCCTTACTGAGACTCGAACCCCGTACCCATTGCTATCTACTATGCCATAGAGGCAAGAGTCTCAGTGAGAATAACGTCACTTACTGAGGTGCAGATACATCCAACTAACGAGTCCCAAACAGGACGAAACGCGCGTCCTGGATTCTTTCGCTAACCACAACCAAGTAGAGATTAGCATAATTAATATTCAGGCAATATCGTGGCATCCGCATAGCAGCTCATATGCCAATACACATCGAACAATTCGATCCAACAAAACAACGCAGCACTAAACTCTATATCTAACAATAAATAGTAATAGTTTCATGACTTTTTCTTGTGACTGCTTGTCATCTTCAAATCTTCCCAGGAATCTTCTCTCTTTCCCTCCCTCTCCCTCTCAGTTTATATATTCACAGTGTTGATATTTTAATTCTATGCAACAGATTTCTTAGTGATCAGGATATATCCACATTCTCCACCAAGGAATAAACACTTTACATAAAACTGATTAACAAAGTGGTAAATATTTATTAGAGAAACTGACCTTTTTATTCCACTGCCATGACGTCCTGCAGCAACTACTGTACTTGCCTGAGAATCTACTTGTTGACCTGAAGGAATAGGTGGAAGATTATCACGTCTATGACCAGATGATCTGCCAACATGATAAGGATGATAAGAATGTGATACAGTCTGTTGTTGTTGTTGTTGTTGTTGTTGTTGTTGTTGTGAGTCAACTTGATTGGGTCGTAAATCATTATGTGTGACTGTGACAACCTTATTCGGGCTAAGATCTTCTTCTAGACGACGATGTCGGCAGAAGAATAACAGAGCTACAGTGACAACAAGTAATATAGCGAATAAAGCAGTGATCGGTACAATAACAGTTGGTTGTTGAAAGAAACTCGCCTTTCCAAGTAGATGAGTCTGTCTAAGCACTGGCTCACCTACATACAAAATAAGTGAATAAATACAAATCAATGATTAGAAGAGAAGAGAAGGGAACCTCATCAACAAGTGTGTATCACCTCAAGTTGTCACATTTCACAGTAGTAGTAGTGTATACAAATAAGAGTTGGGTGGGAAAAGAATGATACAACCAAAGTAGACAAAGTTGTGTGAGAGAATGAGGAATTCGGAGATGAAGGTTAGTGTAAATATTCAAGGTTTAGAGGATGTGTAGGAGTGAATATACATCTGCACCATTATGACCGATTAGCAGTTATGTCAGCAAGACTCCTTCCTCCTATCTGACGGACTCCATGATTTCCCACATGACTGAGATCAGATCAACAGTCATAGACTTCATCGAGTGATCCCACATCTTCATGTGGTTAATCTGAACCCCGTCGTGAATTATTTCAACTTCTCCTAGCATACATAGCACGTCGAAGTGGCCGGTAGTGGTCCACATCTGAAGTACATATCCAAACTACCTCATTCAACTAAGCTTCACAACATTGTCAATTGACTATCCTTCATTGCTGCTTGATGCTCTTCGCCTTACTAACCTGAGTAATACTGACACAGTGATTGCACAATACACCAAGAATGCTATGAAGATACCTATGATCAAAACCCTATAACCGCTTCATAGTTTTTTTAGTTTTACCGACCATGTCTCACAGCCATATAAAGGCAGAGAACGGACTTCAGTGCAGTGTAATATACTCATACTTTGATAGATAGTGAGATATCTTGCTAGTTGGCCCTACAGATGACGTTGATTGTAAAATGCCGAACAGGTGTTCTGTATTCAAGTTGAGATTTTGTCAGTAATCAGCCTGTTCGAGGTGATAGGATTTCTCAAGTAAGTGAAGTGGTCGATATATTCCAACGGAGAATTACAGGCATATCGATTAATAGTGATACTTGGATTATATTGAAATATATTCTTATACTGATTCAGTGAGACTCGTGGCTCAGGTTCTTCTAGGACATTTATAACAATTATGGTCTAGAAGTTCATAATCATGTGGATATATTTTGATATTAATGATAGTAATAGTAATAATAATAATAATAAAAATTTGCTTTATTCCGCACCATAATTATGTTTACAGTACAGAACTCTCAGAGTGTGTTGTGACAGGATTATTGAAATGTTTAATAACTTCAGGGGCATGATAGTTGTTCTTTATTACAAAGTTGATTGAAAAGACTATGTTTACCGTGGTATTCTTCACGCATAATCATCATCAATATCAACACAGGACCAGGCATTACTGCGTAACAGTCGAAGTTGCCACATTTGGTTGTCCAATTCGACGGATGGTGCGGATATTTAAGGCTCTAATATGTAATTTGGAGCCTGGTTTAACGAGACCGAGGATGCTGTTTTGTGAACTCAGATCGTTCGTGAAGGTTGCAAATCTAGTAGAAATTCAAGATGATGTAGTATAGTTAGTTGAGAGGCGTGAAGGAAGATTAGAAGGTAATGATGGAGGAGGTGGATAGCAGTCAGAAGAAACTTCAGTGCTGACAGAGTTGTGAGGGTGGTTGACGCTTCCCGGCTGCCCACACCGTGGAAGGCTATTTCTTCTTAAAGTACCTGAAAGAGATTTTTGTGACCGTAGAGCCCATCGGACATCTGCTTGAGGCCTGTCACACGAAGCCTTTTGAGTATGATTATTTTGAACTTTTGTATTTTTGGGGCCGGATGGTCGAAGGGAAACGACAAGTGAACCAACACCGTCGGCCCGGTAGACCGTGAGGTATGGTGGAGTGTGTTATCTTTGGGGCCGACCTTTTCTAACCCCCCCCTTCCACTGAGAAGGCAGCATCAGCATGGCACTGCTGGTCATCCAAGGGAAACACCTTACTACTGTCACACCCCATCCGGCTAACAGCAGTACGACTTCGCCCTCGAACCCCCATTATTTACACCTCAACAGTAACTGTTTTTCGTCTAATCACTATCCAACAGACCTTTCTGGTATGTTAGGACCTCGAGGGAACAAGCGTTCCATCAGTATAGATCGTTGGGTCATTGTTATATGCAAGCCCGACCACCACGTCAAGGCAGCAGCTGTCGGTCGGGCTTCACATCTAATACGCAAGCTAAATAAAGTGATATAGTTGAATTTTTGTCATGTAGTTGTGCATGCATACAGTTTAGTATATTTGCTCCATGTCTCCCCAGACGACAGACATGCAGAGAGGTGTGAATGCAGAAGATGCTTGTCATCAGATGAAATAGTTTTAGCCGGAACTGTCTACAAGAGTTCACATGCCTATCCACATGACTGGATTTATCAGTTAGGTTAGGTGGTGTTCTACTTGCTTTACTAACAGCCTTCAATCCTGGAGTCCAGGAAAGAATAAAGTGGGAGAGGTGGAGGAGGGGATGAGTAATTATAGGTGAAACACAAGAATTAATGAAACGTATGAGTAGAGACTGAGTTATGCCAGACAGTCTGAAAAAGGTCAAGTAAAGGATCTTCCTGGAAATCAGTAAGATATGAGGAGACCAAGAAAGATTAGAAGAAAAGCATAGGCCAAGATGGACCACGCTAACTAAATTCCCTATAACAGAAGCATCTACAAGACAAGAGTCATTGAACTGAAGGAATATACAAACGTCTTTTTCATGTCTTAAGCTAAAATTAACCATCTGACATTTGGAAGGAATTAAGTGTGAGGTTATGTAAGGCAAGTTGTTTAAACTTTGTAACGGAATCGGTGTGACATACTTAATATTTGACTACGATATATCGGATATATTGTATTCCTTATTATATTCGATTGACTGTTTACTTTTTTCCAACCAAAAAAAACACTTTCTCTAGGTCTTTCCATTCCGTCTGATCCAGAGTCATCTATGATCAGTGTTCCTGGACATCATTATCATTATCCAAATTTAGATTCAACTATTGGAAATTCTACACTTGGCCGACCGCATCTAATTCGTGTTAGTTCTAGTGGTCGTTTACGTTTAGCTCAACATATGATTGATCCTCGATTAGTTCCACCGTCAACAGCTGCTTTAATCGATCCTGTCATGTTGGCACCGTATGATAATGGCACCCTAGAAGGTGGAGACTGTGATGATACAACAGATGAATTTGCTAGAGCATCAGTATTAGGCCCTTTAAGACGGGTTAATTCATTTGAATCATTGCATCGGTTACCTGGAGGACGTAAGTACTTGATTACTGTTTTTTTTTAAAAAAAATTCTTTTACCAAATCAAGTCAAAAGAACTTTGATTGTACGGTTAACACGATAGTAGATGCACAGATATGTGTATCTTCCAAGTACACAAGATAATTGCTTTAAACCATTATTGGTTGAAGACGTTGAAACTCAACTCACTAACTCAGTAAAACTGAAAACTTCAAACAGCTAAAGACTCCTATATTGTTTATAAAAAGCAACAATTTGAACAACGAAGAATAGTTCTTTTCAACAGAATTCTCTCATCACCTTCTACAATTATAAAATGTTGGCTAAAACCAAGTCATATTGGCAGCAGTTACATCCTCAAAATGGAGTAAGATCTAGGGATTGTGAAGGAAATCGATTTATTTGTATATTGTAAATTAGTCAATACTGGGATGATACATATATACATAATGAATGATATGATGGCAGGAGTGGCCTTTAGTTATTTGTTGAAGCCCAAGGAAGAAGTAACACTTGGACATGTTCTCTCTGAATGCATAGTTCAGGTTTCATTAATCGTTTTACGACAGCGTCAGTTATGTTGAGTAGGCGTTGCCGAGCTACATGTGGTATCTTCTTTGGAACACGATGAATGATATTGAGAGCTGTATTAACATCTATGTGATGCCCTGTGTTGACTAGATGGGCTACGAGTGAACTTTTCACCACTTTCACTTCTCCCTTTCCTAACAAAGCTGATAAATCCTCTCATATCCGAAGACACACCTACCTAATCGTATGCCATATGTAACTAATTCCACAGGAACAGTTAAATTGATATATGCAAGATGACAAGACATCACATAGATGTTAATACAGCTCTCAATGTTATTCATCGTGTTCCGAAAAAGATACTACACGTAACTCGCCAACAATTGCTTAGCATAGCGGAAGCTGTCATAATAAGATTGATCAAGCCTGAACTCTGCATTCAGAAGGAACATATCAAAGTGTTACTTCTCCCTTGGCCTTCAACAAATAACTAAAGACCACTCCTGCCATCATATCATTCATTATGTATATATGTATCATCTCAATATTGACTAGTTTACAATATAAAGATAAGTCGATTTCCTTTACAATCCCTAGATCTTACTCCATTTTGAGGATGTAACTGCTGCCAATATGACTTGGTTTTAGCCAACATTTTATAATTGTAGAAGGTGATGAGAGAATTCTGTTGAAAAGTACTATTCTTCGTTGTTCAGATTGTTGCTTTTTTGAAAATAAAGACACTGATGACTTCAAATTCATTGTCTCTTCTAATACTTAATCATCACTGGTAGATGTTATAGCTAATTGGTGTACACAGTCAACTGGGAACTAGTAGGTTGTCGGTATGAACCCCATTTCATCCACCATGGGTAGAATCATAGCCTTAACACTATGGATGTTGTAGTATATAGCTTATAACGTACATGCGGACATAATTAATGATTATTATTATTATTTTTATCATTATGAATTTATTGGATCCACTTCAACAAACTGGACTGTATTTTTGTTCATTATAGGTTCACAAACGTATCATCGTGGTTTTGGAGCATGTGCACCAGGCGGACGAAATTTACTACCTGTTGGAGTTAATGTTTCTTGTTCTGTTAATGGTGCAAATGGTGTTTCAGTTTCATTTTTTGAATCAGGTAGTAGTATTCAACCATCTGATCCTTCAGTAGCCTATCGTGGAAGTGTACTTTCGAGTACAACAGTTTCATCAAATCATGAAGAGTTAATGCAAGCCTATGAATATGGTCGTAAGCATCATTTACGGTCATGTCTTACCTTACCATCGAATGCAGCTTTACCTCATCTTGTACCTGTTAACTTTGGTACACGATTAGTTCCTGCCCACTTGAATATAGGATTAGATCATTCAGTGAACACTGTTGGAGCTCATCCTTCATTAACTGGTGCAGCGGGAATCGCTGAAGGTGACGTCAGTGGTGGTTCTGCATCTAGTGATGCCACAGATTCTGGAATACGACAGTTTACTCAACAACCACCTCAACCAGATGAAGCACGGCATGCAGCGTGTGAAGTTCCACTTATTTATGATGGTGAGTTTAAATCAGTACAGCTTAAACGTTAAAGTACTACTTACTGTCATTACTGTTAGTAGTATAAATGGGGAGCTGTCAAATTCAGGATCGAAAAGACAGCAAGATAGGCCTTCCTTCATTAATCTGAAATCAGTGTGGAGATCTACTGCACCCAACTTAACATAAAGAACAAGATCCGGGTTTCCGATACTCATTCAGTCAAGTCAGTGCTTCTATGTAATGGTTGAGGGACTTGACGCGTTACGAAAAGCATTTCCAACAAACTACAGACATACATGAACAGCTGCCGCTTACGCTCACCCGATACTGAAGATCAAATGAGAAGGCGAGAAAGAATAAGCAGGGAGGAACTGTGGCCTGGCAATGAACCAACCAACAAAGCAAGAAGCTGTCACGGAAAAAATATGCGAAGAAAGTCGAGATGGATCGGGCATACACTGAGAAGATTATTTAGGGTTATCACGTGCCAGGCCAGGCGAAGCCTTTGAGTGGAACTTAAAGGGGAAACGATGAGTTGGGTATCCGAGGGTGACATGGAGACGATTGTAGCAATAATGTAAGGAAGAAATGAAAGGTTATGGTCATTCGTGGAGGCAATTTGAAAAGCCTGAAGGGAAGAGAATGTAATGGTGACGTTGCTACTAAAGCAGTGTGTTGCACTAGGAACAACGAATTCCTTAATACCGGTGGAAAGATTAGTGAATAAGATTTTGCCGGATTTGTTATTTTCGGGATATTTTTTTTATGAAATCAAAATGAATTCTTTTTGTAAGAATATTTATAGTAATAACCTTTATTCTTTGTAGTTAATCAACTAACTTCTCGAAATATTGTTCCTGGAACTACTGGACATCGTAATGGTGGTATCGGTGTCGGTATCGGTGTTGGTGGTATTCCAGTTTTTGCTATTCCACGAACAAAATCTAGTAATCGTCTTCATCAATCGAAACTAATAAGATGTGATTCTGACTGTCCATCTGATATGACAGCAGACACCTATGCTACAGTTGACTATACTAGTGGTGCACCTTACACTTCAATATCATCAACACAACAAAACTGTCAAATACGTGGAAATATAACAAATTCAGGTATTCAAAGAAATTTATATGGACAAACAGCAGGTAATCCAACTTTTTCTTCAACACGTACCTATCAACCGCTTCCTGCACCACCACCATCATCATCGACTATTGGATAGTAAGATATACTGTGAATTATTGATTTAAATAATTTTTTTAATATTTTATATGATTCCTCATATTAGCGGTACAGACAAATCTCACTATCATCCATCCATCCATCCAAATCAACATAGGATCAGGCATTACTGCATAACGATCCAATTTCTCGCCACACCCCATATCATAACATCAAGTAAAAAGCCAGTGAAGTGGAAGATGAAGATAAGAGAGTTCACTCAAAAGAAATACGAAGTACGAAAAGACAGAAAGTAAGGATGAGAAAATGATGAGATTCGGTAAAGCGTTAAGATGAGAATAATGTGTGTGGCGATACATGTGTGCGACTGACTTTGGGTATGAGCCATATGATCACCTAGAGTCAGTCTTCAATCACTTGTTCCTGTTATCTCGTGGACCCCAACCTACTAGTCTGCATCTCCCCCCACCACAGTGAAAGACTTCATACATTGATGCGATGTTTTAGTCTGGCCGTCTCTAATCTTTTCCAGCCTGAATCTACTTCGACCAATATTGTGTGATGAGACAGATTGTGACTGGACATACGTGATACATGTCCCAGTGAGCTATCTCAGTCGATGAAGGTTCACAATCACATCAACTGACTCAACTGACCTCTTCTCCCAAAATTCTACACCCGACTTTTATATTCGTACAGAGATTTCACCAGCCACTGACCCACCAGGACAGGACTGATCCCACTTCCCAGGTTAGTGAAGTGGTCGATTCACTCAATCACTACACTCTTTGTTATTAACCGAGGTACTGTTGAAGATCTATCCTGGAGAAATAATTTGCATTTGGCTAGTAAAACACAGGTTTCATTAGCCAGATCAAAAAGACAAACAAACACACTAGAGTCTACTGTTTCACTGATTGACAATTGAACTCATATCTGGTCAAAGTAGACTTACAATGAGATTGAAATTTACTCCAACTGAATTTAGTCATAATTGGCTAAAATCACGTATCAGTTTTGTTAATTCTCTACAAATTTCACTATTCATATTTGTCCCTTGGGTTCCTAGTGGAACATACAGCTTCAGTAACACGTCTCCAATGCGCTCTGTTCTCTGAAATCTTTTAAACCTAGCTCCACAACAGCCCAGGAGCTCTCATTTCTTCCTCAGGCCATCTCCTACATGTCACCCTCACTTCGGACGCCAAACTCGTCGTTTGCCATCTGGGTTCCGACCGAGTGCCTGGCCTGGCGCGTGATGTACGCAGTCGGTCTTCTCAGTGTATGCCCATCCAATCCATCTCCACTTCCTTCCACTGCATATTTGTTGAGCGATAGGTTCTTGCTTCGTTGGTTGGTTCGTTGCCAGCCAGCCGAAGTTCCTTGTTGCTTATTCTAATCATTCTGGCCATCTGATCTTCAGTAACGAGCCAGTGTAGGCAGTTGTTGATGACTATCTGTAGTTTGTTGGAAATCCCTTTTGTAACGCGCCAAGTCTCTGAGCCATACAGAAGCACTGACGTGACTGAATTGGTGTTGAAAATTCGGATCTTGTTCCAAATGCTGAGTGCAGAAGATCACACTGGTTTCAGGTTTATCAACGCCTATCTTGCTGTGTTTCTGATCCTGGCTGGCTTTGACGCCCTCGTGTGTGCCTGTGCTCCCTGTAGTTGAAACAGGGCTGCCTAGGTAGATGAAAGAGCCTACTTCCTTTAAGTTTCTCCCATCGATAGTGATTGGAGCATAATAACGTTGCATAATTACTGTCTAGGAAGTGAATCTAAAGACGGCCATGACAGCTGAAGTAGTCAATTAGTTCTCTTAATATTTGTCAAAATAAACAGCTACTTTTCCAACCAGAAAGTAGTTGTTTAACATTCGATCCTCCTTCAACTCGTCAGCAGACGATTTGAACCCGCATTACTCATCGCTGAAGTTTTGACCAGTGAGTGAGTCATTGAATGGAAGGACTTAGCTTTTAAGTAATCGGTCATGGATTTAGCATTCACTTTGTCTACTTGGGTATGGGCAACTGAAAAGTATCATAAATCCTCTTACAGCGTATAGTTCTCAGTCTAGTAGATAAAAATGTACTGGGTTGAGTTACGTAATATTTGGTCACTGGATGGATGATAACCGTAATGACTTCTATATCTCAAGTGTTCAGCATTGATCAAAGTCTTGACATTTGAGAGATAGCGTTGACTGATTGTTGATCGGTGATATATCTTCCCGATGAACGTCAATAAGTATGACACCTGTGTCAAGTCTTTCTGAAGTCATATTGCATGTCGATATCGTAATACTCAGCTTATTGGAAAAAGGTAGAAAAAGTTGTGCGAGAGAACAAACAGTTTTAAGATAAAGGTTAATTCAAATATATAGAATGTAGAAGACGTCAAGGAGTGAATACATTGACACCATTGTGAACAATTTTCAGCCGTGTCACTAGGAATCCCCCCTCAATCACTGATTGCTATTGTATCGATGATCCCAGCCAGGTAGTCTACATTTCCTCGCATAGCTCAGACTAAGAGTCGGGGACTTGATCAACTATTGGCAGATCTTAGTTTGTCTATCCTAAACTCTCTTCCAACCTTGCTCAACTTCACCTTTAGGTAGGCGGTGACTAAGCATGCTCACTACATGTCCAAGCCATCTCAATCGACTAAGGTTCACAATCTCATCAATCGACCTGTCTAACTTCAGTAGTACCCTTAGTCTGACGTCAGTATTACTCACACAATGATTCTATCAAACGCGAGCAAGGCTAGGAAGACATCTATGATCAAAATGCTGTAAGCGCTTCATATCTTTTACTTTCAAGACCATGTCTGACAGCTGTATGAGACGACAGGATGAACTGCGGTGCAGCGCAGCACAGTATACTCCTCCTTTTGATAGATAGTCAGTTAGCTGACAAGTTCACATCCCATGTTGACTTATTGGTTTAAGACATGAGTTTTCACTTACATTTTGTTTTGCTCAATGCTGAATTATCTTTACCTTCGCTTACTTGTTCTTTCCTTCTAAAATTTCAGTTCTGATGCTGATCCATCGACTACCTACGGTCCAGGAGCAATATATGATGATTCTGGACACTGTCAACAAGCATCTTATTATTTTCATCATCCTTCAACTGGGACTAATATTCTACGATCTGGTGGATTCAGTAATCCAGTGACATCATTATCTCATCAAATGGTTGTACCTTATTCAAATCAAATGAAACGAAGAGGTACGTTTATCCATTATTGTACATGTAAGAAAAGTGATATTGCCCACTCACTTTATTCTCATTTAATTATGTCATAGGTATGGTTGTATGGCTGTATATCTCTCCTTATTTGACCTCCTACAGGATAAATGATCTTGTCAAAGGAGACTTCTTAGTGTAGTTAGGATACTCAAATGGGATAGATAGTTCATTAGTTGAATATGCTGACAAGATACATAGCCCTCTCAACACTTTGAGTAATGATATGAGAATATTTAGGAGATGTTTCACATCTTCTGAGTGAACAATTACTGCAAGGCAGTTCTTCATTAAAGTCTCAGTGTCTGATAAAATTTTTGCACAATTACAAAAGGGTTTATTTCATTTTTCGCACTGGTATGATGTTCAATTACATGTTAAAGGGATTGAGCCTATTACACTGTAGTTCATTCTGAAATAATGGAGAATATTTGTAGCTCAGGTGGATAGTCTTGGTTGTATTGTGTTCTCTGAGGAGCTGGGTTGTTTAATCGTGAAGCTTTCATCCTCTTTCTAGACAGCGACATCATCAGCACTAACTTCAGTATGAAGGGAGCTGTCAATATCTCTCCACCAGTGATTTTTAGTAGTTGGCCTTGACGAAGTGGTCTGTGATTGGTTGTTTCCTTTTATTATTGTGTCATTGACCGGCTGTATATATTTTTCTGTTGGCTGTTTCCCTGCTGTTTCCACTCTCCATCGCAGATTTCTACATTGTCGAAATTGATTTCATGCCCATATTTGTTATCCACGTACATTGAAATGAGTGATGAAATGTTGTGTATGAGGTTTAATAGCCAATTGGTGCTCATGTAGACGAAGGTGAAGGTGGGGCGACCATTTTGTCCAGTGTGGTGTTGACTACAGTTATTGCTGATGATGTCGTCTAGAAGGACGATGATTAAACAACCCAGCTCAGAGAGCACAATACAACCAAGTAATCCATTCTTTTCTGTTGTCTATATGGTTTTGGAAAATAAAGTTGTGAAGTTTCATTGAGTCAAATAGCTGGGACGTGTGTTATACACGCCCAACCAACGTCGTCTACTTCGTCGTCAGCTGAAGTAGACAACCAAATTAATACATGACTTCAGTCTATGAAGTCCTTAACTGTTAGTTTAAGCAGCAGTCTAGGTTAGCTAGTGTCTGTCTACATGACAACCGAAATCAGTGGTTTGGAGACTGGGCGATATAGTTCAGAAGTGGTCTCATTTCCGTAGATATAATGTCATGTAAATCATCATACCGCAGTTTATAATTGTTTCACCCCTTCTTGTTGTCTACTCATGACTTTCTACTGGTTTACACTACTAATCTCCCTTATTTCGTTATATTTTCCTGAAGTTATCACTGATGTATGTGGGTCTCCTAACTTGGTGGTCATATTGCAAAGTGATTGATAGAAGCTGGTTAGTACTCAGAAGACCAGACAACATGAGATTGATTGTTCTCCAGTAATCAATCAAAGTATTATTTAGACTTTGTTTACTCACCACTTACTACTTTGTCCTCGGTTATCACACAACCTTTATCTTTATCAGCCGTCTTTTGATCCACTTTCATTCATCCATCCATCCAAATCAACATAGGATCAGGCATTACTGCATAACGATCCAATTTCTCGCCACACCTCATATCATAACATCAAGTAAAAAGCCAGTGAAGTGGGAGATGAAGATAAGAGAGTTCACTCAAAAGAAATACGGAGTACGAAAAGACAGAAAGTAAGGATGAGAAAATGATAAGATTCGGTAAAGCGTTAAGATGAGAATAATGTGTGTGGCGATACATCTGTGCCATTGACTTTGGGTGTGAGCCATAAGATCACCTAGAGTCAGTCTTCAATCACTGGTTCCTGTTATCCCGTGGACCCCAACCAACTATTCTGCATCCCCTCACCACAGTGAAAGACTTCATACATTGATGCGATGTTTTAGTCTGGCCGTCTCTCTTATTTTTCCAGCTTGAATCTACTTCGACCAACATTGTATGATGAGGCAGATTGTGACTGGACATACGTGATACATGTCCCAGTCAGCTATCTCAGTTGATGAAGGTTCACAATCACATCAACTGACTCGACCGACCTCTTTTCCGTAAGACTGTACACCTGACTTCTACGTTACTCACTTGGTGACTCCATGACACACCATAGTGTATGCTAAGAAAGCAACGATGGTCAAACACCTGAAGCCTACTCATGTCTAGTTAGGCCTTCCTGTCTGCCGAATGTGTTAGGATTCAACATAATGTGAAATGTCCCAGCTTTCCGTCTATCCTTTTAGTTTGAAAAACCTTTCTGAATACCTTTCAAATATTTTCAATATCAACTTTATGACTATGGTGGATGGCAGGAACAGCAATCGGCGATTTGATTTGTAAATCTTTCAGTTCTACAGGATTATTTGATGAAGGAGGTCATTTTGTGTAGATACATTTCTTTAGACTGTGTTTACTCATCGCTTATTACTTTGTCATCGAGTATTACACAACCTTTATTTTCATCAGTCACCTTTTGACCAATTTTCATTATCCACAAGCCGACATTTTCATATTGTTTTCTTGGTTTTTATCATCGTCACCATCGTGTGTATTACAACTGCTATCGTTATGACTCCTAACGTTATTATTATTATTATTATCAACATTATTTTTACTATCCTTACTATCATAATTACCATTACTATCATCACTATTGTCATCTTTATCAATATTACTATTAGTATTATTATCGCTGTCTTTATTATCCTCATAACTATTATTGATACTGCATGAAGGGGGAATTTGGATCGCGGCCAGATTCGAACCAGCGGCCACCCGGTTTCTCGCCCGATACTGTACCAATTGAGCTACGAGGTAATCCGTGTGTCACCGGTTCGAATCTGGCAGCGGTCTAAATTTTTATTTCACCTTCAATTATCACCCAGTATAAATACTAGTCAGCCAAACCACGGGTAATATCTCAGATAGTCAACATGTTAATTATCATTATTATCTTCATTATTATTATTGTTTTTATCACCGCAATTATCACTACCATTACCATCATTATTATTGTTATTATTATCATTATGATTATTACTATTATTATTAGCGTTGTCATCATCATTCCCATGGTCATTTTACAACACTTATCCACTATGACTGGAAAAGTCTGTATTATTCGTTTTATCATTTGACTGTCTGAGATGGCAGCCATGGTTTGGCAGACTAGTATTTATACTAGGCGATGATTGAAGGTGAAATGGAAATTTGGACCGTGGTCGGATTCGAACCAATGACCACCTGGTTTCCGGTCCGATGCTCTACCAAGTGAGCTGTGAGGTTCTACTGCTGACCACATTTGTATTTCACCTCAATCACAAGCGGAGTTATTATCAATCCCATTATTATCACTACTATTACTATTGTTATTATCATATCCATGAGTAGACATTTTCATACTGTTTTTCTGGTTCTCACTATCATCATCTGGTTTATAACTGCTCTGTTTTGGTCAACACCATCGCCGTAACCGCAAACCTTATCATTATTATTATTATCACCATCATCATTTTATAACGCTTATGACATTATACATATTAGACCGTTTATATATACGAGTAAAGCTTGAAATGAAAAATCTCGTAACCTTTCGTACAAATAATTTTCCATACACCATAACTATTCAGTTTACCTAACACACAAACCTTTATCAACCTCATTCAACAACGATATGAAGACACCACATGCCAAGTGATCCACAATGGGAAGCTCAGTGACGCCTTCGAAATGAAGACAGGAGTAAAACAAGGCTGTCTACTATCCCCCATGATCTTCCTGATTGTGGTCGACTGGGTCTTACAGCAAACTGTGAGGAACGATAAGATGGGCATACGCTGGACCGAAGCAAAGATCCTAGAAGATTTGGATTTCGCCGATGAGTTGTGTCGAATGTCACACACACTTAAAGATCTACAGGCGAAAACTAACAAGTTGACAGAAGAGGCAGCGCAGCGAAGACGGGACTTCAAGTGAATATAGAGAAGACAGAGGTGATGATGATACCCAACTAACAACAACAACAACAACAACAAGCTCCAATCACGATGAACTGGAGAAACTTAAAGGAAGTAGCCTCTTTCATCTATCTAGGCAGCATCACCTCAACTACAGACAGCACAGACGCGGGCGTCAAAGCCAGGGAGGATCGAAAAAGCAAGACAGGCGTTCATTAACCTTAAACCAGTGTAGAGATCTGCTGCACTCCACTCAGCATAAAGTATGAACAAGATCCAGATTTTCAACGCCAATTCAGTCATGTAAGTCAGTGATTCTATGTGATGGTTGACAGACTTGGCGCGTTACGAAAAGCATTTCCAACTAACTACAGACATTCATCAACAACTGACTACACTGGCTCGTTACTGAAGTTCAGATGAGAAGACGAGAAAGAATAAGCAACAAGGAACTCTGGCAACGAACCAAGGAAGCGAGAACCAATCACTGAACAAATATCACGCAGCAGGCACTTGTGTGAAACGACGAGTTGGGCGTCCGAGGTGAGGGTGACATGGAGAAGATGGTGTGAGGAAGAAATGAGAGCTTGTGGGCTGTCGTGGAGGCAGGTTGAAAAGGTTGCAGAGAAGGGAGTGGAATGGAGACGTGTTACTGAAGCCCTGTATTCCATTAGGAACCCAAGGGACAAATTATATATATATATATATATATATATATATATATATATATATATATATATATATATATATATATATATATATGGCAACAATACTGTCCTCTGATATGTCGTGTTCTGACTTTTGTAGTGACCAGTTAGTTGGTAGTTTTTTACCTAACCTATAGTTAGGTATGTTGTTACAAGTTGTCGATTAGAAGAATTATGAGTTTGCAGTGATCATGAGAATCTGGAAGTGGTAAGAGGAGAAGAAAACCGTAAACTGACGATAACTCAGCAAGTACACGAAATATGCTTGGATTTAATAATAAACGATAATCTATAAACGGTAATGGGACAAATGAGGCGAATAGATGAGGCAGTCTGGAAATTGAAACTGAAAATTGGATGATAAGTGTTTCAAATGCGTTACACTGCTCCCCTCTGTTGAAAAAGTACAATCCTTATGCTTGATTGTGTTTCTCGGTAAGGTTGAGGCTTGGCTATGATATGTATATGAAGCTTATTCGAGTTATATTCATTGGATGGTTGGATAACCGCAAGCCGGATCATACTCCAGCTGTTGGTACCTTTTTTCGTATAGCCTATAAGTAGGTATGTTGTTGTAGTGAGAGGCACCTAGTAGAGTGTGAATTTAGTGATGCCACGAGAATCTGGAAGGGAAAATATGACCTGATGAATCAACAGGTACACAATATGTACTTACATTTATAAGAGTGAAACGTAATCGCTACTTTAATTACGCTCATAAACAATCTTTCATGTCAGTCCAGTCACCAGGATAATTTTTATCAGTAGCAATCATCACCAATTGAATACGAGTAGTCACGACGATTCTAATATTCGTCTGTTGTTGTTGTTGTGTTTTTTTAACTGTACACTGTGTATATTGTGTTATAGATATGAGAAAGCAAACATCCGGCCGTACAAATCCCCGTCAACTTAATAAACTGCATTCAAGACAACTATCTGAACCTAGTGAAGATGAAAGTGTTGGACTACTTGCTGCAGCAGCAGCAGGTGGAGCTTCCAGTTCGTAAGTATTTCACTTTATATATCCTTCATTAATATAGTTTTGGTATTATTGTGTTATAAGTAGTAATGATGGGCAGTGGCTAGCAGGGGAATCCAGGATGCGCATTTCGTCCTATTTGGGACTCACCAGTCAGCTGGATGTACCTACCTCCCAGTGAGTGTTGTTCCCATCGGGACTCGGACCCGGGGGCGATCACTTCATGCGCGAGAACGTGATCCACTACACTACACTCATATATGTCTGCGTCTCATTGGACATAAGAGGAAGTTTAGCAACAAGGCTACTGCAAGTGGACCTTGACAATGAGAGCACAAAGGCTGCTTTCGGTGAGAAACTGGCTCGACAGTTATAGAAACAGAGCAATATCAACCATCCAGAAGAAGCTTGGCACCATCTGCAGTCTGCTTTAAAAACACCGTCGAAGACCGTAGCCGACTGTCAAAGAGTGGTTAAAAAGAGGCGATGGGTCCCAGCAACTTCTCCTGAATTAGTGAATGCACACAAGTGCATCTGTGTAGGTTCCAAGTACGATATTAAGTGAATGGGACTCAAACGTAGACTGACAAAACGTCTTCGGGATGACGGCGAACAGTGGTGGGCAGGGAAGGTTACAGAGAAGGAAATGGCATCGGCGATAAGTAACAATGGACAGTTATTTAGACCTAATAAGGAAACTGGAGCGAAAGTTCTATGGTTGCTCAAATGATAGAGGAGAAGGATGGGTCTTCAATTCACTTGTGGGAGAAACGACTGAAAGGATGGGCGGGACACTTCGAGGAAGAGTTCAACTAGCCTCTTGCTACTACTTCATTACCCGCTATTTAGTTGGAGCTTGAATGAAACATCGAGGTAGGACCGCCAGTAGTTACAGAAGTCGATGAATCTGTAGGTGACCTGAAACGAGGAGGAGCAACACAGCAAGACGGATTAGTTCCAGAGGTACTTAAAGACGATGTTGGATGACTTATAGTCAGCTGAAGTGTTAACTAGTGTATTGGAGTCAAATATGATTCCTTCTTACTGGTCCCAATCACTGACTATCTCAGTCTTCAAGAAAAGAGAGAATTCCTCTTGCAATAACCACAGAGGAATCAGCCTGACGAACATAATATGCGTGGTCCTATGTTCCATAATTATCAGACACCTGAGTGAAGTTCAGGAACAGCAAAACCAAGAAAACTAGGCAAGTTTAAGACCTGCTCATCGGTGTATCGATCAGATGTTCACACTCCACCAGGTTCTGAAACGCAGGCACACATACCGACGTCTGATATTGACTGTATTTCTTGCCCTGAAAGCGGCGTTCGACCCCATCGACCGAGACGTCGTATGGTAATGTCTCTCGCTGGAAGTGGGTACAGAGTAAGTACATCACCTTATTGAAGGCTCTTTACTCAGACACTTGTGGACGTGTAAGGGCCTATGGTGAGATGTCAGGTGAGTTGTGTACGTCGAGTGACGTCTATCGAAGATACTCACTGTCTTCATTCTTATTCAATTTTATGGAACTCTCCCTCCTGTCATCTGACTTCAGAGGGATTGACCTAATCACAGCAGAATTTTTGTTGACCTAGAATATGCATACGACATGAAGACGTTGACAAGATGCAGAGTCTTCTGGACACCTGTAGTGGCAATTTGAGAATGTTTGAGATGGGTTTCTGGCCACCGAAGTACAAATTATTACTCCAGGACTTATCCTCAGACGTGGTGCTTCGGCTGACAATAGAGAGTGAAATGGTTGAGTGCATTAACCACTTCACTTACTTTGGAAGTTGTATCAGCCCTAGTAGCTCTGTTAGTAGCCAATGAAGTCTATGCGGGGGATACAAAAGCCGTACTCGTTTTTGCCAACTTACGCTATCTGTGGTATTATTATGATTATTATTTATCCCTTGGTTTCCTAATGGAACATAGGGCTTCAGTAGCACGTCTCCATTCCACTTTCTTCTTTCCAATCTTTCCAACCTGGCTCCACGACAGCCCGCAAGCTTTCACTTCTTCTTTACACGATCTCCTTCATGTCACCCTCAACTGGGACGCTCAACTCATCGCTTCCCATCTGGGTTCCACTCAAGCAACTGGCCTGGCGCATGATGTCCTCGAATGATTTTCTCAGTGTATACCTAATTAATCTCCACTTTCTTCTGCATATTCGTTGGGCAATGGGTTCTTGCTTTGTTGGCTCGTTGCCAGAGTTCTTTGTTATTTATTCTTTCTGGTCATGTGATCTTTAGTATCGAGTGCTCGCAGGCGGCAGCTGTTGATCAGTGTCTGTAGTTCGTTGGAATTACATACTGCACCATACTGATGATTATATGAGATTAATCACCATCTGTGGTGCCTCCACGTTATAGTTTTTTGTTATATGCTTCTCCGTAGTTAGTTGTGAAACATGGCCACTAGAGATATAAGACATGAAAAGTCTCCAGGTGTTTGATCACCTCTGCTTTTGCAGCATGAATCGTGTTTCATGCTATCACTAAGTGAGTAAAGTTTCAAGAAGGAGAAGAAAGTCAGTTGATGGCGTTATGAACCTTCATCGATTGAGATATCTAATCATCTGTATTTATTGGTCACGGGAGTGCAACCAATTCCATGTTGTCATATTTGCAATGTGGCAACCAAGCTAGCTCCAGGGCTTCCTGCCGATTGCCTCCAACCAACTAATATCTACTAATGTGCACCGCGCACCAACACCAACGTCAAGTCAGTGCTTCTGTATGGTTCAGAGACTTGGTGCGTTACGAAAGGCATTTCCAACAAACTACAGACATTCATCAACAACTGTCTATGCTGGCTGGTTACTGAAGATCAGATCAGCAAGCCAGAAAGAATAAGCAAGGAAGAATTCTGGCTGGCCTGTCAATGAACCAACCAAGAACCTATCGCTGAAAAAATATGCAGTGGAAGGAAGTGGCGATGGTTTGGGCATACACTGAGGAGGCCGACTGGGGACATCACTCGTCAGGCCCTCGAGTGGAACCGCGATGGGAAGCGACGACTTGGACGCCCCAGCTGCGGTTGACATGGAGATGGTGTGAAGAGGAAGTGAGAGCTTGTGGGCTGTTGTGGAGCCAGGTTCAAAAGATTTCAGAAAACAGAGTCACTGGAGACGTGCTACTGAAGGCGTATGTTCCATTAGGAACCCAAGGACAAATAATAATAATGTGCACCGCGATGCTGAGCTTCCTAGCTTGCTTGCCACATTGCAGATATGATGGATAGAATTCCGTCTGCACTCGGGACTAGACAAAATGAAATTGTTTGCACTCCCGTGACCAATTAATACACGTAAGACAGTCCTACAGGAGGTCAATCGCAGCCCGAACAGTTCAGTGGTGAAGTCGCTGACTGCAACACTGGGTGACGTGGGTCCGAATCTCAGGCGAGACATCAGTTCCATCGAGGTTGCAGATACGCCTTGTTGACGAGTGCCAGAAAGCACGAAACCTAGGTTAGACAGGGCTTCCTTCCAATTATCTCCAACCAACTAAGATATCTAATCACCGTCTACCTCAATTATACAATGTTAGCTGAAGTTGGTTCAGGCTGAAAAATGCTTTTTTACCTAATGAATGATGCTGACTACTATGATTACCACTGAAAATAATCCTTTTCATATCCTTTTTCTGTTTATTCTTTCAATTTAGCCATCCAATTGATGTTTATAATTCAGCCATACGTGGTCAACTGTATACTGCTGGTAGTCGAGTAGCTGGTGTTACTTCCACCTCTGTTACCGCAACTAACGTTGTTGTTAGTGGACATCAGGGAAATTTATCCACTTCAAATCAAATTGAACCACCAGAAGAAAATGTTTATACTTCAGAATTTGTACTTGTTTGAATAAAATAACTGAGTTCACTCTATCAAAGCATACAGAGAAATATCTTTTCTACCTCAATCTCTATATCCATACATCTCATCGCCAAGAGAACCATCCACCCCATCCCACCGCATCCCACCCCACCTCGCCTCGCCTCCCCTCTAAACACACACATACCGAAAACTCAAGATAAAATCAATACAGATTATGATAGCACTTGAAGAAGAGAGAACCGAAATTAGAAATAAACACAAAGAAAGGCAATACAATTATTCAACAAGGGGGCTAATATCTCTTGACCCCAGGAGAATTAGAATCAGTCATATATATATACAAGCACAACCACAGAGACACACACATACACACATACATACACAATGAAAAAGACTAGATGAAGTGGGATCAATTTCATATTGTATGATATAGAGAAGATAATGGATGAAATGAGAAAAGAAGGAGAGAGAGTTATACAATTCCAGAGGAAATCAGAATTTGTACTTGTTTAAATGAAATAACTGAGGTCACTTGTGTATATGTGTGTGTGTGTGTTTGCGTTTACGTCCATAATGTTTATACACTTTACATCTCCTAGGAAGAACACTTAGCATCTATCTTCCCTTTCCAGTTCATTTTTTTTGGTGTATTCATATAATTTCAAGTTGTTATTCATCGTAGATTGACTGACATCAGTTGGGGAACCATTGAAAACTGGGAGCACTTGACAGTTGTTTCGTCCGACTATGGGACTCCTCAGCAGTGCTCTGAGGCCGCGGAACCTGAAGGTCATGGGTGCGCCCTGCTGGTTCCCCAACTGATGTCAGTCAATCTACGATGAATAACAACTTGAAATTATATGAATACACCAAAAAAAATGAACTGGAAAGGGAAGATAGATGCTAAGTGTTCTTCCTAGGAGATGTAAAGTGTATAAACATTATGGACGTAAACGCAAACACACACACACACATATACACAAGTGACCTCAGTTATTTCATTTAAACAAGTACAAATTCTGATTTCCTCTGGAATTGTATAACTCTCTCTCCTTCTTTTCTCATTTCATCCATTATCTTCTCTACATCATACAATATGAAATTGATCCCACTTCATCTAGTCTTTTTCATTGTGTATGTATGTGTGTATGTGTGTGTCTCTGTGGTTGTGCTTGTATATATATATGACTGATTCTAATTCTCCTGGGGTCAAGAGATATTAGCCCCCTTGTTGAATAATTGTATTGCCTTTCTTTGTGTTTATTTCTAATTTCGGTTCTCTCTTCTTCAAGTGCTATCATAATCTGTATTGATTTTATCTTGAGTTTTCGGTATGTGTGTGTTTAGAGGGGAGGCGAGGCGAGGTGGGGTGGGGTGCGGTGGGATGGGGTGGATGGTTCTCTTGGCGATGAGATGTATGGATATAGAGATTGAGGTAGAAAAGATATTTCTCTGTATGCTTTGATAGAGTGAACTGGTTATTTTTATTGATTTCAAGTTACTGTGTACCCCAGCCCCATCGTCGCCCACGTGTGTGTGTGTGTGTTTGAAAAAGTTTTGCCAAGTGTCTTTTTTTTCCTTCTAAAAATATACAAAAGAAATAATGATTGATCATGTTCTTGTCTTATTTGTTAATCAATAAATTCGGTGTTGAAAAGGATGAACGTCAGCAAATGGATCATCGAAAATAAGGCAGCAGTTATCGAGTGTTTTACCATTGTTTTGAAGTGTAATATTCACTGTTCCTTACTTACAACTACCTACGGAGTAGAGCTGAGAAGCATCGATTGTCATGGGGAGCATGTCAGCCATTCAGCTATTCAATGGTCTGTGTTTTTTGTAAGCCTGTCTCATTCGTGCACTAGATAATGACTACAGCATGTCAGTAATTGACAGTGAAACATTGTTCATTTTGATATATCCCACTATCTGAGTACTAACATGTTTGCTATGAGGCCTAACAATTTTAGGTTCGATTCCATTCGGGATCGTAGGTAAGCATTGCTGAGAAATCTGAGGCCAGAATAGTTTTTAGTTTACAGTTGGTCCTGTAGATAATTTCACATTCTGAGCAATACTTTGAAATCATTAAACGCCTCACCAGTTGGCTGAAAATTCTGTTCTTTGAGATTTTACCATATCAAGAAGATTGTATACAGGGAATTGTAGGATTCAAAGTAGTGAGTCTTAAGTATCTGAGGGCGAAGATTGACTGCTCTACTATGCTACTGTATAAAAGTATAGTGGTATCTCAATGGCTGCCGGAGAATTCAGTGATGTTACCTTCTTGTGTTTATACTAGGTGAGTCTGTGGATATCAAACGTTACTTGCCTGATTCTTGAACTCCGCAGTCACGGTCCCATGGCGTTTAATACAACCTCTTCCTCAGATAACTCACAAAGAAGTAACGATTGGCGATGTGGACAACCTGAGAATTATCATTTGAATATTTGAGATAGCCCTAGTTTGACAGACTAGTGTTTATACTAGGCGGTGATTGAAGATGAAATGGAGATTCGAACCAGCGACCACTGGGTTTCTGGCGCGATGCTGTACCAACTCAGCTACGAGGTCTCACTACCGACTAGTAGGGCTTTACCCTACTACCATGTGAATTAGTGACGTGTTACTATCGCCTGGTCGTATTCCCACTAGTTGCCTAGTTAGGACTACAAAACACGGTTTTGTAGACTTTTATATTGAGTAGTACGTGCATAAACTCTTGTTCACTTTCTCCTTGTCTTATGAGATGACCAACACGCAGAGAGAACTTTGAGTGTAGAGGATGCTAGCCATTTGATAAAATAGCTTCTGCCAGGTGTTTACATTGCTGAAGATATTTGTCTGGAACAGTTCCAATTAGAAGGTTTTCACCTACATCACTAGTTCTACTGACAATCTTCAAAGTTCGATGCAATACAAGACATGGCCTTTTTTCAGCAACACGGGAAAAAATAAAGCGGAACAATAGAGGAAACAAGGAAGATTCAGAAGTTTACAGAGCATAGGACAAGAGGCTATCTTATACCAGATACTTTCAGCTTCCTAATATGGGGAGTTATTATAATTATTTGTCCCTTGGGTTCCCAGTGGAACATAGAGCTTCAGTAGCACATCTCCATTCAACTCTCTTCTCTGCAGTCTTTTGGACCTGGCACCACGACTGTCCACAAGCTTTCATTTCTTCCTCACATGATCTCCTCCATGTCACCCTCACCTGGGACACCCAACTCCTCGTTTCCCCTTTAGATTCCACTCGATGGCCTGGCATGGCATGTGATATCTCCGAATGGCTTTCTCAGTGTGTGCGGATTGGGCACTTCACTTCCTTCCAGTACATATTTGTTGAGTGATAGGTTCTTGCTTTGTTGGTTCGTCCCCAGAGTTCCTCCTTGTTTATTCTTTCTGGCCATCTGATCTTCCTCAACGAGCGTAAGCAACTGTTGATGATGCATGTCTGTAGTTTGTTGGAGATACTTTTTGTGACACGCGAAGTCTCTGCATGAACCATATAGCAGCACTGACTTGACTGACATTGATGTTGGAAATCCGGATCTTGTTCTTTATACTGTGTGCAGATCTCCACACTGATTTGAGATGAATGAAGGAAGGCCTGTCTTGCTGTCTTCCCGACCCCGGTTTTGACATTCTCGTGTGTGCCGCCTGTAGTTGAAACAATGATGCCTAGGTGGGTAGGTGAAAGAGACTACTTTCTTTAGGTTCCTCCCGTTGGTGGTGCTTGTTGTTGTTGGTTGGGCATCTTCACCACCTCTGTCTTCTTCACGTTCATTTGAAGGAAGTCCTATCTTCACTCTTCTGTCGACTTGTTGGTTTTTGCCTGAAGATCTTCGAGTTTTTGCGACATTAGACATAAATCATCATGGGTGAAGTCCAAATCTTCTAGGGTCTTTTCGTCGGTCAGATAGCGTATACCCATCTTCTAGCTTCTTACAGTTTGTTGCATGATCCAGTCGACCACAATCATGGTGAATTATCTGTGTAAATTGGTTTATAAAGCAGTAGGTAGTCTTTCATATCAACTTTCGGAAACAGATGGCCCTCAGTCACAGGGAATTGATAATTTAAATGACATCAATCGATAACTAAGCCGATTGATTATGAATGATTCAGCCAGCAGTACATATTGTATGGTTCCAGTTGACATTTCTTACCGGTAATGTACTCAGCTAACTAGGGGGAATCTATATTTCAGTATGTGTACTTTATTTACTTGATACGTAGTTTCTTTTCCGTTTCCTTGCTCCAAGTATTTAGTTTTAAATCAACCACTGCTCAGGACAACTTTCCTTGATCCTAGTGGATAGTGCTTTGGAATTCGAAGCGATATCTACAAGGTTCAAGTTTCACTAGGAGCAACATCATTCATTGGAAGGTAGATACATCCATTTGACGACCCTAAACAGAACGAAACATCCATTATGGATTCCACTGTTAATCACCAGTAAGCAAATTACAAGATGGCCAACCTTAGTAATATTCATCATGAATCCACATCGATTGGATAATCCCTGAAAACCATATAACCAATGTTTCACTGTGCTTCAGACCTTCTCAATAGGGTCTCTTCTCAAAAACTTTTGTGAAGTCGACGTTCAACCCGAATGTTGGATGGTAATTTGTTTACCAAATGACCCGAAGATACCAAATTCTACACCACATGAGATTGTAGATGCAACTGATCCGCAGTACTGTACAGTTTCCAATGGTCCCTTGAAGGATATCTGTCTATTCTTAATGAAAGGTTTACTGAAATGAAATGAAATATCCATTGATGTGCAAATTGAACTATGGATTTATTTTTCGTTGTTGATGACCCCATTTGTAGTCACTCCTAAACATGAAAATGAAGGATAGGTAGTAACAGATTATGCTTTCACAATGTTACCGATCAATTTTACCGGTTAATGAAATTTTTCTCACCATCATGTCATCCCTTAAGATATGTCTGTCTATCTGACTTTCTTTCTGTTTATCTGTCTATCCATCTGACTATTTGTCCACTTGAAGGATATGAAAATAAATACTCTGACCCTTAACTATACACCATGACATGCATCGTAGTACAGACAGGTAATGAATGACAAACACAAATATATACACACACACACACACACAATTTCCTTGAACAGAGTGATTTCTGAATAATAGTTTTGATTGGTCAATTCATGAAGGTCAAAAATATTTTAAGATTGATTCAGTTTCTATTTCAAGGAAAATAATCAGAATGGAGATTCTTTTTCATTGTATTTCTATGATGAAATAAATATGCCCAATGTTTAGATTGTATAGTGTGAAATATTACACTCTGATTCATATTGTTATTATTTCATGGATTGGAGAAGGTATGTTCATTCATGTTTACCATTTTAATGCTGATTATATACATGAATTAAAGTGTTATTTGTGATATATTTGAATAAGAACGAGACAGAAAAACTGGACAGCTGGACGATTATCTGAAGTCCCCGAGTTCTGTAAGTAATGTCAGACATCATAGAAACTATTTATGGCGTTTGATGATAGGAGTTAGTTGAAAGGAAAGCTTGTAATGGGTAATCAGTTTGTGCACAGGAGGTCAGTCATGGTCTGAAGAACTCAGGGGTTCGGTCTCCATCTTCAACATTCAACAATGTAGGTTTGAAGAGTCAGTGGAAATCAATGTTCCTATGGTTGTAGATATGCCTAACTGATGAGTATCTACAATCACTTGTAAATCTCCGTTGTTAGTTGGGCCGAACTGATAGGCCACCACTTCACTTACATGGGGAGCTGCATCAAGCCAAAATCTCAGGTCCGTTTAGCATTTAAAAACTTGTCTCATCTGTGGCACCAGCTGGCAAGATATCTAACTATCTATCTGAGGTCGAGTCTACTGCGCAGTGCTGCAGCTCGTTCTGTTCGGCTATATGGCTGTGAGACACGGTTGTTACGAGTCGAAGACATGGAGTAATTACATGGTTTCGATTATGGATGTCTTCGTAGCATTGCTCGCGTTTGGTGGATTCACCGTGTATGTGTGTGTAACGTTGAGGTCAGTCAGAAGAATGGTACTAGACAAGATCGTGAACCTCAGTCGACTGAGTTGGCTTGGATATGTATTGCGCATAGCGGGTCACTGTCTACCTTGACGCTCCGCAGTTGGCGGACCTGAATTAAGCCGAAAGAAGGCTTAGGGTAGTTAAACTATGATGTGACAACAGTCTATGAAGTCCCAGACTGTTGGTAAGAGCCCTGTGGGGAAGTGTAGACGATGTGGTTGAGCATTCCTGATGACATAGCTAAAAATCGGTCACAATAGTCCGGATATATTCACTCCTTGATATCTTCTAAAGCATGCATATTTGCGCCAGTCTTTATCTTCAAATTGTTTGTTCTCTTGCAAAACGCTTCTCACTTTGATATGAGCCTTTTTTCTATCCACTATTGTGAAGTGTGGTAAGTCAAGGTGATGGACTTGTGTGCAAAGTTCTACGTTGATTTCATCTGTCTTTCTGAAGTAAACCAATATAAGCAGGTGTTTACTTCAAATCACTTAAGTTCTAATTTCATTCACCTGGATAGCTAGAATTCTGATTATTGGGAATGAATGGGAGTGTAAGTAGCGTGATTTCCAAATTTCGTGTCAATGCAGATCACCCCAGTTTCAGTAGCTGTATTAGTAATCGATATAAAATCGTAATAATTGTCATTAGTAGCAGCAGTGTGAGTAGTACTGGTGTGAGTCGTAGTAGTGTGAGTAGTAGTAGTAGTAGTAGTAGTAGTAGTAGTAGTAGTAGTAGTAGTAGTAGTAGTAGTAGTGGTAGTAGCATGAATAGTAGAGTGGGACAACACAACTGATACTTTTCAGTGCACCTAATTCCTGGTAAACGAGCCTCTTCAGTACACAATATACTATTCTTAGTAAGCAGCAGACTGACGATTATAAGAATATTCACGGTCATTCTATTTGTTGAAGTTTGATACAGGAAAGTAATTGAGATTGTCGGATATTCAAATATGAAATTGTACATTGGTAAAAGAAACAAGATGCGGATTTAGTTCAATGGAGATTATTTCAACAGACAAACTATTTTTAGCTTCATATAAAGCCACATGGGTACATAGTAATATGTTGTTGTCATTTACAGAAGTGAAGTCGTGTAATTCAGTTGAAAGAAACTGGTCAGCATCGCGGTAAAGATGACTGTTCTGCTTACGAACAGCGTTACTCATAACTTCTAAAAAGGATACTCTGATGTTTGGAACAATTGTTACTGGGTTCGAGGTTCATCAGAGATGAAATCACACTCTTCGGTCCAAGTATATCCAGCAGTCAAGTCCGAAATGAGGTTTCATACTTGTCGGGCCTCATCAAAAAGGTGTATCTACTGTCATCAGGACACTGGTATTCCCTCAGGGATTTAAATCTGGGCTTACTCTCTGGTAAATTTAGAAATTTAAACAATAAGCTCTTCAGGCTAACATAGACCTCTTTGTAAGACTGGATGATGCATATGATTTGGTTGACGGTAAGCAACCGGTGTTCCCACCAACTTCTGAGTTCTGAGTGCTGATTAAAAATCTATTTGACAGATTTCGTATGTGATATCAGTAAAAGCTTGAAGTCTGGTAAACAGTGAGAGTTGATGAAAAGCATTCCAAATGAATTATAGTAAATTTACTTTCCTCTATCGAAGTGGCTTCATTCTCAATGATTCAACAGTCAATAAACTACGAGAACAGATAAATCGGGGTCAGTTAGAATAGCCGAACATAGGAATTTAGGTGAATATAGAACGACAGACCCCAAGCGGATCAATAATCTAGGAAGTAACTCGGCTATTGCAATGTATGGATTGACATACACTACCACCCAATAGGGGGGGGGGCAGAATTCATTGCTCATATTCATAACAAAGTAATCATACCACTATCAAACTTCCCTTCAATCCAATGACATTAAAAGATTTCAGTCATCTGAAATGTGTGATGATTAATCATTCCTGTCAGTTGTGTGTTAGGCATGTTCATTCAATGAACAAAGATTCTCTGATGAATCTTTCTCTATCCACCAACAGCTACATTGTATTTTAGAATTATTACTCTGTTCAACAGAAGAGCGCAATTATGAGTAAGCTTACTAGGGTCTACCACTTTATATTTCTGTAAATTGTTATGCTCTGTTATTCCGACTGACTCAGATTGACTGCTGTAGTCAGGTGAAATGTCTAAATAATCGAGCGACTCACATTTATCTGCCTGGCTGTTTCCCCTTACATATACTGCAGCACAATCTCCACATTTGATTTCATAGACGCGGTTCTGCTGATTTTCTTTACATACTATATCTTTAACTTTCATTAAGTTAGAACGTAGGGTATTTGTTGCACGAAAGTAAACTATTATGTCGTGTTTGTTGATAATCCTTCTTATCTCTTCTAAAGTATAGGATTCTGACCGTGTTTGTCCAATTCTTCGAAGGGAGTTTCGGCATATCTTTAATTCCATCTTTTTTATAATACGTCTAACGAAACCTTTGGGATAATTGTTTGCTTCCACTGTGCAGCAAACTAACTTTAACTCTTCTACTTCTTCGTCCTTTTCCTTTGTGACAAGATGATTAGCCCTGCTAATCAGATTCCATGGGACAGTTTACTTTAGTAGTCAAACGATGTACAGATTGATAGTCAAGATATCTGTCTTTCCACTATACAGTCAATAAAGTTTGGTGAAAGTGATACTTTCGCATACATTATATTTAGGTCACAGAAGAGTTCATCCAGACTGTGTCGTTTGATGATGACAAATGTATCGTCTATGTACCTTAACCAAATTCTTGGAGTATGTTGAGCGATATGTTGATGAGTATTATCAGTGACGAAATGTTAATCAAACAGAACTTTATAATGATTCCTTACAACTATTTAACCCCAATCAAAGTTCACTATAATGACGATTACTAATTCGATGGGTATATAATGAACTTAATCGACCAAATTCAGTATAACATTGATTATTACTCGATAATTTGTACAATTATGGCTTGTTGATCTAGGGAGTTGATTTCTGATTAGTAGGTCGTGAGTTTGAACACTACTCCATCTATGGAGGTTTAAGCAGTTAGATGGGATTATTATTCGTCAGAAAATAAGTTTGGCTCATTGCCAACTACATGAATTTGAGCGAATCTATAACCGTATCTGATTAACAGCTGGAATCACTTACTGTTAAGTTCTCCTACTACTGTTTTTTTTTATATTTGTCCCTTGGGTTCCTAGTGGAATATACGGCTTCACTAGCACGTCTCCATTCAACTCTCTTCTCTGCGGTCTTTTGTACCTGGCACCACGACTGTCCACAAGCTTTCATTTCTTCCTCACATGATCTCCTCCATGTCACCCTCACCTGGGACACCCAACTCCTCGTTTCCCCATTAGATTCCACTCGATGGCCTGGCATGGCATATGATGTCTCCGAATGGCTTTCTCAGTGTGTACCCAATCCATCTTCACTTCTTCCAGTGCATATTTGTTGAGTGATAGGTTCTTGCTTTGTTGGTTCGTCCCCAGAGTTCCTCCTTGTTTATTCTTTCTGGCCATCTGATCTTCGTCAACGAGCGTAAGCAACTGTTGATGATGCATGTCTGTAGTTTGTTGGAGATACTTTTTGTGACACGCGAAGTCTCTGCATGAACCATATAGCAACATTGACTTGACTGACATTGGTGTTGAAAATCTGGATGTTGTTCGCGCTTTAAGCTGAGTGCAGAAGATCTCCATACTGATTTCAGATGAGTGTGTATTGGTTGATGGAAATTAACATCTAGTAGGCAGTATCACTTCCCTTGACGTCATTTTGATGAACAAGCAAGCGATCTCGGTGAAGATTAACTTGATGTCAGCTTAAAATGATATAATCCATCTATCTACCTTCCACTCCTTCCTGTAGTCTTTCGTTGTAAGGAACATATCGAATCGAATCAAGACACAATCTAGACAGAACATAATTACTGTCATTATTTTTATACCTTTATAGCTATTTGTGGTCATTCTGAAAAGCGTCTATTAAGCTACTTATTCGATCAAAGACGATGGGATGCACACAATCCAATGGAACGTCCTGTTTCAGTCGATGGGAAACCATTACAAGTATTTCTCAAATTTTTTCTAAATCAAATCATGGATATGGTAAGATTGGTCATAATTTTGATGATTTAGACATTTTCAGTATTAAATTCACAACTTTATAACTATTATTATGCAATGATAGATTGTTTTAGAACGCATAAAACTGGCTTAAATCTTCTCACAGGTAATGATCTCAACAACCTTAAGTATACTTCCTCAACAGGTCTTATAGATAGACTTTAATGACATTTGTACATTCATTTCATTCTCTATTTCAATGATTTATTGATTGCATTGATGGTATTCATCACAGAGATCAAACTATGTGTTGTTATGGGAAGCCCTTGGGATCCCTTTTTCCAGGAGATATTTATATACCTCACATGGAGAAGTTTTCAAAGGTTTTAATGGAAAAAGTTCCTTTTTGTAAAAAAAAAGTATGTATTTCACTTCTGAATTGAATAAACAAAGTATAGAATAGTATATCTTTAACAAGTATGTTAAACACAATGATAACTGACTATATTTCTTAGACGTAGTAATCAGTCGACGGCAAGAAAGATATACAAACGTCATCTAAATCCATCTATGAGACCTGCGAAAAGGAGTACTTCAAAGTTTATTGAGACACTGACCGTGAAGAGGTCAAGGCCGTCTTTATGCATTCAAAGAGAATTTGGTGAATTCAGCTTTGAACTTCACACTATTATACTACTAATTTGTATGGAATTACAAAATCACTGAAAAAAACATTATAGTTTTAACTACTGAGTAATTTGAAAGTAGTATGTAATCGTTTGCATAATTTAACGATGCTGATTCACAGAAATTTTCTGTGATACCTTAAATTAGTTTAAGTTTTTCTTTAATTTTAGGATGAGAAAAATCAAATCTTGTCAACTATCTTATGGCTTGATATAGTAAGTAATGAAAGATTATGAAAATTTGATCGATAATATTCCTATTCACCTTTTTAGTCTTGATTAGCAGCAGTGTTTTTGAAAAATATGCTGTTTCAAGTTGTGATTCAGTGTAGACTGACTGACATCAGTTGGAGGAACAAGGAAACCTGGGAGCATTGGACAGCTGGTTTTTTGTCCTAGTGTGGGACTCTTCAGCAGTGCTCACGCACGACCCGCACCACCAGGGATCGAACCCGCGACCTTCAGGTTCCGTGGCCAGCACGTTACCATTGAGCTAGACACTGTATCAGAATCCAATCGTCCATATTTCCAACTTCTGTTAGCTCATGATATAGCGCAACTGCCACCCAATGTTATCTTTGAGTAAGTGTCCTCACGATCATCAGGCTTAGACTCTACCGGTCACGACTTCTCATCGGAACTGGTGCTCATTGGTGACTAGCTTCGAGAAGTATTCCCGAAGTTCCAATGAGAAGTCGTGGCCGGTGGGGTCAAAGCCTGATGATTGTGAGGACAGTTACTCAACAATGACATTGGATGGCAGTTGCGCTATATCGTGAGCTAACAGAAGTTGGAAATATGGACGGTTGGATTTTGATACAGTGTCTGGCTCAATGGTAACGTGCTGGCCATGGAACCTGAATGCCTTGGGTTCCAGCCCTGGGGGGTGGGGGTCGTGGGTGCGCACTGCTGAGAAGTCCCATACTAGTCGGACGAGAAAGCCGGCTGTCCAGTCCTCCCAGGTTTCCTTTGTTCTTCCAACTGATCTCAGTCAGTCTACGATGAATAACAACTTGAAGTATTTCCGAATCTCCATAACTCCCTCAAAATTCAATAATACTATCTGAAATAATAATTGATACATATTTTTTTGACTTTTAAACTAGAAAAGTTACATTTAGGTATATTGTAAGATAGAAGAAATTAGTGTGTATTATAGAAGAACTAAGTGAAACAGAAATATACACCAATCCGTAATCCTTTCAAATCGAGGTTACATAATTAAGTGGGAACTATACAAAACAGTCTGAATTGTGATAATATGTGACAGATTAAACTATTCAGTTACTCGAGGAAGTAGCAATTTGAGTGAAAAATATTACCTATTTTCACTACTACCTAGAGCTTTGGCTTATCTTCTGAGTAAGTCGACTTTCAAACCCAAAATTAATGGCTTGAAACTCGTTCGACCTACAGAGGTTCATTTGCCAGTGTACCAGCATTAACTCTCAGTCAATAAGTTTTGCTTATCGCATATTTAACGAATATGCATATGGTTAGCGAGGGAGTAAAACTGCTTTGGATACAGAAGTTATATCTTATATTTACTGCTTAGGATGATGTTAAATTTCAACAGTCCAATAAACTACTTTCCTCAAGACTATATTGTCCCTTTGACCGATGAAAATCATGTATTGAAAAGAGAAATGTAATGAGGAGATCTTATGTTATAGCTTCCCTACAATTGTCCTACAATAAGCACGACTTACAACAACAGAATATCTGATCATGTACTTAAGCATACAAGATAAATGAACCAATAATTATAATGGCGAAAACTAGTTCGTAACTGATCTGAAAGTAAAATTCTGTGTAAATATGAGTAATCTGAAGTACTTCCTTTCATCCCATCAGTGACGCTGGTTTTAAATCGTATCAAAACAGCTGAGCGGGCAATCATTAGGACTGATTTTGTGAACAGTCATGTAGAAATGTCCCGTCCAAAATCGACTTGACTTATCTTTCTCATAAACGGATTTGTGTAAGTCTAAATTCTCAATCTTCCCGCATTCAATACTACTACTACTGCTACTACTACTACTACTACTACTACTACTACTCACACTACTACTACTACTACTACTACCAATACTACTACTCACACTACTACTAGATCAACAACAGAAGAAATATGTTTCAATCCCATGGATTTTTTCGGCTATTATGTTTTTCTTCCAACCGAAGACTCCTATCACACATGATATTCCTGATCGTAGTGGACTGGATCATGCAACACACTGTAAGGTGAGAGAAGAGAGGGATACACTGGACCAGGAAAAATTCCTAGAACATTCAGATTTCCCCGATGACGTGTGTCTGATATCGCAAAAACTCGAAGATATACAGGCGAAAACTAACAAGTTGACAGAAGAGGCAGTGCAGCGAGGATGGGACTCCAAGTGAATATAGAGAAGACAGAGGTGATGAAGATACACAACCAACACCGCCACCACCAACAACAACGAGCACCAATCACCATCAATGGGAGAAAGTTAAAGGAAGTAACCTCTTTCATCTATCTAGACAGCATCCCCTCAACTACAGGTGGTACAGGCACAGACGTGGACGTCAAAGCCAGAAAGACAGCGAGACAGGCTTTCATTAGCCTGAAACCAGTGTGGAGATGTTCTGTACGGCACTCAGCACAAAGTGTGAACAACATACGGATTTTCAACACCAATCCAGTCAAGCCAGTGCTTCCATATGATGGTTGAGAGATTAGGCGCGTTACGAAAGGAATTTCCAACAAACTACAGACATTCGTCAACAACTGTCTATGCTGGCTCGTCACTGAAGATCGGATGAGATAGCCATAAAGAGTAATCAACAAGGAATTCTGGCTGGCTGTACTGATAAGATCGTTCGTGGACATCACATGCATGCCAGGCACTCGAGTAGAACCCAGATAGGGAACAGCGAGTTGTTTGTTCGAGATGAAGGTGACATGGAGGAGATCATGTGAGGAAGAAATGAGTGCTTCTGGCAGATGTTGAGCCAAGTTAAAAAGATTGGAGAGAAGAGAGTGGAATGGAGACGTGCTACTGAAGCCGTATGTTCCATTAGGAACCCAAGGAACAAATAAATATATAAATAATAGGGCCTTGAAACTGTTATTAGTGCCGCTTGGTGCAGTCGTAACTTTAGTGTTGTTTCTATCTTTACAAGCTGTGCCATAATTGTAGAGGGAAGTCAAAGTATTGAGAGGCTATAGCTGAACAGAAACGAGTAAATATTTCTATTTAAACTTCTCTTGCATAATAGATATTCCGTATGAAAGTGACGTCATTTAGAACGTGACATTGTAACCAGTGGGAAGCAAGCAGAGTTACCTACTCTTTTTTTTATCACACTTCTCATTGATGTATACACAGCGTAGAAAACTTTACAAATAATTGGGATGCTAGTGAAACAATTTTTAGCTAAGGATGATTGCATGTTTCTTAAGCTTTGAAATTTTGTCTTGGAAGTTACATCCTAAGGCTTGGTGACATATCAGTAGCACCAGCTTCGTAAAGAAGTAAAGTATATTGAAGTGTTAAGCAAATATTTAGAAATCCTTTTACTGATACTGAGCGTAGTGGAATTGTTGTTAACGAAGGCATTTACCTAACCACTCCTCTAACATACCATCACAGGCTGATAGTTCACTAATACCGTTCTGTGAATCTACTTTTTAGTATTCATGAAAATATTCTTAAGACAATTTCATGTCATTAAACTGTTTCTAATATGAGTAATTGATTCCAGAAGGAAAATGTTATGAAAGTAATTGTACAAGCAGTCAGCTTGTTGTGTAACCTTATAAAGGATTGAATGTTGATGTGAAACCAAAGAACATCCCTGTTCCAAAGTCATTGAGAACATAGTTAAAATAGATATTATTTCGATGGTTTCAAAGTTGTTTAGGTGTTTGACTACCACCTTTGCATAATTTGCACTTGGAAGATGATGATGATGATGAGGACGCTGATGACGACGATGACGACGACGACGGGTATTTGAATAACATCGGAATTCGAATGAGTTGTCTTTACACTACTAATCAGCTGATATATAGCGATCAAATTGTTCCGTTTAAGTCATATTCTTGTTGATATTCATGTTACATAATGGATGCGTGTTTCGTCCCATTCAGGACTAACTCGTCAGCTGGATGTAACTACATCTCAGTGAGCGATGTTGTTCCCATCAGAACTCGAAGCGCTTTCGAACATCAGAGCGTTATACACTAGGCCAGTCAGTCATGATATACATTTTTGATGCAACAGGATATATTGGGACCAATCACTTGAACTATGCTGAACGAAGATACTTACAAAATAAGATGACCTCACTGCCTTTCATCAGCTGTAACCAACTTGTAAGTGTAATGCATTACTATTGGAGAAACAGAAGACAAACTCGACGAAGGGATGTGTTGTAGGCAGTTGTAAAGGTAGCCGTTACATATGGTACACCTTGAACTAACCCAGTCATTTGCAAATGTGCTTCTTTCCTCTTCCGTTCCTCTCTTGGTTTGCTCTTGATCTGCTCTTCATACACTCTTATCAGCATCCACTGTAATATGCCTGTGTTATCCTTTGCGTTGCTCTTGGCAGAAACCTTTATATATATATAATATATATATATATTCACCAAGGCATAGAGACGTTAATTACACTCTGCAACTGAATAGATAGGTCAGGTTGAAAATGGTTGGTAGCCAGAGATTCAGCAAACCGTATCAAACATTTTGAACAGTTTAAATACCACTCTAATTCCAGCTACCTTTACTGAGAATTCTACTTCGTGTTTCTCAGGTGTCTTCTTTGTATGGTAATAGTGTATATTTATTTATTATTTATTTGTCCCTTGGGTTCCTAATGGAACATAGGGCTTCAGTAGCACGTCTCCATTCAACTCTCTTCTCTCTATTCTTCAAAACCTGGCTCCACGACTGCCCACAACCTCTCATTTCTTCCTCACACCATCTCCATGTCACCCTCACCTGGGATGTCCAATTCGTCGTTTTCCATTTAGATTTCACTCGAGTGCCTGGTCCGGCGCGTGATGTCCCCGATCAGTCTTCTCAGTGTATGCCCAATCCATCTCCACTTCCTTCCACTGCATATTTGTTCAGCGATAAATTCTTGCTTCGTTGTTTCGTTGTTAGTCAGCCTGAGTTCCTCCTTGCTTATTATTTCTCGCTTTCTCATCTGAGCTTCAGTGAGGAGCCAGTGTAGACAGTTGTTGATGGATGGATATAGTTTGTTGAAAATCCCTTTCATGACGCGCCAAGTCTCTGAACTATACAGAAGCACTGACATGAAATTACCGTTGAAAATCCGTATGTTGTTCACACTTTGTGCTGAGTGCCGTACAGAACATCTCCACACTGGTTTCAGGCTAATGAAAGCCTGTCTCGCTGTCTTTCTGATCCTGTCTGGCATTGACGTCCACGTCTGTGCCTGTACCACCTGTAGTTGAGGGGATGCTGTCTAGATAGATGAAAGAGGTTACTTCCTTTAACTTTCTCTCATCGATGGTGATTGGTGCTTGTTGTTGTTGATGGTGGCGGTGTTGGTTGTGTATCTTCATCACCTCTGTCTTCTCTATATTCACTTGGAGTCCCATCCTCGCTGCACTGCCTCTTCTGTCAACTTGTTAGTTTTCGCCTGTATATCTTCGAGTTTTTGCGATATCAGACACACGTCATCGGGGAAATCTGAATGTTCTAGGAATTTTTCCCTGGTCCAGTGTATCCCTCTCTTCTCTCACCTTACAGTGTGTTGCATGATCCAGTCCACTACGATCAGGAATATCATGGGTGATAGTAGACAGCCTTGTTTTACTCCTGTCTTCACTTCAAAGGCATCACTGAGCTACCCATTGTGAATTACTTGGCATGTGGCGTCATGGTAATACTGTAGTGGGTTTGAATTCTCTATTCAAATTATTGTCGCTACTATTAATAACATCATTATCAACATTATTACTACTATTATTGTTGCTATTATTCCCATTATTATTACTACTATTAATAACTGTGTTATTGATATTTTCCCTGCAATTCCTATGGAGCTTATCAATTAATTTGAAAGGGTAACTGTTGATGATTAAGGCGTCTTTAATGTATCTGATTTGTTGTTTTAGACCTGTTTTATTCGTAAGATTTATGGCTTTGTAGGTTAGAAGATCGCATCGACTCAATTAAGCCGAATAACTTAGTTTACCAAATCCCTTACAACGATTGTGAGGTCGAATACATAGATCAGTTAAACTAGTCGACCAGGAGCAATTAGGCTATCCGAACACAAAAACCTACCTAGGTCAACATTGGTAGATCCTAGTAAGGTAAGGAATTGAGAAAAGGGAAGCTCAGTCATACCTATGCATGCAATTACACACAACCACACAGTAGGATGAGAGAGGGTGAAAATTCTTAAAACTGACATAACAGGGTGGAGGGAGAGATTGATAAGTGACTGGATCTTTGATTATCGAATCAACCATCACCTAACACATACAACAACAGGAATGACTCAGTACCTGTTCCAAATATATGGAAAATCTTACTATGAAATAATGGAGAATATTTGTAGCTCATGTGGATGGTCTTGGTTGTATTGTGTTCTCTGAGGAGATGCGTTGTTTAATCGTGAAGCTTTCATTGTGTTTCTGGACGACATAATTAGCACTGACTTCTGTATGAATTGTGAGCTGTCAATATGTCTCCTTGAGTGATTCAGTAGCTTGCTCTGACGATGTGGTCTGTGATTTTTTGTTACCTTTGTTTGTTGTGTCATTGCTTGTATAGAAGCAATGTCCCCCAATGTCCTTCTCACTGTATGCACAATCCAATCCATCTCCACTTCCTTCCACTGCATATTTGTTGAGAGATAGGTTCTTGCTTCGTTGCCATACAGCTAAAGATCCTTGTTACTTATTCTAATTATTCTGGCCATCTGAGCTTCAGAAACGAACCAGTGTAGGTGGCAGCTGTTGATGGATGGATGCAGTTTGTTGGAAATCCCTTTTGTGACGCACCAGGTTTCTGAATCATATAGTAACACTGACTTGCCTTAGTTGGTGTCGAAAATCGGGATGTTGTTCACGCTTTATGCTGAGTGTAGTGTAGAAGATCTGCACACCGATTTCGGGTTAATGAAAGCCTGTCTTGCTGTCTTTCCAATGCTGGTTTTCACGTCCTCATCTGTACCTGTGCCACCTGTGCTTGAAATAGTGCTACCTAGATAGGCTACTTCCTTTAAGTTTCTCCCATTCATGGTGATTGTAGTTTGTTGTTGTTGTTGGTTGGGTATCTTCATCACCTCTATCTTCTCTATGTTCATCTGAAGGAAGTGCCATTTTCACTGCCCTTCCTCTTCTGTAAACTTGTTAGTTTTTGCCTGTAGATCTTCGAGTTTGTGTGACATGAGACATAAATAATCATCGGCGACATCCAAATCTTCTAGGTTCTTTTCTGCAGTCCAGCGTGGTAAAGATATTACAATTGTTTATCTGGTCAAGATGGTTTTCAACGTAAAACTAATTTTATTCTTATGTTGGAAAGTAAGAGAGTGATTCAGGACTGCAAAGTGTCAAAGTTAACAGCTTAGTGTGGTTATGATTAACAGATCATGCATCAAAGATGCTTGATCATTAAATCAATTGTCATTAGATATGAAGGCAAAATCTAGTCATTCATTCTATGCATATGATGAAGCTGTGACTCATCAGTAAAGACCCTTCCTTGCCTTTCAATCAGTGAATCACAGATTCAGACATGGATACCACAAGTGATGTCTAGGCAGCCTTAACACAATCGTTGTGATTTATTGCCTACTGAACAGGTGTGTAAGTAGTCCCTGAATGTATTTCGATTCCACTTCATAATGTAGACTCCTTTAAGCATAGTCTAATGACAAATAAATCCTATTCTTGTTATTATTCCTAAAGCTGTCTGGGAGAAAGATATGAAGTATATTCTTCATTCCTAATGTATACTTTCAAAGTGTAGGTGAGTTTTGAAAAAATGTTGAAACAAGTAGGTTACATATTCCATATTAGATTTGTTTATTTGATTTATAACATACATTGATGATGAGTGATGTGAGTGAGTGAGTGAGTGAGTGAGTGAGTGAGTGAGTGAGTGAGTGAGTGAGTGAGTGAGTGAGTGAGTGAGTGAGTGAGTGAGTGAGTGAGTGAGTAAGCCATAAAACAGAGGATCTTAAACAACAAAGCAGATACATTAAAGATGCCTTAATGATCAACAATTACCCTCCCAGATTAATTGATAAGCTCCTTAGGAATTGCAGGGAAAATATCAATAACACAGTTATTAATAGTAGTAGTAATAATAATGGTAATAACAGCAACAACAATAGTAAAAATAATGTTGATAGTGATGTTAATAATAGTAGTGACAATAATGTGAATGGAGAATTGAAACCCACTACAGTATTACCATACAAAGAAGATACCTGAGAAACACTATGTAGAATTCTGAATAAGGCTGGGTGACTGGGATTATAGTGGCACTGAAACCTACAAACTCACTTCGAAATAAGCTCTGTAGGATAAAAGATCCTATTGACTCAATTAAGCAGAATGACTTAGTTTACCAAATCCCTTACAGCGATTGCGAGGTCGAATACATAGGTCAGTTAAACTAGTCGGCCAGGGTCAATTAGGCTATCCGAACACAAAAACCCATCTAGGTCAACATTGATTGATCCTAGTAAGATAAGGAATTTAGAAAAGGGAGACTCGGTCATACCTATGTATGCAATTACACACAACCACACAATAGGATGGGACAGGGTGAAAATTCTTAAAACTAACATAACAGGGTGGAGGGAGGGAGAGATTGATAACTGACTGGATCTTTGATTATCGAATCAACCAACACCTAACACATTCAACAACAGGAATGACTCATTACCTGTTCCGCATATATCGAAAATCTTACTAGCCATGTGACAAAGAGATGAGGAAATTAGGACTATATAAAGGATATCTGAAAGTTGTGTAGTTATCTTGATATGATGATTATGGATAACATAAATTATGTCCGAAACGTAATCCAGTAAACAATACTGTTTCTTCACTGTATGATAAATCTAATATATCAATAAAAATGGAATTATATTTTACCACAGAGCACAAGTTTTACTCTTACATTCGATTTTAACCCTATGACTATAGAATAAAACAGAAACATATTCAAGCAATATTTGTGTACATAAACCTTCGATTGTCTTTTTTTCACCTTAGAAATGGTCAGATTATCATTTTCAGTGGAATTTAAGTGAATATGAAAATATTAGACAGATAAATTTACCTCCAGAGAAAATGTGGAAACCAGATATTCTTTTATACAACAGGTAAGTTCAGTAAATTTGACCGCCTAACTTTCCTTTTGCTAAATGTTAGTATGCGAACCTATATATATATATATATTAACAGACACATAAACCTTAACATATAGAACAATAGTGTTATTGTTTGTATTACACTGTCGTTGATTGGAGCCAATTGATCAGTCTATGTTGGTATATGGGCTCCTGTGTGGATACCTCAATATTGCGCATGTTGGATTCCAATGCTAACCACTATCAATTATTATTATAATCTTAACTGTTAACAAAACATTTTCAATTAAATTTTGAGGGGGTTGTGGAGATTCGGAAATATTTCAAGTTGTTATTCATCGAAGACTGACATCAGTTGGAGGAACAAAGGAAACCTGGGAGCACTGGACAGCTCCCAGGTTTCCTTTGTTCCTCCAACTGATGTCAGTCTTCGATGAATAACAACTTGAAATATTTCCGAATCTCCACAACCCCCTCAAAATTTAATTGAACTAGTGCTCGTTGGTGACTAGCTTCGAGAAGTATTCCGAAGTTCCAATGACAAGTCGTGACCGGTGGAGTCAAGCCTGATGGCCGTGAGGACAAATACTCAACGATGACATTGGGTGGCGGTTTGCGCTATATCGTGAGCTAACAGAAGTTGGAAATATGGAGCATTGGATTCTGACCCAGTGGCTCAATGGTAACGCGCTGGCCGTGGAGCCTGAAGGTCGCGGGTTCGATCCCTGCTGGTGGGGTCATGGGTGCGCACTGCTGAGTAGTCCCATACTAGGACAGAACATTTTCAGCTTATTCCAATTAACTTGTTGTCTTATTCATATTACCCAATCACCTCTGACTGTTTATTGACTCTATCACCTTTTCACCCCCCTTTTTAATCTGTCTGAACTTTATAAACTGCTTAAAAATCTTACATAACCGTTTTTATTATCATTCAACCTTTACATCATCAAGTAACAACACTATTGTTATTGTTATTTCAACCCACCATTATTTAAGTTACTTCTTCCTCACGGATTTTATTACTATTATTATTATTATTTGTCCCTTGGCTTCAGTAGCACGTCTCCACTCCACTCTGTTCTGTGCAATCTTCAAAACCTGGCTGCACAACTGCCCAACACCTCTCATTTATTCCTCACACCATCTCCTCAATCTCACACTCACCTCTGACACCCAACTCGTCTTTCCCTATCTATGTTCCACTTGAGTGCCTGGCCTGGTGCCTGATGTCCCCAGTCGGTCTTCTCAGTGCATGCCCAATCCATCTCCATTTCTATCCGGTGCATATTTGTTCAGCGATAGATTCTTGCTTCGTTGGTTCATTGTCAGGTCACAGTTCCTTCTTGCTTATTCTTATTATTCTAATCATCTGATCTTTAGTAAGGAGCCAGTGTAGGCAGTTGTTGATAAGTATCTGTAGTTTGTTGGAAATACTTTTCGTGACGTGCCAAGTCTCTCAACCATATAGCAGCATAGACTTACTTGACTGAATTAATGTTGAAAATGGGGATGTTGTTCACGCTTTATGCTGAGTGCAGGTTAATGAATGCCTATCTTGCTGTCTTTCCGATCCTGACTGGCTTTGACGTCCTCCTCGTCTGTGCCGCCTGCCTATAAATATCCTATATAAATAAACCAATGTCCACCTTGAGACTGAATTCGTTGAATATCTTTTTTTTACTTCTGAAGTCACAATAGAAGTGATATATCAGTTTTGCACCAAGTCGGTGAGCAATTTCTCCCTTACGAGTTAGTTTTAAGCTCTTGTAAACTTGAAAGTCAATAGATGAAACATGATTCCTTCACTGTGATACGCAGATTTACTCACTGAACATTCATTCGTAAACAAAGATGAGTATTTGTGAGTATAACTCCATATCTAGTAGAAACAGCATTAGTATCCTAGTAATTTTAACAAACTCGCTTCTGATTGGTCATTTCAAAGTTATTTAAAGGCTACCGCAAGACACCAGAATGTTTTAGTTATGCCTGACTGATTATTTGCTGAAAATTATTCGTGAATTATCTATAAACTCTCTCCCATACTTCTCTACCCTAAATCCCCCAGCTATACCTTTGTAATTTAGTTATAGTGGACAGTGAACGACTCTACATTCCTGTACATTCCAATAACCAATTACGTTTCTGTATGTAAGACACTAGCGACTGTTGAAACAACCAATCAGGTTCCTGCATTTCAGACATGAAGGTGATTTTTCATAAAATAGACAGATGTGATTGGTTATCTCAGGAGTGATTAGAGTAACTTCTAAAATAGCTCGCTTATCTCGTCTAAAGGCATGGTTCTCACCTAAGAGGCCAGTTCAGTAGTTGATACAATCGTCATTAACGTCACTCGTTAAAATTAACAGTCTATTTCCGTCATTACAACACGACATATAAGCAAACAAGATTATTCTTTTCACTTAGATCCACTTCAGGCTTTACCTTAATACAAATAGCTTAGTTAAACCAACCATGTAGATTTGTCTGTTTATGTGATAAATATAGTAATGATGGATAGTGGCTAGCAGTGGAATCCAGGATGCGTATTTCGTCCTATTTGGGACTCGTCATCCGGATGTACCTACCTGCAATATCGAGGCATCCACACAACAGCCCATATGCCAATAGAGACTGATCAATTCGCTTCAATCAACGACGGTATAATACAAGCAACAATACTAAGATGGTTATTCAGTTTGAATTTCTATGGGATACAGCTCGACTCAATTAGTTGGTAGTGAATAAATGGAAACAGGTACACTCTGCATTCATTTACTAGCCAATATTAGCCAGTTCACATTGAAACCAAAATTCGAACAATATTTAAGAACTCAGTCTCCATAGTCATCTGTAAGCTTCGATTAATCAATCTGATCTAGTAAGGAACAAGTTATCCACTGATGATCAATCCATGTGGACTATCTGCTCCTACAGGTGATCATTTATCACTTAAATACCTCAGGAATTGAATCTCTGGTGTCAGTATCACGTGATTCAGGTTCGGATGATGGAGGGAACACCAGGTTCCTTATGATTGGATATACGTCCTACTGAAGAGTGGCAATAAACCAGCAATGTTGGCCAAAGTAGGTGCAGGTTGGAAAAAGGCTAGAGGTTGTCAGACTAAAACATGGCACCAATTCATGAAGTTTCTGACTGTTGGCTTGAGACATGTGGGACGATGCAGACTAGGTGGTTGGGGTCCGCTGGACAAGAGGAACCAGTGGTTGGAGACTGACTCTAGGTGATCATATGGTTGATAACCGATGTCAGTGGTGCAGATGTATCCCCACACACATTATCCTCATCTTAACGACGTCATACCGAATCTCACCATTTTCTCATTTTGTCCTTTCTTTTTTCTCCCACTTTATATTTCTTCTGAATGCATTCTCTAATCTTCTTCTCTCACCTCACTACCTTTCTACTTGATATGGTGATGTGAGGTGTGTCGGCAACTCGGACCGTTACACAGTAATGCATGGTCCTATGTTGATATATATAGGCAGTACAAAAGGTTTCATTCAGTCACTTGATGATAGTATAATGTGTCACTCTGCCACAAAATGACACAAGTTTGAATCTTCAGAGTGATGTAAATTTCGTCATGTATGTACATTTGTCTTGCTGATGAACGTCAGCAGACATCGAATGTGAGTTCAGAGATTCTAATAGGTGAACTCCCGATATATATATTATAATAGGCTTTATTCATTTGGGTGATTGATTTCATAGACTCTTTACTAGCAGTAACACAAATGTGATAAATGTTTTAAGAATAACCATAGTGATAATGATAATGGTGATGATAATAATAATAATAATAATAACCAAGAAATCAGTATGAAAATGTAGACACTTCGATGATAAAAGTGGGTCACGTCTAAAGCTTGGGCAAATCAAAGTTGCGTAATACTGAAGGATGAAGTGAGTGGATAAGCAAAGTCTAGACAAATACAGTGAGTATATGAAAGGAATGAAAAAAAGAAAGGGGGTTAAGAGAAAAAAGTCTTTTTAAAGGTGATATTCATCACGGACTGACGACAGCTGGGGAAGCATTGAAAATCTATGAGCACTGGACAGCTGTTTCGTTCTAGTATGGGACTGACTCCTTGGCAGTATTCACTCAGGACTTGTGGGGTCAACCAATGGGAAGGGAAGCGGATGCCAAGTGAAGACTTTGGGTGATAGCCGCTCTATATTGTGAACTGACAAAAGTTGGGAACCGTGAATCGTTAGCGAGCCCTAGTCCATTCACATTTCTGGCTTATTGCCACTCACTAGTAGGACGTGTATCCAATCATAACGAACCTGACGTTCCCTCCAAGAACCTAGGATATAATAGGTATGGGACGCCAAATTGGAGCTGAAGAATAGCAAACTGAAGAGAACCAGTCATGTTTCAGACACAGCCGGACGAAGATGAATCGATCACATCCTTACCATATGACAGGTTCTAGGACATAAGCATACCTTTCAGCTGCCGAGAATTGCTACATTTGTTGACCTTCCTTCCAAACCTTCTGCAATAGTGGTGTGAGCATGTCCGCTCTTGTCTCTGCGTCTATTTTCAGTGCTTCAGGCGGGATTCCATCTGGTCATGCTGCTTTCCCACATTTCAGTAGCCTTATGGCACTCACGACTTCCACTTTTGTTGGAGGATTTATGTTGACTTGTAGTTCTGTGACTGGGCTGCGGTGGTATTTCTGGACGAAGTGCAGGTGGTCGTCGATTCAAGAGCTTTTTGAAGTGGTCGGCCCATTGTTTCCTTTGTTTCTCTTCTTTCGTTATTAGATTTCCTTCATCACCTTTTATTGGTTTCGTCTGCGTTGATCTCTTCCCAGACAGCAGGTTACCTGGTTATTTGATACAATGTTGTCAGGTTTCTGTCCCTCCTAACTACAGCCTGTTCTGCTTCACTTGCCAATGTGTCGTAGAAGTGTCTTTTGTGTCTCCGTGCACTCTTCTTCACTTCTTTGTCCAGTGTAATGTTTTATACATTGTACTCAGTTCCTCTTGTCGTTGTTCATCCTTGCACTGGTTCATCTTCTGTTTCACCATCCTCCTCTCCCTGCTCTGTCAGCTTCCATGTATCCGTCGAGATCCATTCCTCATCTTCTTTCTTCTTTCTTCCTAATACGGATGTGCAGGTTTCCTTCCACATAGCTTTCAAAGACTTCCAGTGTTCTTCCACACAGGTTTCTTCACACATGTTCCTCGATATCTCCCATTTTGTCTTGATGGCTGACGTGAAGATTTCCTCTGTAGTTTTGTCCTTCAGTTTCTGTTCCGAGTGTTGTACTTGAACTGTGGTCTATCACCAGCTTCCTTGAAGGCTTTTAACTTGATTTGGAAAGTTCCTTAGACCAGATAGTGTGTTGTCTGAACCTACATCTGCTCCTCTTCTTGACCTTGTTTCAAGTAGACTGCATCTCCACTTTCTTCACATTGAGATAAAGTCGATCTGATTTTTAGTGTGTCCTGGTGTCTGGTGAAATCGAATCCATGTGGCTGGCTTTGTAGATATCCTTGTGCTTGAACACACTGCCTGACTCCAATCACCAAACCGTTGAATGCACAGAATTCTGCAAACAATTCTCCATTCTCGTTCATCACCTCACCGAGTGCTTCTCCACCCATGGTTAGTTCTCTTCCTGTGTTGTCCCCTCCCAGTTTGGCATTCATGTCACCCATTAGAATTTTGATGTTGTCGACTGAGGTCTTGTCCAGTGTTGATTGCAGTTGTCTGTGGAATTCCTCCTCTTTCTCTTACTCTGCATTATTTGTAGGTGCGTAGTGTAACATTGTATGATTGTGACCTTCCCTCCTTTTGAGTTGAACCTTGCTGTCATGATCCTTATCGTTGAGGAGATTGGTTCCCACTGCATGAGAGCCTTCGATGCTCTTCAAGAAGACATCATGATAGCCACTCGAAAACTCAGTGTGCTCGTGGTTGTCGTCTGGGTGACAATATCGGAGTAGATTATTGATTCTCCAGTTGACAGTTTGGAGAGTTCACTCCAATTCCATCTGCTTTCGCAAATTCCAAGCACTTCAGTGTGGTACCTTCTCATCTCTTTTGCAATCTGGGCTGCCTTGCTGGGTTCAAACATGGTGTGGACATTCCATGTCCCCACTTTTACTTTCGCTTTCATTGAGAGGAGAGAAGACACATCGGCCAATTGGCTTCCCGAAGGCAGGCTTTCACCAACTGGCATCATTTTGCCTGTCCGATTCCAGTGAGGAATAATTTTGTTATGATATTTTATATTTTGTTTGTGCTTTGAAGTTTCTTTAGCGGTTGGATTTGTTTTAGGGGATAGGGTTGCTAGCCCTATGCCCAAACTTTCCTCTTTATATGGGCTCAGGACCATCTAGTAATTATTGGACTAGTTAACTAGGTAAGGTTCTCAGTATAAATAGTTGTCATTAATTAATGGATTTTTATTGAATCCCGTCGATGTGGATAGTTTCTACTAGAGAGCTTTCATTGTTTATAATAGACGTTTTCATATCAGTTTTACGGAGAAGTTTTGCTCCAAAACCTCTTGATTGTTGCAACAAGTTATTACTTCTATGCACATGCTAACAAACAATTGGAAAGCCAACGAAATTCATACACAATAGTAATATTTTCAGAAGTCGTTCCGATGAACTTCTCAGTTTGTATTCTTGTAAAGCAGTTCAGTATTCCGTAATTACAATGACTTGTCATAAAAAAAAGTACGCAAAATATTAGTTTGTTTGATCAAATAGATGTTTTATTATGAGAAAAAAAGCTAATCATTTGTTCTTTTTAGTGCCAGTGAGAAATTCGATCAAGTTTTTCCAACTAAAGTGACTGTCAGGCATACTGGATTAATTCAATGGGTTCCACCTGGTTTATTTCATTCCATTTGTGATATTGAAGTGAATTGGTTCCCGTTTGATTCACAGGTGAGTCAAAGATACATTCATATGTGAATGCCTATATAGAACTGTTTAAAATAGTTTGCTATTGAAATTCTAGATGCAACTAGGAAATACTTCTATGTCAAGGTAGTATAGTGGGAAGAAATAGACGTCTGCTCTTTCAGAAAGTTTTCGACAGTTCTTCAACTGATCTCAGCAGTCCTCACCCATGACTTTCAAACTTTTTGGTGAGTATGTTACCACTAAGACACTGGGTTGGGATCTAATTGTCCACAAGCATCAGCCAACTTCATCGATTTTGAGAAGGCCTTCGACAGCGTCGAACGAGAAGTAATTTGACAGACAACTGCTTCAACACCACCTTCTGAGTGCCACAAACCTTTATGAACCTCATTCAACAGCTACAAGATGATGGTGATGATGCTACATGCCAAGTGATTCACAATGGAAAGCTCAATGATGCCTTTGAAGTGAAGACGGATTGACGGATAAGACAAGTTTCCACCTACTATCACCAATGATCTTCCTAACTGTGGTCGACTGGACTGGACTGGACTAGATTAGACTGGACCATGCAAGAAACTGTGAGGAGCTGTGAGAAGATGGGTATGCGCTGTTTCATCAATGAAAAGACCCTAGAAGATTTCGATTCCACCCATTATGATTTATGTGTGATGTATTATGTCGCATAAACTCGAAGATATACAGGTAAAACTAACAAGTTGGCGGAAGAGGAGAGGCGAGGCAGCGAAAACGGGACTTTCTTCATGTGAACGTAGAGAAAACAGAGGTGATGAAGATACTTAACCAACAACAAGCACCAATGGCCATGAAGGGGAGAAATCTAAAGGAAGTTGCCTCTTTCACCCACCTTCCTTTCTATCTAAACAGCATCGTTTCAAATACAAGCTTCACAGAATAGGATGTGAAAGCCACGATCGGATAGACAGCAAGACATGCCTTCCTGCATTAATCTGAAATCAGTGTGGAGATCTACTGCACTCAACATAAAGCATGAACAGGATCCGGATATTCAATACTGAGTGAGTCAAATAAGTCAGTGCATACTTCTATGTGATGTTTAAGAGACTTGACGCGTTACGAAAAGCCTTTTCAACAAACTACAGATATACATGAACAGCTGCCACCTACCCTCACTCAATACGAAGGATGAGATGAGATGGGTAGAAGGGATAAGTGAGGAGGAAGTGTGGTCTGACAACGAACCAACCAGCTAACGAAGCAAGAAGCTATCGGTCAACAACTATTCACTGAAGAATGAAGTGGAGATGGATTGGATTGGACATAGAGTGAGGAGGTGGTTTGGGGACATCACGCGTCAGGTGAGGCGAAGCCAGGCGAGGTGAGGTGAGGCGTTCGAATGTAAGCCAATTGGGAATGGACGAGTTTGTTGTGTGAGGGTGACATGAGGAATGATTGTGTTAAGAAGAAATGAAAGCCTATGGATATTGGTGGAAGTAGGTTGAGAAGACTGGATAGAAGAGAGTGAAGTGGCTGTGTGTTATGTAAGTTGTATGTTTCACCAGGAAACCAAAAAACAAATAATAATGATAATAATAAATGAGGTTATGTGTGTGGTTGGTAAGAATACCAGTTTGTTAACCTTCAGTTATCTTATCCTACCTATGGCAATCTGATGAAACGGAAACTATCTGCTTTCTATGTGAGTTCATTGAAGATAATAATGTTCAAGTAGGTATCCCAAAGCACTATTTAAAGGAATTGCTTTTAAGATGTACTTTCAATGTGCAGTTCAAATTCAACAATGATCTATACAGACAAAAGGATGGGGTTGCTATGAAGTCGCCACTTGGACCGTTGCTGGCTGACTGCTTTATGGCGAAGCTAGAGAACGGTGTGCTGCATTCATCAATTGATAGTTTCTACCTATATAAAAGATATATGGATGACACTTTCATCATAATCGATCAAAATACAAATATTGAGGCTGTAGTTAAAACGTTCCATGATTTTCACCCATCGATCAGCTTCATATCATGAAGAGAACTCGGAATTCCATTTTCTCGATGTTTTATTGAAAAGGAGACTAGATGGTTCTCTTCAACCATCAATTTATAGGAAGCCTACTTGGAATGGACAATATTTGAATTTCCACAGTTGGATGCCTCTCATCAGAAAGAGGAATCTAATCCATTCTTTATCTTCAAGAGTTAAAAGAATCTGCACCAGTGATACTATTGACGAAGAATTAGATAAGCTACGGAAGATTCTCATGCCAAATGGATATCCATACATATTTATCGATAAGAACTTGAAAGAAAATCAGAATACGGAGCGAGTACTTACAGTTCCTAAGAAGACCTTGTTTATAAACGCTGTTTTCAAAGGCGGTATGGCAGCAGAGATCCTGAAGAATCCAGATCACTGAAGAAGACATTCTTCTCTGCAAAACTGCAGATCAGCTTCTCTAATCAACAAATCATTCCGGAGTGTGTTAAGGACAAGTCGCCACTTCAGGCCACCTCAATGTGTGTCTACAAATTTACTTGCTCCTTCCTGTACAGCTAGTTACATAGACCACACAAACGTATCTCGGAGCACTATCCTGCATGCATGCCGAGGGGAGAATGTTAATCAATTAACACTTCAATTATTGAACATTTAGTCAACTCTGGACATATAGCACACCACAACAATCCTCCTTCAATGTCATTTATCGTGTCACATGGAATAGTTGAGAAGGAGTACGCCTTCGACAGTTGTGCACAGTGGAGGCATTGGCAATTCATCAATTCATGCCTCATCTCTGTGTGCAAAACAAGTATGTTCAATCTCTCATCTTATCATGGTCTTAACACTTTGATATCGTCATAATTAATTAGTTTATTATTATCACCTTCATTATGACCCTTGTCTCATTCTTCAACTTCTTTACATCCATCTGTCTATCTATCTATGTATCTATCTATCCATCTATCTGTCTGTCTATCAAGTGGACACTCAATATTTGCGTGTCTTATCTGCCAGCAATTTTCACCTTGTCAAACTCCTTGCCTTCCTCGATATTTCTACTACTATCTAATAGATTATTGCGCAACTACTCTGCCTTCTTGGTTCGGGTTTCTATTCACCACTAGGTTAATGATGTAATTCTAGCCTAATGTTTTATAATAGACTGTTATATGTTTATGATATATACATGAATATGATTGTACAGTTTTCAAAGAAGGATACCGTCGAAAAACAAAATTTTCTTCGCTGAATTATATCTTCACAATCTGGTGAAATTAATAACTGAAATTACTTGAGAATTCTATGAGAATTACAAGATTTACTTGAGAATATGCATGATTTGCTCAAGGAATTAGTCAGTTAGTTGTATAAACTGATCGATATAACTTCATCAAATTCTGTAGACAAATCTATCATGATAAATGACACTTCGATTTATAATTAGTATTCCACATTTGATATGATATATCATGTATAATGTAACTAAATCTCAAGTATATATCCGTCTTAAAAGATTATCCATCAAGGGGGATAGATTAACAGTTTCTGAGGTTATTATATCAAAATGCTTGATATCAGCAACAAGATTTCTTTCCTGGAATTAGACGGTTGAAATGATGACAGTGTAGTTCCTAAAGAAAAGAACTTAAATGTAAGGATTATTGATGAAAGATGGTATGACTTAGAAAATTCACCATTGTTTCCAACTGTAACCATCCAGTTAATCATATATTAAAGTGTTCAACTGTATATTAATTAAGCAGAGATGCATTGTTGAGGTCATTTCAATGCACTTAGAAGGACCTGGTGAATCTGTATAGGTATCCCTGTAACTTCTTGTGTGTTTAATTATACAATCAGTGAAACATTGTCTAGTTCTTCACACATAACAGAATACAGTTTTCATAAATTTAATGGAATAGATTTATTAAAGTGCTTAAAATCATTAAGACGATTGCAGTGTCTTGGGCCTGATGGTATGGCATATATCCTTTTCATCAAATGTGGTGATATCCTATGCCATCCACTCACAAACATTTTTAGTGAGTCTTTTCGCTAGAAAAGACTTACCAGCCGCCTGGAAATGAAGTGAAAATGGTTCCGGTATCCAAATTTATATCTGCTGGAGAAAACATGACATTCCGATCTTAGATTATACTTCTGATTGTGACTCTGTCTCTAAGACTCCTTTTATTAAATAAGCTTGCAAGTACACACATTGAGTCCTGGATTGTAAACTGGCTTGATTCACATTTTCTGAGAGAAGACAATGCAATATATAGAGAGGGAAACGCTTTACTTCGTTGCTTAGTGAAGCCAGTGTGCCTCAAGGTGCTGTTCTTTCTGCTTTCCTTTTCTCTTTCTTTCTACCTGACCCAACTTACAACCTCAACTGAGGAACTTTGTTAAGTATGCTGATGGTCTGATAGTATTCATGCCGATCATCTCCTCTTATGATTGTTCTCAGTTTAATAACTTCTTAAACAAAATTGGTCACCGGTCTTTCTTGAATGTCCTTGTACTCAATCGCTCCAAATGTCAGATGGTTAGTTTTAGCTTAAGACATGAAAAAAACCTTTGGATATTTCTTCAGTCCAATGACTCTTGTCTTGTAGATGCTTCTGTTATAGAGAATTTAGTTAGCGTGGTTCATCTTGGCTTATGCTTTTCTTCTAATATTTCTTGGTCTCCTCATATCTTACTGATTTCCAGGAAGATCCTTTACTTGACCTTTTTCAGACTGTCTGGCATAACTCAGTCTCTACTCATACTTTTCATGAATTCTTGTGTTTCACCTATAATTACTTATCCCTCCTCCACCTCTCCCACTTTATTCTTTCCTAGACTCCAGGATTGAAGGCTGTTAGTACAGCAAGTAGAAAACCACCTAACCTAACTGATAAATCCGGTCGTGTGGATAGGCATGTGAACTCTTGTAGACAGTTCCGGCTAAAACTATTTCATCTGATGACAAGCATCTTCTGCATTCACACCTCTCTGCATGTCTGTCGTTTGGGAAGACATGGAGCAAATATATTAAACTGTATGCATGCACAACTACATACAAAAATTCAACTATATGACTTTATTTAGCTTGTGTACTGTGTGTGAGGAATATCATGGTAGACATAGTCTTATCAATCAACTTTGTAATAGCGAACAATTATAATGTCCCTGAATTCATTAAACACTCCAGTAATCCTGTCACAACACACTCTGAGAGTTATGTACTGGTGTGGAATACAGCAAATATATTGTTATTATTATTATTAGTAGTAGTTTAGTGGGTCTGGATCATGCAGCAAACAGTGGGCAGCGAGAAGAGGGGGATACACTGGACTACGGAAAAGAACCTAGAAGACTTGGATTTCGCCAGTGATGACTTGTGCCTGATGTCACATAAACTTGAAGACCTACAGGCAAAAACTAACAAGTTGATAGAAGAGGCAGCTAAGACGGGACTTCAGGTGAATATAGAGAAGACAGAGGTGATGAAGATACCGCACCACCACCATCGACAAGAACAACAAACTCCAATCACCGTCAACGGGAGAAACTTGAAGGAAGTAACCTCCTTCACCTATCCGGCAAGGCAGCACTGTTTCAACTACAGGCGGGACGGACGAGGACGTCAAAGTGAGAATCGGAAAAGCAAGACAGGTGTTCATTAGCCTGAAACCAGTGTGGAGATCTTCTACACTCAGCATGCGGAACAAGATACGGATTTCAACACCAACGTCAAGTCAGTGCTCTTGTATGGTTCAGAGACTTGGCGCGTCACGAAAGGTATTTCCAATAAACTACGGACATTCATCAACAACTGCTTACGCTCGCTACTGAAGATCAGATGGCCAGAATAGTCAGAATAAGCAACAAGGAACTCTGCTTGGGAACGAACCAACCAAGAACCTATCACCCAACAAATATGCAGGAGGAAGTGGAGATGGATTGGCCATGTACTGAGAAGGCCGACCGAGGACATCACGCGTCAGGCCAGTTGCTCGAGTGGAATCCCCATGGGAAGCGACGAGTTGGACGTCCGAGGGTGACATGGAGGAGGTTGTGCGAGGAGGAAATGAGAGTTTCTGGGCTGTCGTGGAACCAGGTTCAAAAGATCTCAGAGAACAGAGTGTACTGAAGACGTGCTACTGAAGCCCTATGTTCCACTAGGAACCCAAGGGACTAATAATAAAATAACAATAATAGTTTAGTGGGCGTTGCTGATAAGCATAGATATAAGTAGTATATGTTGAGAGGGTGACAGAAATCAGAGGCAATTACCAGCAACGTGTAAGGATTCCGCCAAGAGAAACACAAGAGACAAGGCAGGCGTATTGAGAGGAAATCAAGATGGAAGGAGAAGAGGAAATGAAGCATATTTTACAAATGGCGGTTTTAGTGCAAGATGTACCACATTTAACGACTACTGTCTTACTTGCCGACAATAAACTTTTCTTCCTGCATACTTGTCTTTTGCTTCTTTCTGTAGTAGAAGAAGTAATATACAGAGCGAGATCGGGGTTGGTGTCAGAAGTAAGTGGAAGTGTAACGACAAATTATGCACGATAAGTATATATGCAGAACCACTGAAAGTTTATGTGTAATGGCCAGCTGTTTCTTGCTGGTTCGATACTTCTCAGCTGTGCTCACTGAAGAACTCGGGAAAATCAGGTCCTAAAAGGCCTGATGTCACATAACTATACATTTCGATAAATCCTCTCTCTTTTAATGAATTTATTAAAGATCATTATTGTGTAACCTTAAAATTTATTCATCGATGTTATCACCTTGTTCTTCTTCATTTTTGTTTAGAATTGTATTTTAAAACTTGGTACATGGACATATCAGGGAAATACAGTCGATTTGAAGCTACAGTGTGATAATGAAACTGGTGAAGATCAACCATGTCACTATATGAATGAAGTCGATTTATCTGCCTACTTAGCTCATAGTGAATGGGCTTTAGAGAGTAAGTATTATATCTCAAGCGATGTTGCATATGAAGGTAGTTTATATACAAAATTATACTTTTTAGCCTTAATGTAATAATAATAATAATAATAATAATAATAATAATAATAATAATAATAATCACTTTATTCCAAACAATATGTATGACAGTATGGAATTTCCAGCACGTAGTTTTTCAACAAATTCACTCCCAGAACAACAATACTTTCAGATAAAATGGTTATTACATCTATATGACATTAATCATAACAGTATTGAACGTAAGAATAAAAAATGGCCAGTTGGTTATGCATGGGCATCTGGTTTATAATGAATAATCAACAGGGATGTAAGTGTAACTTTGGTGGTGATGATGATTCATTCAGACGGTACAAATATCTACAACTCAAATTAAACATCTGAAGAATAGGGATATGATGTACATTTATGCATTGAAAAGTCTATTTCCATAATAGTATTATCATTACCACTATTACTATTTATTGTTTGTCCCTTGGGTTTCTAGTCAAACATACGGCTTCACTAGCACATCTCCATTCCACTCTACTCTCTCCAATCTTCAAAACCTGGCTCCACCACTGCCCAACAACCTCTCATTTATTACTCACACCATCTCCTCAATCTCACACTCACCTCGGACACCCAACTCGTCCTTTCCCATCTGGATTCCACTCGAGTGCCTGACCTGGTGCATGATGTCCCCAGTCGGTCTTCTCAGTTCATGCCCAGTCCATCTCCACTTCCTTTTGCGATAGGTTCTTGCTTCGTTGGTTCGCTGCCAAAGTTTCTGGTTGTCTATTCTAATTATTCTAGCCATCTGAGCTTCAGTGAGGAGCCAGTGTAGACAGTTGTTGATGAATGTCTGTAGTTTGTTGGAAATCCCTTTCGTAACGTGCCAAATCTCTGAGTCATATAGAAGCATTTACTTGATTGACATTGATGTTGAAAATCCTAATGTTGTTTACGCTTTATACTGAGTGTATTGCAGTAGATCTCCACACTAGTTTCAGGTTAATGAACACCTGTCTTGCTTTTCTGATCCTGACTGGGTTTGATGTCCTCATCTTTGCCTGAGCCGTTGCCTGTATTTGAAACGATGCTACATTGCCTATATAGGTGGAACAACAACAACAACAACAAACACCAATCACCATCAACGGGAGAAACTTAAAGGAAGTAGCCTCTTTCACCTACACCTGTCTAGGCAATGCAGCATCGTTTCAAATACAGGCGACGGCTCAGGCACAGATGAGGACGCCAAAGCCAGTTCATTAATCTGGAACCAGTGTAGAGATCTACTGCAATCGACTCAGTATAAAGCGTAAACAATATCCAGATTTTCAACATCAATGTCAATCAAGTAAATGCTTCTATATGACTCAGAGATTTGGCACGTTATGAAAGGGATTTCCAACAAACTACAGACATCATCAACAACTGTCTACACTGGCTCCTCACTGAAGCTCAGATGAGAAGGCGAGAAATAATAAGCAACAAGGAACTCTGTCTGGCTGGCAACGAACCAACGAAGCAAGAACCTATCTCTGAACAATATGCAGTGGAAGGAAGTGGAGATGGATTGGGCATACACTGATAAGACCGACTGGGGACATCAGGCATCAGGCCAGACACTTGAGTGGAATCCAGATGGGAAAGGACGAGTTGGGCGTCCGAGGTGAGTGTGAGATTGAGGAGATGGTGTGAGGAATAAATGAGAGGTTGTGGGCAGTGTTGGAGCCATGTTTTGAAGATTGGAGAGAAGAGAGTGTACTGGAGACATGCTACTGAATCCCTATATTCCATTATAAACCGAAGGGATAGGTAGTAGTATGAGATAGAGGAAAGGTAAAATGCACTTCAAGCTATACAATCGTATATAAGTATTCTATTCATATAGTAACAGAAAAGGGATGTTTCATCAAATATTTTGAACAAAATTCACATTTGATTATTATTTATACTGGATAGTAATTGAAGGTGAAATGAAAGTTTGGACCGCCGCCAGATTCGAACCAGAGACCACCATTTTCCGGCCGCTGTTTTACCAACTAAACTACAAGGTCCAAACACAATCACTATAAGTTTTATCCGTCACGAGATCGGTAAAAGAAAGGAATTAAGAAATGTTTGAAATACTAATGAGAAGGGGACTTACCAAGACGGAATTAGTACATGATTACTAAGTTAAATGATGTAACATATTGATCTAAGGAGAAATCAGAGTTGTAGGAGTGGAGGAATGTAGTGTGTGAGAGGATCTGAGTGAGGAGGTTTTTGAGGTAGAAATGTTCTTATAGATTATGTCCATTGCAAGTCGAGTGACTGGAGAAATTTCTTTTGAACGCAGAGTTCACGCTTCAAAATATTTATTGCCAGGGCTTCCGCAGTTTGAAGGAGTTTTCGGCGTACACCTTTCATGAGATTTGTGCAAACTCTATAGATTACCTTTAAGCTGTTTTCTGCACTTTCTGGGTGGTCATAATCAGTCAAATGTTCTAGAATAGATCTGTGAACTGTTCTCTTTCCCCATTGTAGAACTAGTCTGCATGTGTTCAGAAATGCGCTTGGAAAGCGAACTCTGAGTACGGCCTATATATTTTACTCCACAGGAGCAGATGAATTGGTAAACACACATCGAGGTGGCCAAGTGAGATACCTTATCCTTTGCGCATAATTGAAGCACTGGGTACGTGGGGAAAGTTAGTCTGAGTTTGGCAGAATAGAAAGTCTTTCTCAATGTGCATGTCAGACGGTTTCTTAATATATCTGCTGATGTCTCCGTTCAACTGTAAGCTCATGAAAAGAAGCTTCTTAGAAGCTGTGGGGACGGAATCGTTCTTTGCTTTCAATTTCATTGCTTTAGCAATGACAGGCTTTTAACCATTTTCGATACTAATTTGTTCAAATCCTCATTGGCATCCAATCAACACGGTTTCTTAGAAAAATTACAGTCAATAAGAGTAAAATACTACAACTTTATGCAAAGATCTTTCTTATTCATCTTCTAGTTGTATTACAAACTGGCTACGTTCAGTAGATTATATTTTGCTTTCGAAAATTTTGATCAACTGATTATTTTCTGAATTTTTTCTGGAATTGTTACATGGTACACAACTTAAATCCATTGTTAGTAATAGCATACACCGGATAGACAACGATATTCTACACGATATGCAAAGAGTTAAATGTGCTTTTCTTCATCCTGTACAGATGAGGGGTCACTTTTCATTCTGAACCATTTCCACGTAACTACAACTTAATGAGTACAAGTTCTTCTCGAAATGTCTTATTCATGACTCTTCAAATGTATTTAAAAATGCATATCTCTTTATCAGTGACCAGAAAACAGGGATGTAATTGGTTCTCAGTTCAAGCCTACTTCTATTTGTACAATGAGGTAATACCATAAACCTTTATACAATAAATTTGGTTGATAGTTTTATATCCAGACGTAAATCACAGAGAAAACTTAAGGCATAGTTAGTTTAATGAGGGCTTTATGTTTAAGGTAGTATTCATCACATAATGAAATCAGTTGAAGAACCACTAAAGATCCGAGAGCACTGAGTACCGAGTTCGTCCTAGTATAGGACTTTTCAACAGCAACAGCAGGCAATTATGACCTCTCCAGGGATCAAACCAAGGACTTTCAAGTTTTACAGTGAAAGTGTCAATGATTTGACTACTGGGTTGCAGTTCAGTGGTCTTTTGACACGCGGTATAGCGCAACTATTATCTGCGTCCCCTTTACTCCTAACTGGTAGCGACTTCTCATCAGAACACCGTGAAACCTATAAGTTCGGAGTTCGATTCCCGATGTTGTCTTGGCTACGTACTGCTGAAGAGTTCCAGTGATGAATACTGCCTCAAAAGGCACAAGTTCTTTTCACTTTCCTGTGTAGTAGACTGTGTTATCTGTGTATTCAAAACTCACCCAGCAAATGTTGATTTCACGTTTAAAAGGATTAAAAGTTTCACATATTTTTCTAAAGTTCTGTTTCTCCTTCCTCTCAAAATAGGCGCTTCAGTTAAACGAAATGTTCAAACTTACGGTGGAGATGATCAAACATATATTGATGTAACAATATATGTTCATATGCAACGTAGAGCTCTTTATTACCTGTTCAATATAATTATTCCATGTATGATAATGTCAGTGATGGCATTACTTGTGTTCACATTACCACCTGAGGCTAATGAAAAAATTGTATTGGGTAAGTTTGTTATCCTCAATGTGTGTTATGTGTATGTAACCTACTATAAATGATGTAATTTTCACATCGTAGTAAATACCTATCTATCTACTACCTACCTACCTACCTACAACAACTTCCAATCACCATCAACGGGAGAAACTTGAAGGAAGTAGTCACTTCCACCTATATAGGAAATGCAGCATCGTTTCAAATACAGGCGACGGCTCAGGCACAGATGAGGACGTCAAAGACAGTCAGGATCGGAAAGACAGTGAGACAGGCTTTCATCAAACTGAAACCGGTGAAAGAGATCTACTGCACTCCACTCAGTATAAAGCGTAAACAACATACGGATTTTCAACATCAATGTCAATCAAGTAAGTGCCTCTACATGATGGTTCAGAGACTTGGAACGCTACGAAAGGGATTTCCAACAAACTACAGATATTCATCAACAACTGTCTACACTGGCTCCTCACTGAAGCTCAGATGAGAAGGCGAGAAATAATAAGCAAGAAGGAACTCTGGCTGACTAGCAACGAACCAACGAAGCAAGAACCTATCTCTGAACAAATATGCAGTGGAAGGAAATGGAGATGGATTGGGCATGAACTGAGAAGACCGACTGGGGACATCATGCACCAGGTCAGGCACTCGAGTGGAATCCAAGTGGGAAACGATGAGTTGGGCGTTGGAGGTGAGTATGAGATTGAGGAGATGGTGTGAGTAATAAATGAGAGGTTGTTGGGCAGTGGTGGAGCCAGGCTTTGAAGATTGGAGAGAGTAGAGTGGAACGGAGATGTGCTAGTGAAGCCGTATGTTTGACTAGAAACCCAAGGGACAAATAATAATGATAATACTATGTTCTCTTGATGTATGCTACTGATAAGAATGGAGTTAAATAGTACATAATGTGATGTCTTTATTGAATAATGAAAAAGTGAAGAAAGTCGACTGAACAACTTTCGAAAACATTTATGGAAAACGGATATTCGTTGTAGAACTGAGGTATCACCGAAGCCAACTCTATACAAGCCTCATAAGAAAATTGCCACTCTATCATACAGATGAGAGTTGAATAGTATCATTTTGAGGTGTAGGTTAATATCAACAGCCATTGGGGGAACATATTACTCGACTAAGCTGAGTAATGTGGCGAAAACAAAACACATACTTCACCACAAACCTAAATACTTCATCGATGATTACGCCACATTCCATTGCATTTACCAATTCCCAAGTGTATAAGTGTACGTGGTGACACATACAGAGGGAGAAGTAATCGAGCCATGGAGTTGACGGCGCAACGACATGTACCTAAACAGCTTCAAAAACAATGGAACGTGAAACAGCTGCCAAAGTTCTATGCAGAAATAATGAGGTACGCATACTGAGATTTGTGGAAGCGATAACCACACGCAAATTGAAACCATCTTTGTATGCACAACAGCAATTTGTTGTTACACTACGCTTAGCATCAATCACGTCAATTTTCCTTGACTTTTCGTCCCACTTGCATGGAACGCTTCAGCAGTGCGCACCAACGACCCCTCGCTGTCAGGGATCGAACCCCCGGCGTTCAGGTTCCGTGTCCAGCGAGTGACTCAACTGTAACATACTGGCCAGGGGTTCCATCCCTGATGGGGCGTGGTTGATGGTGTGCACTGCTGAGGAGTCCCACACTGGGACGAAACAATGGCTGTCTAGTACTCCCAAGTTTGCAATGTTCCTCCAACTGATATAGGTCTACAACGAAAACCAACTTAAAATATCTCTAAATCCCCACAAGTCCCCAAATTCAATAAAAACGTTTTGTCAAGCATGCCATTGAAATCAGAAAATCAAACTGATGAGAAGTGAATGTTAATGAAAATAAGTTTGGACAAGAAGTCTCATAACATAACAACGTAAATGGAAAGTGAATTGTGATCAGCCAGAGCATAGCAACAAGAATGAGTAGCAAATCACTTAAGAAATGAAAAGTGTCGAGAAAGAAAATTGAAAAGAAAGGGGGTGGGGTAGAGGAGATTTCACAGACTGAAAACTAAGACCGTTAAAGGAGAAGGGGTTAAACAATTTTCTTTTGCGTACACAGTTTAGGTTTTTCCATATGGATGGCAAGAGTCCCGGCTATGCAAAGAATACGAAAGCATACCTCCTTTGTAACGTTTCTTTTACTTTATCGATGACTTTGAACGAGGAGGTCTTTGAGATAGAGTGATTCGTGTTTATGATGTGTTCAGTTGCAGTACTTCTCGAAGCTCCCTTGTTACCTGTCTGTTTTCTTGAACCCCTTTAGATAACAATCACATTGAACGACCTATATACCTTTGAGTAGTTAAAAATCGTTGGGCGACAAGAGAATACTAGTCTCAGGATTGATGCAAAGAATCTTCTCCTTAAGGCGTTTTGGAGTAGAATCATTTTTGAAGTTTAGATTTTTGGCTAGATGTGTTTGTCTATGAAGCGTAGCGGGAATCCGTTTCCAATCGATATGTTCTTTAGAAAAGAAATTTCTTCTTCTTACACATAAAGATTGCAGATTAGTCTAACGCAAATGGCAAGAGATATGATCAGATATTGCTTATGACTTATAGGAACCCAGCTATTCAAGTTCCTAAGTTAACCATTCTGTATTGGTTTTCTGTGAATTGATCTGCTTAGTGTTCTACTACATCTACATCTAGAAAGTGAATTCCTGGTCGATTTTGAAATATATTCAGCAAATAAACCATAGGTTGTTCAGATAAAGTTCATCTTTTCATTGGACTATATGTATTCATAGAAGGCTCTAATTGCTTCATACTTCTATTCAACATTTCTACGCATTTACTTTTGTGTGATGTTGGGTTGTTGAGGCTTTGATCTGTATATGAGTGTGTGTGTGTGTGTGTGTGTGTGTGTGTGTGTGTTGGCTTTCTGTACACTTAAATCTCCTGTTGTTGTATTGATTCTAATCAATAAAACATCGAGAAAAATGATTTTCCTGAGAGCTCATATCCTAACAGAGGCTGACCAATAAGTCTTGGTCGTACTGTATACTCTGAGAGGCTGGGTTGTTTAATCGTGAAGCTCTCGCCTTCTTTCTAGACAGCGACATCATTAGCACTAACCTCATTATGAAGGGAGCTGTTAATATCTCTCAGTCAGTGATTTACTGGCTTGCTCTGACGATGTGGTCTGTGATTGGTTGTTTCCTTCGATTGTTGTGTCATTGATTGTATAGACTCTCCTGTTGGCTGTTCCTCTACTTCACCTCTCACCTTTCTGTCGTTTATCATTTTTCCTATTGGTTGATAGATCGGGTCTATGTCTATACATCTATGGATTTCTGACTGACTGACTGACCTAAATGACAAGCTTCAAGGAATTCTCTGATGACATTGTTTGTGTTTCCTCTCTCCATAGCAGATTTCTATATTGTCGAAATTGAATTCATGTCCATAATTATCCATATACATTGAAATGAGTGATGAAATATCGTGACTTTAAGGCAAGTTACTAAATCACTCACGGAAAGATATTGACAGTTCACTTCATACTGAAGTTAGTGCTGATAACGTCGCTGTCTAGAAGGAGGATGAAAGCTTTACGATTAAACAACCCAACTTCTCAGAGAACACCTATACAACCAAAACTATCCATCTGAGTGACAAATATTCTCGACTATTTCGGAATAATAAGTCCTGATTAGAAGACTTTAGTCTGTAATTCATATCCTTTTGTTTTCTGTAGACTTCATGTATCTAATAGAATGTTATTTTATTGAAATATAATGCACTTTATTGTTCGTAATACTTTATCGAATATTTTTCTTAAAATAGGTGTTACTACACTACTTTCATTGACAATGCTTCTACAACTTGTCGCTGATAAACTACCTCAAACATCATCAGGAAACTCAGTACTTGGTTAGTTTACTTATTTGGTATTATTTATATATTACTGGTTGGTAGGAGAATAGTGGACGTAAGTTTCATTCTGTTCTTGACTTATCAGTTGGATGCGTGTGTACTTTAATGGATTTTAGTACTGTTATTGAGTACTAAACTCTATAATCTAGTTAATTTGGTTGGTTGTGGCTAACAGAAGAATCCTGAACTCTTCAGCTGAATGTACCTGCACTTCAGTGCAGAGTGATGTTGTTCCCATTGAGACTTGAACCTCGTACTCATCGCTTCAAACATCATGCAGAAACGATAGCCACTTCTTGTACAACGGCTAGTAGTTATTACTATTTATTGACATACTTGTTGTTCTCCGTTGTTTTGTTGGATCGATATGTTCGACCTCTATCGCCCCTCCTTGGTATAGTGGATAAAGACTTGGCGTTTGAAGCGATGGGTACGAGGTTAAAGTCTCAGTGGGAACAACATCATTCCACACTGGGGTGTAGGTAGACCCAGCTGAAGAGTACCAAGTAGGAAGAAACGCACGTTCTGGATTCTTCTGCTAACCACAACCAACCAAATGATTATAATTAATATTCAGGTAATATCGAGGCATCCGGATAGGAGGCCATATGCCAATAGTGGTCGAACAATTTGATCCAACAAAACAACAAGTATATCAATAAATAGTAATGACCACAATCTAGGTATGTGGTTAAAATGAGTCGCCTCTAGTCTAATGGTTTTAAGTCGTTAGTTTAGTTATTCATACCTACGGTTTCACATCGTTTACCTTTTTATGGACAAAAATTGCCCGATGATTGTTGGTGTATCACTGAAGCTGCTCGACGTTTCATTTCATAGAACCCTTAACTTTTGATACATTCAGTGTTGTGGTTTTAGTTCTAGGGCTTCATGTATATTCAGCTGATAAGTTTCCAATAAGAGAACAAGTACATTTTACAATAAATAGTTAATTGTGAGCAAACAGTATTAACATATTTCTTGCAAAATACCAATTGTTTTACCCAAGTAAAGTCATTATGAAGTAATTTTAAGTATGAATAAATAAGACGATGGAGGAGTGGAGAATATTTGTAGCTCAGGTGGATGGTCTCAGTTGTATCATACTCTCTGAGCTGGACTGTCTATTCATCAAGCTTTCATAGTCTTTCTACAAAACATCATCATCAGCACTAAATTCACTATGAAGTGACCTGTCAATATCTCTCCATCACTGATTCTGTAGTTTGCCCCGACCAAATCGTTTGTCACTAGTTATTTCCTTCGATTGTTGTGTCATCGAATGACTGCATAGATCTTCCTGTCGGCTGGCTGTTCCTCTGCTTCATCTCTCACCTTTATGTCTTCTATCATTTTTCTCATTGCTTGATAGATTGGATCTATGTCGATAACTGACGTGAATGTCAAGCTTCTAAAAAATTCTCTGATGACATTCTTTGTGTCTATTCTCTCCATCCAACATTTCTTCATTGTCGAAAGTGAATTCATGTTCACAGTTGTTATCCACGTGAATTGAAATGAGTAAGGGAATGTCTTGACGTTTAATAGCCAATTGGTGTTCATGTAGATGAAGGTGAAGGTGGGATGACCACATTGTCCAATGAATGTGGTGTTGACTACAGTTATTGTAGTTGATGTTGTAAATGATATTCTATTTGTCTTCCCTGATTGTTGCATCGTTTGGTGTGCATGATTGGGTTTGAAGGGGATTTGTTGGTTTATGAGCCACAGCAATTCCAAGTGGTCTCAGTAATCTTGTTGTGATTTGTGATACATTCTTTATGTATGGTAGGACGATGCGCTTGTTGATTTCTGTTGATGACTTTGTAGTTGATGTTGTACAGGATAAGCATCTTGTGATAAAGTTTGGTGGGTAGCCGTTCTTCTTTAGGGGTGGACATCAAGTGATTTTCCTCTTTTTTCCATGAAGTTGTTGTAGTGTAGTGCAGTGTGTTCTCTCTCTTTTGAATAAGGTCTGTACGCAAGTGATTTTGTGTGTTGTTGGCTTGTTGCTTTTGTAGTTGAGGATAGGATCAGTCAGTGTGTGTTGGTTTTCTGTGCTGTCTGGGATTTGTCCTACTGGCTAAAACATCCATGAATGGTAGTTGGTTGTTTGACTCTTTCTCCATTGTGAATTTGATGTCATTAAAAACGTTGTTGATCAAAGTGTGAGTGTTCTCTACATCATCTTTTTTTAATGACGACTAAAGTGTCCTCCATATAGCGAATCCAAATTTTTGGCTTATTCACAAGTGGAATGATGGCTTCCAGTGTCTGCATCACTGCTTCTGCCATTAGTCCGGATATCGGTGATCCCATTGGAGTTCCTTTCATTTGCTTGTATATCTTGCCATTGATTCGGAAGTGTGTTGTCAGACAAAGGCTGATGAGTTCCATCAGGTTCGAACATTCAAGTTTTATACGTTCTGTAAGGCTTGTGTCTTCATTGAGCAGGAGGGATACAGCCTCCTTGGCCAATTGAGGTTCGATGGAAGTTTTGATTGTTAATCACTAACTGGTATTTCTGGATCCCGATCATCAATTGTACCATTTGTCTACCACTTTGTTCAGCTATTTTCCACCTCACTGGACAGCCGATTGGTGGTCTATGGCTGACACTCTTCGGCAGAACATGCTGACGTAGCCACCAAGCTAGGAGGTTCAGCATCACGGTGCACATTGGTAGATCTTAGTCACGGGAAGATGATGGTGGTTGTTCTCCAGCAACTAATCAATGCATGTAACACAGTCCTACTGGAGGTCAGTCTCGGTCCGTTACCGTGTACTGGGTTACACAGGTTCGAATCTCAGTCCCATCGAGGTTGCAGTTGCACCTTTCTGGTGAGTGTCGACAGGGACGAAACTAGGTCAGACAGGGTTTCCTGCCGACTGCCTCCAATCAACTAACATCTACATTAGTCATGAATTCACACTGCTCCAGTGTTCTATGCTAGGATGTAACTGCTGTCCAGTACCCTCATCTCATCTCATTATAGAAACTGCCTTGAAAACTTCAGTGATTACTTTATTTGTTACTGAATAGCAATTCAGTAGTACCACTGTACATTCTCTTTTTTCTCTTTTTATGAATCATACTGTGGAATAATAATTTAAACATATGCACTCATATATTTATGGATTATACAAACAATACTATGGCTTGTAAAGTTTTATACTTCACGTGCACAATGATTTTATGCTCACTTTCATTGGTATGCGCTGTTGTTCTTCTGAACTGCCATCATCATACTGCAGGGATTATTTATGTACCATGGTGGGTAAGTTATGCCCTTTTAGTCTAAACAAATTGTCGAATAGTAATTTATGTTTTTCTTTCTATCACTTATCTTGTCTGGTTCCAGTCTAACTGATAATGTTGTCATTTACTGGAGGTTAGGTATATCAAGGTGATGAGAGACTTTCAACTGAAGCGAATTTATGTTTGTGTCCTGCGTTGGATAGCTAGCTCCCCGTCAACGGAATTAGTCTTTCTCAGAAAATTGAAAGTGAATTAAAAATAACTTTGATTAAAGCGAAGATGATTGTTGATAGGAATGTGGGACAATGTGAGCGAAGAAATATTTCTTTTCAATTAGTTCCTCATCAATGGCTCTACACTAATATATGTGTAGCATTTTCAAACGTAAAATTACATACCAATCTAGTGGTGAGAGTTATTCAATGAAAGGTTATCAATCTCAAAGTACCAAGAAGGTGATTATTGATCAGGTAATTACGACAGTCTTAACTAAAGCAAAGATTAATTATCATAGAAAGATGCTGTGAACAGGTTCTTACATAATTGATATTTTATATAATGATAACTAAAGAGCAAAACTGAGCTGTCACGTAAAATGGTAAATTGTTGACGGTAATTAGAGACAGTAGGAGGAGAGAAAGATGGTTAAGTCTGTAATAATAATAATAATGGAGCTATTAAAATATTAGTTATAGTGAATTGTGTGGTGGATGAAATGAAGAGTGTTGTTGTAATAAATGAGCTATACAGATGTCCAAGGCAAAGAAAGAGGCTGTACGAATCTCTTCTGAACACACAGACTTGGCTTGTGTAGGTGGATTCCTATGGCTTCTGCTGTATGTAAAAGACGAACCCGTAGAGGATGGGTGAAGTGAGAAGGAATGTGATAAATAACTTTAAAGACATTATGAATGTTAACTCGGTGGCCGGTGTCAATCAGATGAGAGAGTATTGAGTTTCGTGTCAGTCTGGTTTCCCCCTTACTTAGCCATGAAGGATGATGCTCGGCGATTCGACGACGGACTTGCCTAACTGTACGTCCAATGTAACTAGCTCCACAGGAGCAGTTGAACTGGTAAACGCACATAGAACAGGAGAAGTCAGGGAGTCTGTCTTTAGTTCGTGTGGTCATTATCGACCGGCTGTAGAAAACACAACATAACTTGGCGGCATTAAATGATCTTCTTATGGCATTTCTTAAGCGTTGTGTCACAATTTCGCTGATGATGTCACTTCGAAATTGTAGTCTTAGGAACAATGGTTTCTTGGAGAGTGTAGGCATTCTGATTTTCATATTGGATGTATTCATATTTTTAGCCAGGAACGTAATGTAACTCATAACTACATTAATATGCAATCCAGAAGGGATTTATGTGACTTAAGATCGATTTAAACTCTTTTCACTAAGATCTTATTGATAAGCTGTAACTTCAGCTGGAAACTGTATTTGCCTACATCTCAAAAGAGACGTAGTGATTCATTTCAGTTTGTGTATGCTTCAACAACTGTGAAATAGTTAGCTGAAATCTACTTAAAAGTGTCTCCTAACGTCATGTCACATCAATTGTAAATGACCTTGACTGGTTTTGTTTTCGTTCGCTGACATTATGATCAGGTCTTGTATGCTTGCTACGCTTATTAGACGTTTGGGATTTTGTTTTTAAGATAGTATTCATCATAGGTTGACATCATTTAGAGAACCATTGAAAACTTTAGAGCACTGGACGGGGTTTACGTCGTAGTATGGAATTTGTCATGCAACAAACTGTGAGGAGCGAGATGAGGGGGATACGCTGGCTGGACCGCAGAAAAGAACCTAGAAGATTTAGATTTCACCAGTGATGACTTGTGTCTAATGTCACACAAACTTGAAGATCTACAGGCGAAAACTAAAAAGTTGACAGAAGAGACAGTGAAGATGGGACTTCAAGTGAACTTAGAGAAGACAGAGGTGATGATGATACCCAACTAACAACAACAAGCTCCAATCACGATGAACGGGAGAAACTTAAAGGAAGTAGCCTCTTTCACCTACACCTGTCTAGGCAATGCAGCATCGTTTCAAATACAGGCGACGGCTCAGGCACAGATGAGGACGTCAAAGACAGTCAGGATCGGAAAGACAGTGAGACAGGTTTTCATCAACCTGAAACCAGTGTAGAGATCTACTGCAATCCACTCAGTATAAACCGTGAACAAGATACGGATTTTCAACATCAATGTCAATCAAGTAAATGCTTCTATATGACTCAGAGATTTGGCACATTACGAAAAGCATTTCCAACAAACTACAGATATTCATCAACAACTGTCTACACTGGCTCCTCACTGAAGCTGAGAAGAGAAGACGAGAAATAATAAGCAAGGAGGAACTGGCTGGCTGGCAACGAACCAACGAAGCAAGAACCTATCACTCAACAAATATGCAGTGGAAGGAAGTGGAGATGAATTGGGTATACACTGATAAGACCGACTGGGGACATCATGCACCAGGCCAGGCACTTGAGTGGAATCCAGATGGGAAACGACGAGTTGGGTGTCCGAGGTGAGTGTGAGATTGAGGAGATGGTGTGAGGAATAAATGAGAGGTTGTTGGGCAGTTGTGGAGCCAGGTTGAAAAGTTTACAGAGAACAGAGTGGAATAGAGACAAATAATAATTTAACTGTACCTAAAACCTCGTCAGCCATCGAACTTAACACCTTGACCTCCCAAGCTTTCAGTGGTTCTCCAAATGATATCAGTTTGTGATAAATGCTACGCCATAAAAACGATTTTTTTTCTATAAAAAAACTTGTTTTTCTTTTCTTTCAAATCTCTACTAATAATAAGGTTAAAACTTTGATTAATACATGGTTGGCTAGTGTTTTACGCATTGATCATAGTTCATCTGAAGAGAATTTATACAGTTCAAGAGAGAAATTGATACCTAATCATCAGAATAAACATCTTCATATAAGTCAATCTGATCCTAATAATATGCTTAAATATGATCATTTATATAATTCAGTAGAAGAGATAAACAAATCATCCAAATTAAGAGATAAAAGTAAAATCTTAACCAAAGATAAACAAATTATAAATAGTCATTGTTCAATTAGAAATACATCAATTTGGTCGAATGTAATTGATATGAATTCAGAATTTCGTCCTACTTTACTTATTCATAATAAAAGCACACCATTATATGTAATTGAACAATTGAAACAATCAAAATTACAAACAACAATAATTAAACAAAATCATTTCATTAATGAACAATCAATTAGAAGAACAAGAGATTTATCAAATCAACTTTTGAATCAATCTTCTCAGAAAGAAATTGATGACGATGACAACAATCGAAATGATATAAATAGTCGACTAGAATATTCATGTAAAAGAAATTCTATAACTGGTAAGTGATGAAATTGATTTCAAATCTTCTATTATATATATATATTATGTATATAAAAGTTCGTCCAGAAATACCACCTCCTCAACGCCATAAAGCTACTGAAATGCGGGAAAGCAGCAGGACCAGATGGAATCCTGCCAGAAGCACTGAGAGCAGACGCAGAGACAACAACGGACATACTCACACCACTATTGCAGAAGGTCTGGAAGGAAGGGAAGGTACCTGTCGATTGGAAGAGGGGTTACCTTGTCAAACTGCCGAAGAAGGGAGACCTCAGTGTTTGCAAGAACTGGCGCGGAATCACTCTCCTGTCCACCCAGAGCAAGCAAAATATTATTATTATTATTCTTACTCAACATCAGATGGTCAGAATAATGAGAATAAGCAACAAGAAACTCTAATCCGGGAACGAACCAACCAAGAACCTATCACCCAACAAATATGCAGAGGAAGGAAGTGGAGATGGATTGGGCATACACTGAGAAAGCCGACTGGGGACATCACGCGTCAGGCCAGTTGCTCGAGTGGAATCCCCATGGGAAGCGACGAGTTGGACGTCCGAGGGTGACATGTAGGAGATCGTGCGAGGAAGAAATGAGAGGTTGTGGGCTGTAGTGGAACCAGGTTCAAAAGATCTCAGAGAACAGAGGTCACTGGAGGCGTGCTACTGAAGCCCTATGTTCCACTAGGAACCCAAGGGACTAATAATAATAATAATAATGTATATAAAAGATTTAATGATCAGTTGAAGATGTACACCACCGGATACAACATCTCATCATAACTAATAGGTAAACTTGATCAATACACTTTTGTTATAACAAAAATAGAATTTTAAAAATCTCCATCGTGTAAATTAGAACAAGCGAACAATAATATCTTGGTTCTATTGTATTCTCTCAGCTGGGTTGTTTAATCGTGTCCATCTATGATCATTAATTGTATCATTTGTCTACCATTTTGTTCAACTATTTTCCATCTCATTGAACAGTTTAATCAGTACTCTATATCTGATACTCTTCGGCAGAACATGATGATATAGACAGTCATAGAGAAAGAATAGTTGTTCTTTTGTGGAACCTTACCTTTTGCTGAAGTCTTCCCATCTTGAAACAATGTGAAGTGTGTCACACTCACATGATTTTCAAATAGTGGAGAACAACTCAGCTGAGAGAATACAATACAACCAAGACCATCCACCTAAGTTACAAATATTCCCCACTATTTCAAGAACAATAGTGTTTTTCAATTAGATCATCTTCAGGTTTTACTCTAATACAAACAGCTTAATATAAACATATAAAATTAAATTAATCATATAGATTTATCGGTTAATGTATGAGATGAATGTTGTAAGAATAATGATAGTGATCAAAGTGATAAGGTTCACTAAACAACTTGCAATATAGATGAGGATAATGATGATGCCAAGAACGAAGAAAGCGGTAGGAAAATGTAGACACTACAACCATCAAACTGGGTCAAAAGCTTGTGAAAATCAAAGTCACGTAATATTGAAGGATGAGGTAAGTGGATAAGCAGTCTAGACAACTACACTATGTAAATGAAAGGGGTGAAGAAACAGAAAAGAGGTAAGAAAAATAACACTGAATGATAAAGTTATTAACTAAGAATCCTCTAGTCAAGGGAGAGATAAAGGATGTACAAACGTTTTCTGGATACAAAGAGCAGGATTATTAGCTCGATTTCTCACATTTTCTGGTCTATGGTATTAAAGACGAGTTTGAATACCTTTCGAAAGATGAGATGGTATGCAATGAATAATCATGAAAGCATTATTCTTATCTACCGAGTGACCACTATCAACGACGTGAGATAAAACTGAGCTTCTAATCGATTTTACCTATCTCTTTCCCAACCATGAAGGTCGAGATGACCTTGTACACCGAACAACTCTGTCTATAATTTCCCAGTCAGCCATCTGTTGTTGTTCAGACAAAAGATAAGATATCTAGTCTTCACATTTCTATGTGTATTTACCAGTTCAACTGCTCCTGTAGAAAAAGCTATATAGAACGTACTACTAGACAACTTAACAAACGTGTTGCTGAGCATCTACCTTCATGATTGAGAAAGGGACAGACAAAATCCATTAGAAGCTCGGTTTTATCTCATCTCATTGATAGTGGTCACTTGGTAAATAAGAATAATACTTTCACAATTACTCGCTGCATACCACCTTATTTTTGGAAAGTTATTCAAACTCGTCTTTTACACCACATAGCAGAAGCTATGGAATTTGTGCTAATAATCCATCATCATTATCAATATCAACATAGGACCAGACATTACTGCATAAAGGTCCAACTTGCCACACCTCACATCACCATAACAAGTAGAAAGGTGGTGAGGTGAAAGATGAAGATAAGAGAATGCAGTCAAAAGAAATATAAAGTACGAGAAGAGAGGAAGGAAGAATGAGAAAATGGTAAGATTCGGTATGACGTCGTTAAGATGAAGATAATGTGTGTGGGGATATTTCTGCACCACTGACATCGGTTATCAACCATATGATCACCTGGAGTCAGTCTCCAACCACTGGTTCCTCTTGTCCGGCGGACCCCAACCACCTAGTCTGCATTGTCCCACATGGCTGAAACCAACAGTCAGAGACTTCATACATTGGTGCCGTGTTTTAGTCTGACCACCTCAAGCCTTTTTCCAACCTAGGCTAGGCATACATAGTACTTGTCCCAAGCATCCATCTCAGTTGAGGAAGGTTCATAACCTCGTCAACTGATTTACCTCTACTCCCTTGACCAGGGAATACTTAATTAAAATTTTTATCATTGAGATGAATGGTTATTTTTAATTTAGAGGTAGTATTCATCACTGACTGACATCCGTTAGGGAACCACTGAAAACCTAGGAACGCGGAAAACTGTTTCGTCTTAGTATTGGACTGATTCTTTGACGGTACGTACCCACGACTCGGCTAGGAATCGAACTCAGGAGCTTCAGGCGTCAAGACGAACGCGTTAACCAGTTTTCAGTAATTCACAGTTCCCAAATTCTGTCAGTTCACAATATAGAGCGGCTATCACCCAAAGTCTTCACTTGGCATCCGCTTCCCTTCCCACTGGTTGACCCCACAAGTCCTGAGTGAGTACTGCCAAGGAGTCAGTCCCATACTAGAACGAAACAGCTGTCCAGTGCTCATAGATTTTCAATGCTTCCCCAACTGTCGTCAGTCCGTGATGAATATCACCTTTAAAAAGACTTTTTTCTCTTAACCCCCTTTCTTGTTTTTTTCATTCCTTTCATATACTCACTGTATTTATCTAGACTTTGCTTATCCACTTACTTCATCCTTCAGTATTACGCAACTTTGATTTTCCCAAGCTTTAGACGTGACCCACTTTTATTATCGAATTGTCTACATTTTCATACTGATTTCTTGGTTATTATTATTATTATTATCACCATTATCATTATCACTATGGTTATTCTTAAAACATTTATCACATTTGTGTTACTGCTAGTAAAGAGTCTATGAAATCAATCACCCAAATGAATAAAGCCTATTATAATATATATATCGGGAGTTCACCTATTAGAATCTCTGAACTCACATTCGATGTCTGCTGACGTTCATCAGCAAGACAAATGTACATCCATGACGAAATTTACATCACTCTGAAGATTCAAACTTGTGTCATTTTGTGGCAGAGTGACACATTATACTATCATCAAGTGACTGAATGAAACCTTTTGTACTGCCTATATATATCAACATAGGACCATGCATTACTGTGTAACGGTCCGAGTTGCCGACACACCTCACATCACCATATCAAGTAGAAAGGTAGTGAGGTGAGAGAAGAAGATTAGAGAATGCATTCAGAAGAAATATAAAGTGGGAGGAAAAAAGAAAGGACAAAATGAGAAAATGGTGAGATTCGGTATGACGTCGTTGAGATGAAGATAATGTGTGTGGGGATACATCTGCACCACTGACATCGGTTATCAACCATATGATCACCTGGAGTCAGTCTCCAACCACTGGTCCCTCTTGTCCAGCGGACCCCAACCACCTAGTCTGCATCCCCCACATGTCTCAAGCCAACAGTCAGAAACTTCATGAATTGGTGCCATGTTTTAGTCTGACAACCTCTAGCCTTTTTCCAACCTGCACCTACTTTGGCCAACATTGCTGGTTTATTGCCACTCTTCAGTAGGACGTATATGCAATCATAAGGAACCTGGTGTTCCCTCCGTCATCCGAACCTGAATCACGTGATACTGACAACAGAGATTTAATTCCTAAGGTATTTAAGTGATAAATGATCACCTGTAGGAGCAGATAGCCTACATGGATTGATCATCAGTGGATAACTTGTTCCTTACTAGATCAGATTGATTAATCGAAGCTTACAGATGACTATGGAGACTGAGTGCTTAAATATTGTTCGAATTTTGGTTTCAATGTGAACTGGCTAATATTGGCTAGTAAATGAATGCAGAGTGTACCTGTTTCCATTTATTCACTACCAACTAATTGAGTCGAGCTGTATCCCATAGAAATTCAAACTGAATAACCATCTTAGTATTGTTGCTTGTATTATACCGTCGTTGATTGAGGAGAATTGATCAGTCTCTATTGGCATATGGGCTGTTGTGTGGATGCCTCGATATTGCAGGTAGGTACATCCGGATGGTGAGTCCCAAGTAGGACGAAATACGCATCCTGGATTCCACTGCTAGCCACTATCCATCATTACTATATTTATCACATAAACAGACAAATCTACATGGTTGGTTTAACTAAGCTATTTGTATTAAGGTAAAGCCTGAAGTGGATCTGAGTGAAAAGAATAATCTTGTTTGCTTATATGTCGTGTTGTAATGACGGAAATAGACTGTTAATTTTAACGAGTGACGTTAATGACGATTGTATCAACTACTGAACTGGCCTCTTAGGTGAGAACCATGCCTTTAGACGAGATAAGCGAGCTATTTTAGAAGTTACTCTAACCACTTCTGAGATAACCAATCACATTACCAACTACAAAGTCATAGACAGAAATCAACAAGCACATCGTCCTACCATACATAAATAATGTATCACAAATCACAACAAGATTACTGAGACCACTTGGAATTGCTGTGGCTCATAAACCAACAAATCCCCTTCAAACCCAATCATGCACACCAAACGATGCAACAATCAGGGAAGACAAATAGAATATCATTTACAATATCAACTACAATAACTGTAGTCAACACTACATTCATTGGACAATGTGGTCGTCCCACCTTCACTTTCATCTACATGAACACCAATTGGCTATTAAACGTCAAGACATTCCCTTACTCATTTCAATTCACGTGGATAACAACTGTGAATATGAATTCATTTTCGACAATGAAGAAATGTTGGATGGAGAGAGTAGATACAAAGAATGTCATCAGAGAATTTTTTAGAAGCTTGACATTCAGGTCAGTTATCGACATAGATCCAATCTATCAAGTAATGAGAAAAATGATAGAAGACATAAAGGTGAGAGATGAAGCAGAGGAACAGCCAGCCGACAGGATGATCTATGCAGTCAGTAGGTGACACAACAATGAAAGGAAATAACTGGTGACAAACGATTTGGTCGTGGCAAACTACAGAATCAGTGATGGAGAGATATTGACAGGTCACTTCATAGTGAATTTAGTGCTGATGATGATGTTTTCTAGAAAGACTATGAAAGCTTGATGATTAAACAGTTGAGCTACCTGAACACAATACAACCAAGTCTTTTCTTTCTCTTCGATTGGTTATCAATTTGAGGCATTCTTAGATAAAATAAAGTAATGAATCTCTATAAACCTCCAGATAGAACTGATCTAGCGTTCACTGTTTAGAGGTGATTCCCAAAGTTACTATAAGTAGTCGTAATCTGTGGGGCAAACCATTTGGAACATGAGGAGAGTTATTCAACGACTATATATCGATGTAGGTCATGCTATATCATGAATTGACAGAAGTAGGAAATGTGAATGATTTGTTTCCGATTCAGTGGCTTAATGGTGACGTTCTGGCCAGGGAACAGATTGCCCTTAGTTCGATCATGGGTTCAGATGGCTCACAAGTCCTATACTAGATTGATGAAACAGTTGTTCCCTGCTTTCAGGTTTTCAATCTTCCTCTAACTAATTTCACTTCATAATGAATCCAAACGTAGAAATCGATTCATGAATCTACATAAACCTTCAAATAATAACTACCATTTATATTCAATTTTATCTTGATTAACCTTGACTTAATTTTGTTTTAATCATCTAAAGGATATATGAACAAAGAAAGTATTCAAATGGCAATATCTAGTAGAATTAATGAAAGAGATAAACAAGTGAAGAGTAAAACAATGACAAGATATCATATATCTTCATCAGATGAAACTCGATTAGATCAATCACCAGAAAAGCATAATGAATGGTCAGATAAAGTATTGACATCACCAAGTAGAACAGAAGATCAAAGTTTCAATAGTCCATTAAAACAAACAAGTGAAGAAGAGGAAGATGATGATGATGATATAGTTTTACACAAATTAAGAATAATCTTAGAAGAATTACGTTTTATTACATCAGGTATGCATAGAAGAGATCAAGAGGTGAAAACATCAAATGAATGGCGTTTAGCTTGTCGTGTATTAGATCGTTTTTGTTTATTAATATTTGCTGCATTGAATGTTTTCACTACACTTGGAATACTTACTTCTGCACCGACTGTTATCAAAGCGTTTACATCACGAGGTGCACCATCACAACCAATGTAATTAATTATCAATAAATTGACAACTTTTTCATATTCTGCTTATCTTTTCTTCAATATCTTCATATCCTATATACATACCATTTATATGGTATGGTGTACTTTCAGTGTTCAATGTTCAATGTTCAGTGTTCAATATTCAATTTAAACTAAATCTTGCTCAATACAAATAAATAATTATTTCAACTGTTTAACGTAATTATATGATTGTTAAGCTTCTTTACAAGAATGTTAATGATAATCTATGTTAGTTACTGTTTATTAACCGAACCATACAAACTATGTCTTGCTAAGTAAGAAACCTGTATAACTGTATTAGGAAGGAAGAGAAAAACAGGACAAGGAATGGATCTTGATAAACACATGGAAATTGATAGACGAGAGGAAAATGATGAAGCAGAAGATTAAACCAGTGCAAGGATGAACAACATAAAGAGGAACGAAAAACAGCCTATAAAACACTAGATATAGAAGTGAAGAAGAGTCTTTGGAAATACAAAAGACAATTTTACGACACATTGGCAACTGAAGCAGAACAGGCTGCAGGTAGGAGACACCTGACAACACTGTATCAAATAACCAGTTTACTATCTGGAAGGAAAGAGATCAACACAGATGAGACCAACAAAAGATAGTGAAGAAAACCTGAGTACTAAAGAGGAGAAACAAAGGAAACAATGGACTGACCACTTCAAGAAGCTCTTGAATCGACCACCACCTGCAACCGCAGAACTGTCAGTTAACCCAAACACTCCGACAAAAGCTGAAGTTACTGAAATGTGGGAAAGCAGCAGGACCAAATGAAATTCCGCCAGAAGCACTGGAAAAAAAAGCAGAGACATCAGAAGCGGACATGCTCACACCATAATTGCAGAAGGTTTGCGAGGGATTAAGGAAAAGTACTTGGCGATTGGAAGAAGGGATACCTTGTCAAATTCAAAAACAAGGGAAACCTAAGTCTTGGCAAGAACTGGCGAGGAGTCATGCTGCTGTCCACCCAAAGTAAGCAAAATGTTATGCAGCATCCTCCTGGAGAGACTAAAGGATGCGCTTAATTCAAAATTGCGACCGGAATAGGCGGGCTGACTTCAGGAGAAACAGATCATGTGTGGATCAAATCGCAACGCTAAGCTGCGCATCGTCACAGGACAGAGTATGGAGTGGCAGTCAACTCCACACCTCAACTTCATCGACTCTGAGAAGGCCTTCAACAGCATCGACCAACAGGTAATTTTGCAGGCAGCTGCTTCAACACTACGGAGTGCCACAAATCTTCATCAACCACATTCAACAGCTATATGAAGATGCCACATGTCAAGTAATTCACAATGGGAAGCTCAGCTCAGTGATGCTTTTGAAGTGAAGTGAAGACAGGAGTGGAACAAGGTTGCCGCCTACTATCACCCATGATATTCCTGATTGTGGTGGACTGGATCATGCAACAAACTGTGAGGAGCGAGATGATGGGCATACGCTGTTTGACCGATGAAAAGACCTTAGAAAATTTGGGTTTCACCCATCATGATTTATGTCTAATATCGCAGAAACTCAAAGATCTGCAAGCAAAAACCAACAGGTTGATAGAAGAGGCGAGGCAGAGAAGACGGGACTTCAAGTGAACGTAGAGAAGACAGAGGTGATGAAGACACCCAACCAACAACATCAACAACAAGCACCAGTCACCATCAACGGGAGAAACCGAAAGGAAGTAGTCTCTTTCACCTACCCAGGCAAGGCAGCATCGTTTCAACTACAGGCGGCTGCGGTGGCGGCAGAGATGAGGATGTCAAAGCCATGATCGGAAAAGCAAGACAGGCTCTTATTAATCTGAAATCAATGTCGAGATCTACGGCACTGTACTGGGCATACAGAACGAATCCAGATTTTTGACACCTACGTCAAGTTAGTACTTCTATGTGGTCCAGAAACTTGGCGCATCCGAAAAAGCATTTCCAACAAACTACAGACATTCGTCAACAACTGCCTACACTCGTTGCTGAAGATCAGATGGGATGGCCAGAAAGAATAAACAACAAGGAACTATAGTAACAAACCAACCAAGAACCCATCACCCAACAAATATGCAGAAGAAGGTGGAGATGGATTGGACATACACCGAGAAGGCCGACTGGAAACATCACGCGCTAGGCCAGGCTGTCGAGTGGTATCCAGTGGGGGAACGACGAGTTGGGTGTCACAGCTGAGGGTGGCATGGGGGACTTCATGTGAGGAAGAAAAGAAGGGTTGTGGGCAGTAGTGGAGCCAGGTTGAAAAGACTGGGGAGAAGAGAGTGCAATGAAGATGTGCTACTGAATCCATACGTTTCACTAGGAACCCAAGGGAAAAATAATAAATCATAATCCGAACTACTTACTCGCTTTATTTATCTTCAAGGAGTGTAGTGATCATTAGTGATTTAAAGTCACCTATCTTAATGTTAGAAGTCAGTTGACAGAGGTAGATGATATGAAAAGGCTTCAGGTGTTTGACCGCTAGGAACCCAGGGGACAAACAGTAAATAATTTATAATGTTTTTCTAAGTAGATGTAGCTATATAGTTTTCACTGATATGCTTGACTTATCATTAAGGAGTATAGGAGGAGAGAGGATTAAGGGCGTCTTTATATGAGTTTGGCGTTATTGACAGTGAAGATAATACAGAGCAGAGTTAATTCCAGTCCTATGGAATTGTACATGAACACAGCCGTGATCAATGAATTGGAGGGTGAAATTGATGTAGAAAATTTTCATCATTAGAAAATTGAACTGACCAAGAGGGTTTACAGACATAGGGGGATAAACAAATTATTGAACAGCTGATAACTTGGGGCTGCACACGAATAATAACTGCCATTTCACCCCAATAAATAAAACTCATGTGAGCATACAACCTCGCCTGGTTAACTAGTTCACTAGTTACTAGCCCGTCCTAAGCCCACATAAAGAGGGAAGGTTCGGCATAGGGCTAGCAACCCTATCCCCTAAAACAAATCCAACGGCTAAAGAAACTTCAAAGCACAAACAAAATATAAAATATCATAACAAAATTATTCCTCACTGGAATCGGAGAGGCGAAATGATGCCAGTTGGTGAAAGCTTTCGAGAAGCCAATTGGCCGATGTGTCTTCTCTCTTCTCGATTGAAGATTGGTCAATGATTCTTTTTTCCAGATGTATGAAATAGTCTTATACATATGCTAGTTGATTGAAGATAATTGGCAGGAACCTATGATTAACTTAGATTTCATGGTTGTTGGCACCCATCATCAGAGTGTGTCCACTACTTCGGGGGGAACTAGTCTCCCGTGTGAGATTTGAACCTGGATTACCCAGTGTTGCTGTCGGCGACGTTACCACTGAGCTATTCGGACGGTGACTGGCCTCCAGCAAGACTGATCAGATGGGTTTCAATCTCGTAGAGGATGTCAGTTCTCTTAAAGTTGAAAATGAGCCTTGCTAATGAGTGTCAACAATCAACTAACATTCATCAAAGTCCAACGTGGTGGTGAACTTCATATCTTGATGTTGATAGTGCAAAATGATTGATGGACGGCATGACCGATAAATGCGGCTTAGCAGTTTACGAGCGATATGAACTTAACTCGCAAACGAGTTGACTGCAAACACTCATCAGAACGTCAACCACAACAACAATACCAACGGCAGGTGAAAACAAGAAGAGAAGACAGATATATATATATATATATATATATATATATATATATATATATATATATATATATATATATATACTCCAAATGACCTTGAAGAGCATTAAATTCATTGATAATTCAAAAGAGTTATCAGCCAATGAGAATTCAGCCATCAGAAAAACAGTGGGGAAAAACAAAAGCTAGCAACAGTGTCAAGAAGGCGCAAAAACAGTATTTATAGAGTTATTTTAAAGGTCATAGGCAATACCAGGCAAAATTGGAGGTATATAACAATCATTATCATGATTAATATTTTATTATTTGTCCCTTGGGTTCTTAGTGGAACATACGGATTCAGTAGCATGTCTCTAATCCTTTCAACCTGGCTTCACCACTGCCCAACAACCTCTCATTTATTCCTCACACCATCTCCTCAATCTCACACTCACCTCGGACACCCAACTCGTCGTTTCCCATCTGGGTTCCACTCGATAGCTTGGCCTGGTGCGTGGTGTCCCCGAATGGTCTTCCCAGTGTATGCCCAATCCATCTCCATTTCCTTCCACTGCATATTTGTTCAGCGATAAATTCTTGCTTCGTTGTTTCGTTGTTAGTCAGCCTGAGTTCCTCCTTGCTTATTATTTCTCGCTTTCTCATCTGAGCTTCAGTGAGGAGCCAGTGTAGGCAGTTGTTGATGAATGTGTGCAGTTTGTAGGAAATCCCTTTCGTAACACGTTAAGTCTCTGAGCCATACAGAAGAACTTGAGTTGACTGAAGTGGTGTTGAAATCGGGATGTTGTTCACACTTTATGCTGAGTGGAGTGCAGGAGATCTCCATACTGGTTTCAGCTTGATAAACGCCTGTCTTGCTGTCTTTCCGATCCTGGCTGACTTTGACGTCGTTGTCTGTGCCTGTGCCACCTGTAGTTGGAACGGTGCTGCATTGCCTAGATAGGTGTAGGTGAAAGAGGCTACTTCCTTTAAGTTTCCCCCATTGATAGTGATTGGAGCTTGTTATTGTTGTTGGTGGTGGTGTTAGTTGGTAATCTCATCACCTATATAACAATCGTGTATATTATTATGTACATTAAGATTGTTCACATCTTTGTAAAAGAACTCAACTATTCACTATGCTCTGAATTTTCTAGAAAAGACGTGCTTCCATATATGTGTAGGCATTAGATTGGCTGAAGAGATGAAAAGCGTGGAAGAAATATGTGTATTCTGTTATATTTTGTATCTAATCTAACCTTAAGATACACTTTCTGTTGTCTTCGGGTCTTCCGTATTCTTTTAAAGCTGAGCCGTCATCAAGGAGGGAATCTGAACATAACACTTCGGGACTAAGGTAGAATGTAATTCCATATTCGATTGATTTATTTGATTTATAACACACAGTGATTTAGTATTATTCACTTGATTACTTTTCAGGCATAAGTTATGGTTTCTCATAATCATCCTATTAATGTAATCACACACTACTTTCGGCATCTGATTTCTATGGTCCTATCAGCTGATATTCTCTGTTTTTATTGGTATTAAGATTTTCCATATCTCCGGTATACGTGTTGCGTCATTCCTATTACATGTGTTAGG